GAAAAACCCTGAACTTCTATAGTTTCCTTTTTCACCCAACCCTCTCCCACATTTCTTTCGATTCCGAAAAAGGGCAAAGTTGCCACTTTGCCCCTGGACCTTGCTGGGAAACGGAGGGGTTGAAAGTGTGTGGAGTGGGACACAATTGGGCCCTCACCTCCTCCCTTGGCCCACCCCTTCTCCTTCTTCTTCTTCTCCAAGATGATGCCATTGGGTCCGGGGCAGGAAAAGCAAAGCAGCGAAAGCAGCTTTCCCGGCTGGGTTCTGGAATGGCCCCGGGCACGCCACCTCGGCTGGGCCCTAAAAACGAGCGCGAAAAGTTTTCGAACTTCTTGAAAAAGTGGGAGCAAAAAGTTTGAAGGGGGGTTGAGAGGCTTTGGAATGGCTGAATAGGCTTAAGCTTTAGCCTAAGCACATGCTAAGCCTAAGCCTGTGCATAAGCCCAGGACCAAGATTGAGTATAAGCTTAAGCCGAAGCTCATTCGAGGCCCAAGCTTAAGCCCAAGCCTAGTGCAATTTCTAAAGAAACAAATTAATCTATTTTCTGTAGTTTGAAGTTTGCTTCGAATAACCGTGGCTTAGCATAAGCTTAGACGTGGCTTAAGCTTGGCTCTAATAAGCCCCGTCGTAAGCTTCTGCTTTGTTGGGCTTACCATTTCTTACCCTATCCTATTTTTTTCGGTTTCTACCTTTGACAACGTGCCAATAACCCGAAAAACCCCTTTCCGGGCCCTTAATCAATTTGTATTCCATTCCCGTGGCCGCTGAAAAGGGCCATCGATCCTGTTGGGTGTGGCTCTATCCATTTAGAGCCCCCCATCCATCTGCTGGTTGTACCGAGGAAGGTCTCGGAATGGAGGGGGCAGTAGAAGAAGATAGAGAAGAAGCAGTAACAGAAAAAGAACAAGAAGAAGAAGAAAAGAAGAAGGTGTATGGAAGGGGCGAATGGAGGGGCGCGCCAAATGTGCTTATGTGGCCGCCCCGTGGGTCGAGGAGAAGCCCTCAGAAGAAGCAGCCACCGGGGGAATCCCATTCGGGTCGGGGGCCCTAGGTGGGGCCCAGAGGGCTTACTCAGGGACCCACAGGTGTTGGAACTGGAGCTGAATTCGGAGGGCACTGCATTAATAGCCCAGCTACTCAACCAGAGCGTAGTCGAAAATAGTGGAACCCGACAGCCAAAATACCGATAGCAAAAATGCCGACAGCCGACATGCCGATAGTCACACTACCGGCCGCAAAAACCCGCTTGGTCAAAAAAATACCGACAGCCTGAACCACGACTGTTGAATTCCCGGGGCCAGAATCCCGACAGGCATAATCCCGACCACCTGAAACCAGCTGGGCCACAATACCGACAACGGAAAATAGGCGAAAAACCGACAAGTCAAAACACCGACAGACAGAATAGCAGCTTAAAAGCAGTGGCATTCAAATTAGCGTCAAGAACATGTCTAGATTTTGGCTTGTCGGTGTTTTCGGTCTCCGGCTGCTGTCTGTCGGAATTTGGGCTGTTCAGAATATTTTGGTTGCCGGGGTTCTGGCCTATCGAGGTTTTTGGCTCAACGTCTTTACGCTGTCGGGATTTTTATCCTCGGGATTTTGGCTGTCGGCATTTCCGCTTCTTCCCAGATGCCCTGTATTTTTCAACTTTGTGCCCAGCCAAGCGGTACTACTAAATTGGGTGGCCAGGTGGTGTCGTATTTTTCGGCCAGAAGCCCTGTCCCACCTGCCCATTTTCAAGATTTGAGAGAAAGAGAGAGAGAGAGAAAGAGAGAGAGAGGGAGAGAGGGAGAGAGAGGCGACTATCCCAAGACATCGCCACCCGTAATTAGGAGCCCCAGGGCCCGGTGTTGATCTGCCGATTTCCATGGGGACACCCCCCAGGGGACCGGCCCAAATTTAAGGGGACCTGAATCCTACTTTTTCCCTCTCTCCCCGCCCGTCAACGCGGAACATGGCGGAATAACAGCAGTCGGGATCGGCCGAAAATTACGCGGCACGCCCCAAGGCGCCCCGCCGCATCGACGCCAAAACGTTCACCGGCCTCCCATTAAAAACCGGAAATGGCCGGGGACCGCGGCCAAAAATGTCGACACAAAATGGCTGTTGTCGGCCATTTTTCGGGCGTCAAAAAGGTTGGAAGCGGAAGCGCCGGACTTTTAAGGCGCGGTGAAAGTTTAGAAAGCTGCCCTAAGACAGAAAAGCCAAAGGATAAACCAAAAAGAATCTCTGCTGCCCCTGCCGTCTCCCAATTCCTCAAAGAATCTCTGCTAGCCTGCCCTCTCCCAATTCCTCAAAGAATCTCTGCTAGTCTGCCCTCTCCCAATTCCTCAAAAAATCTCCGCTAGCCTGCCCCTTCGAACTCAAAACCCTGTAAAAACTGTATTGTGGATATGGGTTCGGTTTCTGCTTGCCCTCATCCCCTCAACATCATTTCCCAGTGTTGACCATTGCTCACTCAAGCTGCCCAGTCCGTGGCACGCCACTTTACGCCTGTCGCAGGGGGGTCAAATGTTGGTCATGGAGAACAAAAAGTGTAACTGGGATAGGTCTTGTTAGACCGAAAATCGGGTAGAATCACCTAAGTAGCATACCTTCCTTGCTCCCGCTCTCGTTCTCTCTCTCTCGCTCTAACTATTTCTCTCTCTCTCGCTCTCTCTCGCTCTTTCTATAGCTAGCTCTCTTTCTGTTCTGGGCAGTTTTTAGCTAGAGCGCGTAATCAGCATTACCTAGTTCTTTTCAAGGCTTGTTTTCTCTCTCTCTCTTTCTCTCTCTCTGTCTCTCTCTCTCTCCCTAACATCACATTTCAAGCAATTTGAGTGGACAGAAGGCTTGTTGACACGAGGGGGGATGTGCTGCTGCCAGTCGGCCCTGCTTCACAGCGAATAAACACTCGATCCACACATCCTCTGGCTGCTGTCACAGATCAACGCATCCAAAGTGAGCGCGGGGCGCGCTGTGTCCATAGGTGCCAAGTGGAACAATCGGAAACGGGGATTGCGATTAACGCCTGGTCATTTTTGGGTGGGAATTTGGATGGTGCGCCGGGTCGAAAAGTGACCGGAAATTGAACTCGCCGGGTGGCGACTAGCACTTTTGAAAATCGGGGTAAAACGAGTTTAAAGGGACTCGCAAGGCATGACTATGGCTTTTTAACGCTCGCTAAGCGAAATACAAAAATTCTGATTTACCGTCATGAAAGTTGTATCCCAAAAAAATGGAGGGTACGCTACTGCACACTAGAAAGGCGATGCGTCAACTGTATTGTTGCGTACATCTGGTTGTATCGCAGCTTAAACTACCGTACCCCCTTTTCTCCCTAAAACGGGCAAATATCGAGTGTTATTGAAAATCTACTTCCAGCTGCTGCTCACCTGGCTGTTTTTTTCGGGAACTCTTGAATGGAGCAACAGGCTAGAAAGCCTCACTCTCTATCGCTCTCTTTTCTGGAGACTGACTGCCCCCCGGCCTGGCCAATCCAATTCCAATCCTTTACATCAGCAGAGGAAGGGCCAGGGAATTCCGCCGGCTATTCCGTGACTTTACTCTTAGCGCGGGAGGGCAACAAGAAGTTATGGGTCGAGGCTTGGAGTTACGCTTAGGCTTAGGCTTAGGTTTTGCGTAGGCTTAGGCTCGGGCTTGACTTCGGCATAAGCTTAGGCTTGGCTTAAACTTAGCCGTGGCTATAATATTAGACAACACGAAGTAATCTTCGAGAAGCCTTTTGGTGTAGCTTCAAGAAGCTGCCTGATTTCCGATAAGAGCTACGCACTTTTTTCGGGTGTTGCCAATAGCGGCCGGGTCGAAACGTGGTGTGGCGCGGAAAACAGGTCATTTCCAGTGCTGGAAAATTTTTTAAGGGACTGTTTTTCAATTTACCCCTCATTCCAGGATTTCCACAATTTTCTCTGCTCGCCTGCCCGACGAGAATCCTATAAAAAGAGCTAGATAATCAAAATGGGTACGCCAACGGGTCGGTTTGGCGCTCGGGAGCGTTTCCACAATCGAATCGAATCCTTGTGCAATCCGGGCAAAAGCCTATCCGCCGCTCGGAATTCTCTGGGGAACACGACCGAATGCTAACGACGTCCGGAATTTTTGGTCCTCGGAAAAACCCGGATCCGTTCCGGCCTGGGGGTCAGGGGTAACAAAAATGCTTGAAAACGACTTAAAAGCTTTTATGCTTAATCATAAGCCAAGTATAAGCCGAAGCTTAAGCCTAAGCTTAAGCTAAAAGTTATCCAACCTAAAAGCAAAAGTTAGCACCCGGCGGGGGGTCGAACCCGGGTCATTCGCCTCGCCCAGAAGAACTTTACCAATCGGCCACCAGGACAATTTTTAATTTTTCGTGACCTCCATCCAAAATTCCTTAAAATAGCACACTCATTGCGTTCTATTTTGTGCACCCATCTATTGACATTGGGCGAGGTGATGGGGTGCTTTCTGGCCTCTGGGTATGCGGGGCTTATCGGATGTGATGCCTTATCTATCATCCCCTCCCTTCTTCCCTTATTTCTGACCGGGCAGCTCAAACACCCCCTCTGGAAAGAGACGGCGTTCAGTAGCTGTCTGAGAGAGGAAGCTTCTGAAATTTGCCAGAGGGAAAAGTTGGGGAAATGGGGGTCAAGAATTCAGTGGAAAATCGAGAAAGGAGGATTCTCTTCTCGTTCCCCCCTCACGCTCTCTCCATCTCTCGCTCGCTCTCTCTCTCTCTCTCTCTCTCTCTCTCTCTCTCTCTCTCTCTCTCTCTCTTTCTCTCGCTTTCTCTCGCTCTCTCGCTCTCTCTCTCGCTCTCTCTCGCTCTCTCTAGCTCTCTCTCACTCTCTCTCTCTTTCTCTTTCTTTCTCTCTCATTCTCTCTCGCGTTTGCTCCGTCTCTCTCCATCGCTCAATCCAAATTTTTTCAGCTCCTTTCCTCAAACCTAGCTTTGATTAATTCGTCCCGGCCATGCAATAAATTTTATATCGTCCCAACCCTCGGTTTTCCACGCTCTTATCAAGATGGTAATTAGTCTCGCTGGATGGCCAGGTGCTGGGAAATCTGGGGATTTTAAAGGGATCATGACAGCTCTAAATGGAAAAGAATTACAACATGATGAACTAACATACGCAAATCTAGAATTAGTTAAAGCTCTACGACATTAAAATGAGTCTTAATTACGTCTTTTTTCAGAAGATGGAGCAGAACGGGTGCCGCTATGTGAGCAGCGCTCGCCGCTCGCCCTCTATGAGGTACGGTAGCCAGAATGGAGTACTGTACCCACACCATCCTTTAGGAGGACTACAACACGCAGGGGCAGCGTATCGGCAACATGCTCAAATCCCTCTCGATGTACAGTGAGCAGCCACCGTGTGCCGGAGATGCCGAGGAGAAGCCGCGGGGTGGAGCGGTATGGAAGTTTAATTTTGCCTTGTTTTTAAAAGGACTAGAAAGACACAAAAAAAAGTTTTATTTAGGCTTAGCTTAGGCTCAGGCTTAAGCACAGGCTTCGACTAAGGCTTCGCTTAGGCTTCGATCAGGCTTGGCTCAGGCTTAGGCTTAGACGTATTCTTAAACTTAAGTTTTTCCTACCAAGGTCACGCGCACTTCAAAATACCCCATAAAATATAACCCATTTCTGCCTTCCACGTGCCTTTAATGGGTCGTCACTTGGATGAATTGGCCGCCTTCACCCACTCCATTCCGCTCGTAAGCTATCGACGGGGGATGATGGACCCATTTTGCGAGCAGCATATTCGTTAGGGTAGACGGGTATTGGTCTCTCTTTCTCTCTCTCACTCTCTCTCTCTCTTCAGCTAAAAAATGGCCCATCCATTACACGCTCAGCACCTAATTCCTATTTGGGCCTCCAGCAGCCGTCAGAGCTAGGGATAGAAAGGGCGGAGCAGGATTTTAAAGGGGCCGGGAACCTTGGAGATTTTGGAGAGAGGAAGAGAGAGAGAGAGCTAGGGAGAGCGAGTGAGAGAGCAGGAGGGAGAGAACGAGAGGACTCGCGTAAAGGAGGGCGAGGTATAATCGAGCTAATCAAAAGAAGAAGACAGAGTTATCGTTAGATCGAGAGAGGGAGAGAGAGAAAGAGAGCGACATCCCAATCGTACAAAAGTATCATTATATGCTACTTGCAAAACCCGCGCTCAATTCCTCGTTTTATTCAGCCGTCATTACCTAGCACACCGTAGCCGTAATGTTGTGTCGCACGTAGCCCCTCGTCCATCATCCCAGCGTGAATAGGCGCATTTTGTAGCCCAACCGCCGCTCACCCCAAAAACAACAAAACAACAAATGTTTTCGGTGGATGTAGGTTGACATGGCTGAGTGATTGGCTAGACGGCTAACGTGACTAGCCGGGGTACGGTAACGCACGCATATGGGGGCTTAAAGGGCCGCGAAGCCTGGAATTAAATGTGTAGGAAGTCAGGACGTGCATTATCTTTCCAAAAACCTTTTTTCGACGAAACTCCATTTTTTCCCATGTAATTTTTGGTGTATAAAGGACAGAAACGGAGGCCGAAACCCGGGCTTTGTGACTTTTTGACCTGGCTCATTTTCGCCTCGGGGTGTTCCCCCAGTGGCACCCTAAAAAGTGCAGGTTGTTTAGTGTCAACGTTCTCTCTCGCTCTCTCGCTCTCTCTCTCGCTCTCTCTCTCAATACTGGGCCCTAAGTAAAGGCCCAACAGTTGGTCAACGGCAGGAAATCGAATCCCCCACTGGCCAGCCCGCCAAAACGATCCTCTCTGCTCACCGCTCGTGCTCATCGCCCGGCCTGGGGAGCGACAAAAATCACACAAATACGGGAGACTACGCTAGGCTACGCAAGACTACACTATGCTACGGTCGACTACCTTGGAAACACGACAAATCGCAAACTCTGAAAAATAAAATAAAAACGCAGACCCGTTAGAGCACGGGGATACGCTAGAATACCCTAAGCAACGCTAGACTACGCGTAGCTACGCTATTTAACAGATTGCAGCTCAAAAAAACGCTCAACGTACTACGAGGGCGCTACGATGCATCCCAGTTTACGTGCAAAATTTTTCAGATGGCCAAGATGGGCACGTTCATGGGCGTCTACCTGCCCTGCCTACAGAACATCTTCGGCGTGTTGTTCTTCATCCGGATGACGTGGATCATCGGGTGTTCCGGCATCGTTCAGGGCTTCTTCGTCGTCTTGATCTGCGTGTCTGTCGTGGGTTTTTATTTTTTACCATGGAACGTATGCTATCGTACTCTTTCCTACCGTATCCATTTTCAGACATTCCTCACCTCAATCTCTCTATCAGCCGTCGCGACAAACGGGGTCGTATCTTCCGGCGGGCCGTATTATATGATCTCCAGGAATCTTGGTCCGGAGGTAGGGCAGACTAGCAGAGATTCTTTGAGGAATTGGCAGAGGGCAGGCTAGCAGAGATTCTTTGAGGAATTGGGAGAGGGCAGGCTAGCAGAGATTCTTGGAGGAATTGGGAGAGGGCAGACTAGCAGAGATTCTTTGAGGAATTGGGAGAGGGCAGGCTAGCAGAGATTCTTTGAGGAATTGGGAGAGGGCAGGCTAGCAGAGATTCTTTGAGGAATTGGGAGAGGGCAGGCTAGCAGAGATTCTTTGAGGAATTGGGAGAGGGCAGGCTAGCAGAGATTCTTTGAGGAATTGGGAGAGGGCAGGCTAGCAGAGATTCTTTGAGGAATTGGGAGAGGGCAGGCTAGCAGAGATTCTTTGAGGAATTGGGAGAGGGCAGGCTAGCAGAGATTCTTTGAAAAACCTTTAAACACATTTTTTCAGCTCGGCGGTGCCGTCGGAATTCTATTCTACATCGGCACGACAATCGCCGCCTCCATGTACATTATCGGAGCTGTCGAAATTTTGCTTGTAAGTGGGCTGACGTCATTTGCAGGTGCTCCGGAATTCGGAGACGCGTCTCTCTCTCTCTCTCTCTCTCTCTCTCCCTCTCTCTCTCTCTCTCTCTCTCCGTTAAGCCCGCTTTTTCCCACCCAGCCTAAGGCTTAAGCACCACTCGCAAAAAGCAAAACGGCCCCTGTGGCTTCCGCTCTCCCAGTTTTGAGCGGGTTGCCCCCAGAAAATTTGCAGGGAAAGAGGGACTGGAAATGAAGTTAAACTCGGGTTTAATGATGTTAGATTCCTCGCAAAGGAGAGCGAGAGAGAAAGAAAGAGAAAGGGAGCGAGAGAGCGAGCGAGAGTAGGGGATAAAAAATTACAGCTCCCAATTCCTCGAATTCCAGCTCTACATCGTGCCCCAAGCCAAACTTTTCGACGACGTCTTTCACTGTTTCCGCTTCTTTGGCACAATTCTGCTGATCGGCGTCGGAACGATTGTGCTTGCTGGAGTCAAGGTAGCAGATCATCTTCTAGACCCTACCGTATCCTTTAGGTTGTCAACAAATTCGCCTTGCCGCTGATTTGTCTCGTCGTCGCCTGCATCGCCATGGCGTTCGTCGGCGTCGGCGTCAAGGTCAACGGGTCCGACTCGATGACGTGAGTTATTAGGCTCACCCTTTCCTCTAAGGACTTCTGCTAGCCTGCCCTCTCCCAATTCCTCAAAGAATCTCTGCTAGCCTTCCCTCTTCCAATTCCTCAAAGGATCTCTGCTAGCCTGCCCTCTCCTAATTCCTCAATGAATCTCTGCTAGCGTGCCCTCTCTCAATTCCTCAAAGAATCTCTGCTAGCCTGCCCTCTCCCAATTCCTCAAAGAATCTCTGCTAGCCTTCCCTCTCCCAATTTCTCAAAGAATCTTTGCTAGCTTGCTTTTTCAGGTTCTGCATGGTTGGCGATAGACCTGTCAACCTTGGCGAATGGAAAGAGGCCCACGGCTTCGTTCCCAACTGCACGGCCGAGGGTCTCGAGCCGCTCTTCTGCACCGTAAGTTTTTGCCTTCTCGGTCCCTTTAATGGCCTCTTAACCTACCGTACTACCCCAATTCCGTTTGCACCCCCTTACACCCCAATTTTCAGGTTAACACCACCGCCGCCAAGAGCAAAAAACAGGCAAATAACGTAAATACGATTTTTTCGGGCGCGCACCCCCCACCCACGTTATTCTATCCTTTCCTTCGGTTTTTCACCGGGATTTTTCGGTTTTGGAGGTTTTTGGGGGACGGCCCGGAGAATTTTACTGTTTTTTTGAAGTGCCTGCCAAGGGGGATGAAATAATAGTGAAGACACCCGTGAGATGTTTGGTGTTGTGTTTTAAAGGGGCACGGAAGGTTTGGCTATGGATTTTGTTGGTTATGGGTTTGTCGAGGTGGTGATACGCAACGCGGCTCGAAAGCTAAACGCAACGCGGAGATCGACCGCCACATGCAACGAGCTCTGCTAACCGCGACACGCAACGCGTACGCCCGAGCTGCAAGACGCAAAGCCTGTCCCGCCGCGACACGCAACGCGTACTCGTTCCCGCGGCACGCAACGCGTCCAAGGCAACCGCCGCGACGCGTCCGTGAGCAACGTGAGTTACGTGTCGCGCCGAGAGCAAATTCACGCGTCCCGCGACACGCAACGCAACTAGCGCACCGGCCGTGCAGCTCTCCTAATCCATTATGCGGTGGAATTCAGGTGCTGCGCGTCGCGTGTCGCGGTCACCGCAAACCCATAGGAAATCCATAAAAAACAAAATCCATAGCCGTCCCTTCCAGGTCCCTTTAATGTGATGCATTTCGGGACTCGAAATAAGACTCCAATTTCAGAAGAACGGGACGACGGACGAGATCAGCTGCGACCAGTACTTCACCCGGATGAGGCACAACAAGGTGTGGAAGGGGACGAGCAAGCCGGCCATCCGCAGAGAGGTCAGTTTTCTGGATTTTAAAGGGCGCTTGAAGACAGACTTAACGGACCCCCGAAGCCAAAAATCTTAGCTGCCAAACCTTGATCCCTGAAAGCTACCGTAGTCTCGAAGTGACCGGAAACTCCAATATTTTTACCCAACTCCAACCCTCGGTTTTCAGGAAGCTTTCAAAGGCCTCTCCTCGGGTGTTTTCTGGGAAAATTTGTGGCCCCAGCATCAGCAGCCCGGCGATTTGATCACCAGGGTATGTTTTTTCAAAAATTTGCCAAAATTCGACTATTCAAAAACTCTAATTTCCACCTTCCAGGACCGAAAAGACAAGACCGACAAGGCACGCTCGAACCCGTTCTACATCTTCGCCGACCAGTCGACGTCGTGGTTGATTTTGATTGGTGTCTTCTTTCCATCAGCCACCGGTACCGTAATATCACATGCTCAAATTCGTCTGTTTTAGGAATTATGGCCGGCTCAAATCGTTCCGGAAATTTGAAGGATGCGTCGAAGGCCATTCCACGCGGGACACTTGGGGCACAGTTGACATCATCGGTTGTTTGTGAGTTTCGGCAAAGATTCTCTGCTAGCCTGCCATCCCAATTCTTGATTTCCAAGAATCCCTGCTAGTTGGCCTGTAGGTATAAAATTGCTTAGACCTCCTCGGCGTCGTCTTTTTCGGTGGTACCGTCGATCGGCTGTTCATGCGCGACAAGTTCGGCGGCTCAGCCGCTGGAAAGCTGACCGTTGCGGAGTTGGCGTGGCCGTATCCTCCCGTCATCCTGGTGAGCGAGCGAAAGAGAGCTAGAGAGAGAGAGAGAGAGAGAGAGAGAGAGAGAGAAAGAAAGAGTGAGAACCCTTAACCATCAATTTCCAGGTCGGCTCCTTCTTCGCCACCATGGGAGCAGGAATGCAATCGTTGACAGGAGCGCCCCGCCTCCTACAAGCCATCGCTTCCGGTTGGTTTTTGGGGCGAACTAGCAGAGAACATTGGGGAATTCGGCTTTACCGTCACTTTCAGACGATCTGGTCCCCATCCTGAAGCCGTTCAACGTGCTCGACAGCCGCGGTGAGCCGCTGCGGGCCATCTTCCTGACCCTGGCGCTAACGTGGTGTGGGATTCTGATTGCAGTCATTGAGAACTTGACGGCGCTGATCACACAGTGAGTTGTTTGGATTGGTGGGGCAGGCTAGTAGAGATTCTTTGAGAATCTGGAGGAGCTGGAGCGGGCAGGCTAGCAGAGATTCTTCAGGAAATTCAGCGGGTTCCAAATTTCCTTAGATTCTTCCTGATGTGCTACCTGGGCGTGAACGCGTCGTGCGCGCTTCAATCCCTGATGAAAGCGCCCGGATGGCGGCCCGGCTTCAAATATTACCACTGGTAAGTAGCCGCATTTCGAGCGCGTCTTGAAGTCGTTCAGGAATCTCCTCTAACTCGATTTTCTCATTTCCAGGGCCTCCTCCCTGATCGGGGCGGTGTTGTGCGTGGTGGTGATGTTCATCTCTGCGTGGCACTTTGCCCTGCTCGCCATCTTCATCGGTATCGCGGCGTACAAGTACATCGAATACGCCGGCGCGAAGAAGGAATGGGGAGATGGGCTGAGAGGGTTGGGGTTGTCGGCTGCCAGGTGTGTTACCGTGGTTTAGATTTCACACTGTCGATATTATCAAATTTCAACCTTTTGATTTTTAGATTTGCCCTGCTTAACCTCGAGGCGAAGGAGGAGCACACCCGCAATTGGCGTCCCCAAATGTTGGTCGTGCTCCATCAGCCTGATACTCCAGAGGCAGAGGTCATTTTTGGAGCTGGCTCTCTCTCTCTCTCTCTCTCTCTCATAATCTATCCTTTGCAGGGTATGCTGTCGTGCGTCTCTCAAATGAAAGCGGGCAAGGGGTTGACCCTGGTGGCGTTGTGCCTGGAGGGCAACTACAACCAGATGGGTAGAGTGGCCGACGAGAAGAAGGAGGTACGAGCTAGTCAACGATATGCTATATAAGTTAACGCGTAGCGTAGCGTACAGGGCTCTTTGACGCAGGGCGTCCGTAACGTGTTTATAGGCCGATCCTGACGTGTCTTCGTACCTTTAAAACCCGCGATTTTCAGCAACTAACCGACTTGATGCGTCGCCACAAAATCAAAGGCTTCTGTGATGTGCTCGTGTCGGAAGACATGATCAACGGATTTTCCTGTCTTATTCAAGTGGGTTGATGGGGAGAGAGGGAGAGAGAGAGTGAGAGCGAGAGAGAGAGAGAAAGAGAGAGAGAGAGGGAGAGAGAGAAATCGCGAGAGAGATCAAGAGAGAAGCAGAGTAAGAAGCAGATCGAGCAAGAGATACAGAGAAAGTCAACTAGAGCGCGGGATAGACCCGCATAGACAAGGAGAGAGAGGAAAAGAGACACACCGACAGATAGACAGAGAGAGAGAGAGAGAGAGAGAGAGAGAGAGAGACCGTCATCTCTTAATTCCCATCTTTCAGACTTCGGGTCTTGGCGGTCTCCGCCACAACACTGTGATGTTACCCTGGCCGAGCCAGTGGGCAAACGAAGAGAAGGGCCACATGGGCAAACGGTAATTCCTGAAGTTCTATTTTTAAAGGCCCATTGAAGGTTCGTCTCGGCAATCCGGGCCGTCTCCACGGCAAAGTGCGCAATTCTCGTGCCAAAGAACGCGCATCACTTCCCGGCCAACGGGCAGCGGATGAGCGGCAACATTGATGTCTGGTAGGTTTGGGTTATTTAGGAGATTTTAAAGGGATGGTCAAGGCATTACTATAGCTCTTTAAAGGACTTTACTGTCCCGTTAAAGGGACGGTCACAGCATAATTATGGCCTGAAATTCAGGTGGGTGGTGCACGACGGTGGTCTGCTGATGCTCCTCCCATTCCTGCTGCGCCAACACAAGACATGGAAGAACTGCACGCTCAGGTGAGTACGCGTGATTCCAACTTACACTTTAAAAACAACAGAATATGCTTAGTAACAACGACTCTAGGTTGTGGGCGGTGGCTCAACTTGAGGACAACAATGTCCAGATGAAGACCGACCTCGAGAAGTTCCTCTACCACCTCAGGATTGACGCCCAAGTGAACGTCATCGAGATGGTGGGTGGCTAGCAGAGATTCTTTGAGGAATTGGGAGAGGGCAGGCTAGCAATGATTCTTTGAGGAATTGGCTGAGGGCAGGCCAGGAGGAGCAAATTTACCAAAATGATAATTTTTCAGCAAGACTCCGACATTTCCGACTACGCCTATGAACGTACGATGCGTATGGAGGAGCGTAGCAAATTCTTGAAGGGCCTGAAGACGTCTGACATCCGGAATGACATCCAAGTATAGAAAAAAACTCTGTAAGGATAATTTCACCTTTTTTAGGAACGCGTTGACGAAGTGGTCCGCGAGCGCAAGCTCAGCAAGATCAACGAGGACGAAATTGTAAGTCACGGTTTTCCCTGTTTTCTCTGCTCCATCTCATACTCTCTCACTCTCTCTGGCTGTCAGTTTCTATGCACTAATGACACATCCTATTGTCGAGAATGGCTAAACTCTCGCCTCTTTCTTTGTGATTTTTTGGTGTTCAATGGAGTAGGAATTGTTGAATCGATCGTTTTTCCACTTGCCAGCCCCTTTAAAATGCGGTTCAGGCTTTGGTGGCCGCGCGGCGCCAGTCCAGCGTCGATCAGGTACTTTGCGTCGCAGCGACGCCCCGTGTACTCATGCCAAAAATGCGGGAGTTTTTGGGCAAATTCCGAGGCGATACTGGTTACAGGCTACAAAGCGCTATTAATGCGTCATTTGTGTCGGCTCGGAATATTCCCGGAAACCCCTGTCAACCCCCACTAGCTTCCGCCTCCACCCTATAGATTTGACAACAAGACACCGCATGTGCTCGGGGCCCTGGCGAGACGTGTAATTTGGAGTGTATCGGAATCGGAGCTATGAAAATATTCAGTAGATGTTTGCTAGTCCCCTGCCCTCTCCCAATTCCGCAAAGATCTCTGCTAGCCTGCCCGCTCTATCCTGTTGCCTAAAATGCGTCCTAGCTACCGTAACCCGATTCCGATACACTCCCCCTAACGTCTCGCCGGCCTTTTCTAGCTGTAATACCTCTGTACCCCGAAAAACCAATGTCTTTCCAAAAAATGTCCGTCCATTTCCCTATATATCGCTCGCGTTGACGTGTCCAATCATTGTTCCGGGGTGTCAGTTGGAGTGTAACGGTCTGCACCTTACAGGGCGCCGGGATGCCGTTGGAGCGTATGGAGACGGTGAATGAACATCCCGCAGAAGGGGTCGAATCGCCGTCGAGTGAGGGAACCACAAAGGAAGAGGGTCCAGAGAAGAGAGAGGGAAGAGGAGTACGATTCTCTGATGATTCATCACCACCACCACCGGTAGGTTGAGCGGATATTGCTCTTACTCTCTATCTCTATCTCTCTCTCCCGCTCTCTCTCGCTTTCCCAACCCCCGACTTTTCCAGAAAGAAAACGGATCCCGACGCACCGGCGATGAGGTGACCCGCCGGCGCCAGTACAACGTCCACAAGATGCACACGGCCGTCAAGTTGAACGAGTTGATGCAGAGGGAATCGAGACAGGCACAACTAGTCATCGTCAACCTCCCAGGGCCCCCAGATAATGATAGCGATAACTACTGTAAGGTTTACTGTAGGTCATCTACAAAATGTTGTTTTAGATCTCGAATTCATCGAGGTGCTCACGGAGAAGCTCGATCGGGTATTGCTAGTCAGGGGTACGTTTTGCGAGACCGGGTTTTGGGCACTAGCAGAGAGCCTTTGAGGAATTGGGAGAGGGCAGGCTAGCAGAGATTCTTTGAGGAATTGGGAGAGGGCAGGCTAGCAGAGATTCTTTGAGGAATTGAGAAAGGGCATGCTAGCAGAGATTCCTTGAGGAATTGGGAGTGGGCAGGCTAGCAGAGATTCTTTGAGGAATTGGGAGAGGGCAGGCTAGCAGGGATTCTGTGAGAACCTCATCCTCCTTTTTCAGGCACCGGCGCCGAAGTGGTGACGATCTACTCGTAAACGCTGCCGTAATCCTACCGTATCCAGTTACCGTACCCATCGATTTGCTCATACCGGTCCCCCCTTTCCGTCTCCGCCGTATACACACAATCACAGCTACGCGACACAACCTATTTACACCCACCCACAGTGCCCAATTATTCCGCGTTTCTTTCAGTTGTTTTCCCATTACAATTTCGTTTGGTTTTTTCTCGAATATTTCGATATTTTTGTCGATTTTGAAGTCGTTCATCTACGGATTATTGCGTTTTGATTGATGCCGAGTGTCGTTCGTTAGGTTTTTTGGAATTTGGATTTAAGCAACTTCGCCGGTAATAGTTGTAGTTTGTACTTACTGGGGTGTTGTGAGGCGGGTGGTGATGGAAAAATAAATTTTAGCGCCAGCTAAGCCTAAGCGAGTCTAGCCTAAGCCTTTTAAGGAACGGTGAAGCCAAATCCACCACCCCCGCCCAAAACAGCCCCTCCACGTTCGTTGATAGGATTCTAGCGTATCTTTCCCCCTAAAATTTGCCCAACTACCGTACCCCTTCCTCTTTTCCCACGCACACATTGCTCACACACCCCGCAAAAATCTCACCCCATTTTTATACAAAATCTTTTGGGCCCTGCCAAGATTTTAGTGGATCGTTTCACCCCGGAATATACAAAACACGCGCGATACCGTACCCCTCCTCCCCTACTTTCCCTGTGGTGATTTTCAGATCATTTTTTTTGCTTTTTACGATTTTACGATTACTGTTTTCATTTTGGTTGCTCCGAGGACGATGGAATAAAGATTTTATTTTGAAGAGATTTTATTTAGCAAAAAGCATCCTAGGCCTGGCTTGAAACTACGTTTAGAACTAAATTAAATTAACTATAAAATTTGTATAATTAGCCAAATTAAAATGGTCTTAGGCTACTTTTTCGCGCTTTATTTTGTCCAGCATCAAGTGTTTCTAAACCGTTTTTTACTATTACTACAACTTTTAAAATTTCCGTTAAAAATGCCAAAAATGTGACTTTTTTGACCGTAAAATTTTTTCTTAAGTTTTGTCTTGTTTTTTGCCCTCAAGTATAGTTACCTGCCTAAAACCTTATTAAAATACTTACGAACACAGTAGACATTCCTGGACTCAGGAAAACGTTCGCCCCCCGATAATGCCAAAGCTCTCTTTATTCTCTTTCGCACTACACAAAACAACCTTGATTAAAACAAACAACGACATGTCCGACATTTTTATGCCAATTTGCTGACGCCCATCGCGAAGCCGCTTTGCAGTCGGAGGGCCTGCGTGACGGCCATTGGATCTTGCTGCTGGCTGTCCGCGTTTTTGCGACGTATCTGAAAGGAGAAGCCGCATTATTGGTGGCCAAATCCAGGTAAAATACCTCCTCGCCGCGGCTTCCTTTCGCGCGTCCGTGCGTACCCTGAAGAACCAACACTCCGCACAACACTATGTCCTCTTTTGGTGGTTTTTTCACGTAGCTGGAAAATTTTGGATTAAGGAATCTCTGCTAGGCTGCCCTCGCCGAATTCCTCAAAGAATCTCTGCTAGATTGCCCCGGAACTCACCGACATCTCTCCAAAGAACCATCAGCCTTGGCCTGCTTGTACTTTTCGATGGAGTTGTTGCAGCACAGCGTCGTCAAGAGGATCAGGATTGGCAGCAGGATAAGGGCGATGAGGACGATGAAGCCTGCAGAAATGTGGACTACAGACTTCAACCTCTGGTAAACGTATACTGTAGGAATCTACAGAATAAATTTTATGAAGCTACAGACTACAGACTACAAAATTCAGGCTACAATTCCGGGTGCTCTATACCACAAATTACAGCTACCAGACTACAAACTGACCCTCATTCAATTTACACTGGCACACGATCCCAATGCCATTGTAAATCAAAGATATTGCCGTGAAGACGAGAAAAGCGACAGCTCCCAGCGAACAAGCTGCCAGAAACACGACGCATATCCACTGAAAAAAGGTTAGAAATAATATGGAAAAAATAGGTATGATTCACCTTGCCTAGGAGCGATACAAACAACAGAAATCGACTGCCATACCATCGTAGAGCCACGTGGAAATCGTCCTGAAGTTTGCAGCTACGGTATGTTTTTTAAAGGGGCCGGCAGACATGGTTGTGGATTTTTTCTGGATCTTCCGCGCCGAGTTGGAGGCCCCAAAACATCCATAAGCATGCCTTACACGCCCCTTTAAATGCCTACCACTACGGTGACCCCTGTCGACGATAAGGGACGGTCGGTTGGTGACGGAATGGCGCTGATTCGGGAGGTCCTGAAAAAAAGTGAGATTGGCAAATGGTCTCTGCTCGCCAGCCAGACGGGTTTTTTCCTCAAAGCTCTCTGCTGGCCTGCCCAGCCACAAACCAACCTTGGCGATCTCTTCTCCTCATTCCTCTCAACATCCCTCGCCAATTCATCAGCCGTCGGCAGTTTCAACTTCAGATTCGTCGCTTTCCGGGTGGAGATCGGTGGTTGCGGCACCGGGAGGGATATTTCAATGGTTGGCCCGAACTCTGGGGTTGTTAGGAGCTAAAAATCACTTTATTCAGTGTCAAATTTCCCTTCACAGCCCCTTTAAAAATATTTGAAGAGCTTAGAGGTACGGTAGATGACCACACCTGCGCTGCCGACGGCCTCGCCTCCTCATCGAGGTCAAAAATCGCCACAAGCCACCCCCGCACATCCGCCTCTTCAGCATTCTCACGGCCTACGAGGCGCCTCGGCGAAAAATCCCAATTGTGGGTCTCGCATCGATTGAGCAGCTCCTGGAAAGCATAAATTTCGAGCAGTTCACTCTATCTCTCCCTCTCACCCCTTCTCTCTCTCTCTCTCGCTCTCTCGATTTGCTCCATTCTCGTAACTGGAAAAGGGAGCGAGAGAAAAGGCGAGAGAAAAAGGCGCGAGATCGAGAGAGAGACAGAGAGAGGGAGAGAGCGAAAGATTGATAGAAAGAGAGAGAGAGAGAGAGAGAGAGAGAGAGAGTACATCTCTTCAATTGGTACCTGATACAATTCCTCGTCTCCTAACTTCTTGTACTCCTCGGCAAGGGGCGGTCGGCCGGTGAGCATCTCGGCTAGGCAACAACCGGCCGCCCTAAAAAATGACGCTCTTCCCGGGTTACAACCCCTAAAATCCAGCCTTCCTAGTCCCATCAAAGACGCCTAAAATCTACCAAATATCAGCGGCTTCCGTGTATGCACTCTCGTCCTCCACTCGCTCCAAGATCTCGGGGGCTGTGGCCAGAATCATGCGACGGTAGTGCGAATATTCTGAGGTGGAGGGCGGCTTGCCGGATTGTGACGGAATTTCGGATGCTACGGTTCCCTAAATGGAACTATGGCAGAGATCTTTTGAGGAATTGGGAGAGGGCAGGCTAGCAGAGATTCTTTGAGGAATTAGGAATTACCCTGGGGCCCTGATCCATATTTTCCAGCCCAAAATCGCACAGTAGAATCCGTTCGTCACTGCGGAGCAGCAGGTTTGAGGCTAAACTTTGGGATTTACGTTAGCTTTAATACGGTAACCTCTCAGATTTCGATGCAAAATTCTGGGCTGATGGCCATGGCAGTACTGTAGTCCGCTCAAAACGTCTTTGATAGCAGCCATGGCCCTTCTTGGCGAGTAGGGAGAACGGCGGAGTTGGTCCTGAAGAGAGATTCTGCAGAGAGAGAGAGAGAGCGAGTGAGAGAGAGAGCGAGAGAGATCCTTCTACCGTACCCACCTCTACCGTACCCATTGGTGTATATTCTCGGAATATCATAATCTCAGCGTGCGCCAGGTGATACCCGCGGATCCTGAAAGTGAGTCCGTTTTTTGCTGTCTCCACTCCTTGAAAACCCGCGATTCTTGCATGTTTTTGAGCACGAACTTTGCTATCCGCTCATGATCCAAGCCGGTCAGATCCTCGAGCTCACGGCAAAAGGCAGATCTCCTCTAAAAATCGGATAAACTACCGTAACTATTGCTTACTTGTGGTGCCCATTCACCGACGTCTTCAGCACGTCGGTGTCCCGTCCATTGGCGCATCGTTTCAACCTTAGAAAGAGCGAGCTAGCAGAGATTCTTTGAGGAATTGGGAGAAGGTAGGCTAGCAGAGATTCTTTGAGGAATTGGGAGAGGGCAGGCTAGCAGAGATTCTTTGAGGAATTGGGAGAGGGCAGGCTAGCAGAGATTCTTTGAGGAATTGGGAGAGGGCGGGCTAGCAGAGATTCTTTGAGGAATTGGGAGAAGGTAGGCTAGCAGAGATTCTTTGAGGAATTGGGAGAGGGCAGGCTAGCAGAGACTATTCAGGCCTCACCTCAATATATTTCGCAACGTCACTGAATCGCGAGCGTCCATGGCTGAGTTTCACTAAATTTCATTTTTATGCTACTTAAATTGTATCGCATTTATCATGAACTAAACCCACCTAATAACCTCATATCCCCAATCTTCTCCGACGTCATCAGGTGCCGAAAGTTTTCGGCAAAAATCATTGCTGAGGAATCGAATGAGGAGGATGAGGGGTCGGGCGACGCTGGGATCGGGGAGAGCAGGCGCCTAAAAGCTGCTTTTAAAGGGCCAGTGAAGGCAAGAATTTAAAGGAACATTCTTCTACCGGGTGTATCCGCCTCCGGGTACTGAAAGCATTCCACGGATGGGTGGGGTACGCTTTCGACTGGCTAAAACATAGGTTTAACGGATTTTCGAAGCAGCAAAAAATCTCTGCCCCCTCCCAATTCCTCAAAGAATCTCTGCTAGCCTGCCATCCTCGACCCACCAAATGGTATGTCCTCCTCTTCAGCCAATGTATCATCATCACTTCCGCTTCCATCCGGATCCTCCTCCTGGATCACCGAATGCATCTTCTTCAGCACTGGGCGTTCCATTTTCTTCTGTTCCATTTTTCCCTATATAACTTCACAGCCAAAGTAATTATTTTCATACCTAATAAAAACAACAAAAAACAACAAAAATATTGGTGTAAATTGGCTCAAATCCTGAGCCGACAAAGGCAAAACCCAGACGAATCGATGGCCTACACAGCTTATCAGGGTCGAGCTCACCAGGAGGGCCTGCAGAAGCATATCGGTAAAAAGTTGGAAAAGCGCCAGATGAATAGGGAGAGAAGCGAGAAAAAGAGCGATGATAAGAAATGAGAGAGGGAGACAGAGAGAGAGAGAGAGAGAGAGAGAGAGAGAGAGAGAGGGAGGGAGAGAGAGAGGGAGAGAGCGAGACTGAGAGAGAGAGAGAGAGAGAGAAATAGAGATATGCGAAAGTGAGAGGGACTTTCTGCAAGTTCGATATTACGATCTTCGATATCATGATTCAGATTGTCAGAATTTGCATAAGATCGGAATAAAATTTGCCTAGCCTGTCCTCAGAATAGTGAATTCCGGAAATCCGACGTATTTTGAATATGATGCCAATCATAAGAAAAGCTTGACGTCTTGACCCATCATATACTCGCCGAACGGGATGGCCGTGCCGGGCCTCGACGTGCTCGACTACTACCACGGGCTGCTACCGAGAGAAGATCTACCGTTACTGCTCGCGAAGGAGGGCGACTATCTACTCCGATCGACCCAAGTGAAGACCGGCGAGGAGCGACGCACCATCCTCTCCCTCGCCTACCAAGATAAGAAGATCAAGGTAAATTTACATTCAAATTGCTGAATTTAACTTTGACTACTTCAGCTTGGGCATTACGTGATCACCCAAGAGAAGGAGCCGCCGAACCTGTTCACGATTGACAAGACCATCTCGAAGGCGACCATCGACGAGCTCGTCCAGGAATACAAGAGCAGACGCGTGCCGCTCAAGAAGGAGATCCCCAACACCATCCTCATCAACGCCATCAACAGGCCATCGTGGGAGCTCCGAGCCGACAATGTCATCACCGGCAGGAAACTCGGCGAAGGTACGTTCTAGTCCTAATTTTCACCTACTAGTCCAGAAACGCAGCAAGTAAAAGTTCTCTCTCTCTCTCTCTCTTAGCGGGGAATGCGCAATGGGGAAAATTTGGGAAGAAGATACTTTTGGTAAAAAAAATTGATTTTTGCAGGTGAATTCGGCGACGTTCACCAGGGCAAACTGAGGCTGCGCGACCGCGAGGTGGACGTGGCGATCAAGGTGGCCCGGAAGGACATCATCTCGAAGGAGAAGATCAAGGAGGTGATGAAGGAAGCTCGGCTGATGCGCGACTTCGAACATCCGAACGTCGTCAAGATCTACGGAGTGGTCGTCGAGAGGGATCCGTTGATGATCGTCATGGAGTTGGTGGATGGAGGAGGGCTCGACAAGCATCTACGCACACAGTCCGTCAGAATCCCGCCCGATCAGCGCCTACTGTACATCCAGGCGCGTTTTTTTGGGATTTTTTGCATTATCGGGGGGAGGGGGAGTGGATTGTTTTTGTTTTATGTATATTTTTGATCTTCAGGACGCGGCATGGGGCATCGAATATCTCCACCACAAGCACATCATCCACCGCGACTTGGCCGCCCGAAATTGCCTGATCGTACGCGTCAACGAAGAGTACCTCGTCAAGATCTCCGACTTTGGGCTGTCGCGCGATGGCGACGCGTACGTGATGAAGACGGTGCGCAAGGTGCCGATCCGCTGGCTGGCCCCCGAGACGATCCAGACGTTCACCTACACCCCGAAGAGCGACGTCTGGGCGTACGGAGTACTCGGTAAGCTAATTACCGGTCTGAACTCCTCCAATATCTTGTTTTAGTTTGGGAGGTGATGACAAACGGGGACGAGCCGTACGCCGGCGAACCGAACCCGCAGATCAAGCAGAAGATCGTCGCCGGCGAGCTGCTACAATTCCCCTCACTCGCCAACCAAGAGATCGTCTCCCTCATCAAGCAGCACTGCTGGGACAAGGACAAGGACCGGCGCTACAGCATGACGGAGGTGAGCAGCGATTTCAGCGAGTCTGTAAAAATAGGATAGCCGAGAGCCTCTATATCCACGAGTTTTCTAGGTGGCGCAGAAGCTGGAGTCGTTGAACAACCGCCAGCCGCCGCCAGTGCAAGAGGAAGTGAGGAAGGCGGTCGGCGGAGGAGGAGGTGTTTCGATGCATCAGGGATCCGTCGATCTGCCGGCCGGCACCCCGAATCGCAAGGGCGGAGGGCAGAAGCCGCGCGAGAAGTCGATCTCCCCCGATTCTGGAGGACGCATCAAGCGAGACAAGAAGCCCAAGAAGAGGCCGAAGGGCGCCACCGTTACCGAGGGCCAATAAAAGAACCAACCCCCACCCCATTAATGCTTGTGACTTCTTTTTGTATTTGTCTCCTCCTTTCAATTGTGACTATTTGTGTACTCTGTTCGGTCGAAGAATAAAGATGAAAGTACATGTACACCTACGAATACAATTGCAAACAAGAAAAGGCCTCGAAATAGAAAAAAGTTTGCGTCGAGTTACCCGCATTTCAGGGTCGAAAATTTGCAGGAAATCAGAGCATTAAAAAACCGCCTTTTGGCTTTCCACAGAGCAGATTTTAATTTTTGGCGACCGCCATGGCAGAAGTATTCACCATTCCTTTTCGGTAAAAACTATTCTATTAAAAAAATTTAAATTCGAAATATTTGTCGAAAAATCGAGTTTTTTGGTAATTACCCCCGGTAATGCCAAAGCTCCAAACCTGGACACCAGGTTTTTTCGTCAATCCAAAAAAAAACTAACTAAAACTAACTAAAACAAAAAAATTTGGACATAATCAGAGAAAGGAAGAGAGAGAAAGAGAGAGAGAGAGAGCGAGAGAGAGAGAGAGATTCAGCGCGAGAGAGATGAAGAAACCGAAATCTGATGCGTGAACTCAGCCGACCTAGCAATTAGCAGTTTTTCGTGTCACTGGCCCTTTAAAAAGTGTTCGAACCTCCTTGTTGCAGCCGAAAACCCTATTGCTATCGGTTTCTATCGGTCTTTGCATGGAACTTTTCTTCAATCCCAAGGGTATCTAAAGTTTTTGTTGAGGGTCAAGAGACCTGGAGCCGGTTTTTCGTTCTCTCACTCTCCCCTCCCTCTCTCTCTCTCTCTCTCTCTCTCTCTCTCTCTCTCCCTTTTGTTGCATATATTTACCCGTCGCATCCTCTTCCCCTTCTCTCTCTCTCTCCCATCCAAACATCAACCCGCCTACCCGCCACCTCTCGGAAAAACCCGTCCCCCACTTCGGACCTCCCGCCGTTTCGTGAATCAATCTCACCCATTTATCACTTTTTCTGTTTTGCAGGGTCCTATTTCTGACTCATCCTCACGTCGGGGTTGATTACTAATTTCTTTTGAGGCAGGAAATGGCAAGATTTTGATGATTTTATCCGAGCGAATTTTCTTAAAATGGTCTTTGCTAGCTTTCCTTGATTCCCTAATGCTCCGGCTGATGCTCAGACCATCGTTTTTGTTGGAAATGCCAAAAATAAACCTTGTAACGTGATCGCAAGGTCTTAAAAATCCTGTCTTGCTCAGATCCAAAGGAATCTCTGCTAGCTGGCCGATGATTCCTAAATTATGCTTTTCTCTCTCTTTCTCTGTCTCTCTCTCTCTCTCTGTCTCTCTCTCTCTCTCTCTCTCTCTCTGATTATGTCAAAACTGTGCAAGATCTAGAGCACTTCCAGCTATCCGATCCCCTTAATTACTCAAGAACAATGCCGGCCAGAGTAATTTAGTGGAAAGCCTCCCCTTGGCTGGGGATCGATCCTACGAGACTCGGAACCCCGAAACAAGGTTTAGTCGCGGGGGCTTTCCGTTTTTTGTGCCTCATCCCCCCCGCCCCGGTTCCCATATTGGACTGAATTGCATATTTATGGGCATTTCCGCTTTTGCGAAATGACCACCTGTAAATAACCACCGAAAAAGCCTTTTTCTGCTGTTTCTGCACAAAAAGCGGCTATGTTTCCTCAAAGAATCTCTGCTAGCCTGCCCTCTCCCAATTCCTCAAAGAATCTCTGCTAGCCGGCCCTCTCCCAATTCCTCAAAGAATCTCTGCTAGCCGGCCCTCTCCCAATTCCTCAAAGAATCTCTGCTAGCCTGCACTCTCCCAATTCCTCAAAGAATCTCTGCTAGCCGGCCCTCTCCCAATTCCTCAAAGAATCTCTGCTAGCTTGCCTTATAATTTTGTCACTGTGTTTCAATTGATGTTGATGTCAGAATCCCTTAGGGAATTTGATGACTCATTTTCCCGCACAAGAAAATTGCAGGCCCGCAGAGGATATTTCCCAATGCCCCTCCTAAATTCGTCAATGTGCCTCCGGGGGGTCCATTGCCTTCCCACGGCTCTTCCAAGGCGGTCCGGGGCCCCCCTTTTTGTCTTTTGGAAGGTTGCGGAAAGGGGGGGAAGAGCCCTGTGACTCATTCCCAGGATTTGGCTCGTTCGCTGCTCTCTCTCTCTCTCTCTCTCTCTCGCTCTGTCCCTCTCTGGCTCTCTACTCCATTAGTAATTGTCCTGCGTCATTCAACCAGCCCCGGACTGGTATATAAAGACACCGAAACCCGTTAAATTTCTCCTCTAGGTTTCTCCATATCCGCTTTCTGCAAAGATCAGGAGGACAGCAAGGAAAAAAAAGAGACCTGTGAAAAACGAGATCCAAGATTCCTCAAGGATTTCTGCTAGCCCGCCATTCGATTCTTAGTCGATCTATCTTTTCCTCGCTTTCGCTTTCGCTCGCTCGCTCTCTCTCTCTCTCTCTCTCTCTCTCACACACAGCTCATTTTCAGATCTAGCTATGGCCGATGTAGCCGAGCATGTCTATCTCTACAGCCAGATGGAAGATGAGGAAGAGGATGATGGTATCATCTAAACTTTAAAATCCTACAATATTTTCAGACCCCAAAAACTTCACAGAAGCCGACGTTCGAAGATTGGAGGATAAATTCGGGCAGCAACAAATTATTGATGAGATAAATTATGCATCGCAGAGGGGAGGGGCACTGTAAGTTGAAAGCGAGCGCGAGAGAGAGCATGAGCAAGAGCTAGTTTTAAAGCTATAATTAGACCGAAATATACCATAACAAATCGTTCCAGGACACCAGCAAGACCCCCGCCAGTCGGTTGGAATTTACCAGCCAGCCCGGCCGCTCCCATGCCGCCAGCTCGACCTCCACCACCAGCTGTAGGTTTTCAGGGATACGGTATCTAGAGCAATTGTTAGCATGTTGAATTATCGAGCACCAATCCCACGTTTTTCCAAAAAGGCAAACTAGCAGAGAACATTGAGGAAAAATAGCAAACATGCAAAAAACAGATCGTATTATGAAAATCCTCTCCAAGGCCAATTCCTCGTTTACAGTACCCTCCCTATCCACAGAATCCACAGTATCCTTCTCCATCTTCTCCTGGTTATCCGACGCTGCCGGCTCCCGGCGCGAATATACCTTACATGGCAAGTTTCTGAAGTTATTCACAGAGCTAGAGAACCAGCATTTCGGCAGGCTTGCCGAGATTCTTTGAGGAACTGGGAGTGAGGATAGAGCAGAAATTCTTTGCGACTTACGACCGATTCCAGGACAATACACCAGACAATCAACGGCACATCCAAGATCAAGAAGGGCGCGACAAGCAGCAGAAGAAGAAAAAGAAGCGCAAGCTGTTCAGCTTCTCCGTGTTTCGAGGTGGGCTTTCGACTTCTGAATTCTGACTTTTCTCATTTTAAATCACAAACTACAAGCTATAAACTTCAGACTCCTAGCTACAAATCACACCTAAACCCCACCCCACCCCCTTGTAGCTATGGCGATAGAAACGCTGTGGAAATAAATAGGGCAAAAACAGGGCGTTGTTTTGGAGCCCCGTCTTCTCGTCTCAAAAATCAAAATTACGAAATATATTCTCTAAATGGCGGATTATAAATCCAAACCCGCTAAAAAACCACGAAGGGCCTCTGTCCCGGCTTCCCTACGAAAAAAGCCACCGAATACTGTGATCTACAGCAACCCGATGACCGGCGGAGTTGTCTATTTTCAAAAAATTGCCCAAAAAATGGAGCAACCAATCGCTAAGCCTCAAATACAGAGGACGAGAAGCCTTTGGATGGTGGGCCCACAGAGAGCTCAGAATTGGGCTTCGATTCCGATGCACGCCTTTGGACCCGGATATTTTTGGGTCCGCGCTGAGAGGCGGCCGGTTTCGGCGAGTGTCAGGAGTGGGTTTTGGTTTCCTGAAGAATCTCTGCAAGCCTGCCCTCTCACAATTCCTCCAAGAATCTCTGCTAGCCTGCTCCAAACAATTCCAGATTCCCCAAAGAATCACTGCTAGCTCGCCAAACTCTTATTTTTCTTTTCAGATGCCCTCGACGGATTCGAGAAGGGCGATTTTTCCGGCATCTTGAAGCATCTTCACAATAGTGGAGGAGAAAACCATTGTGAGTTCAATTTTTCGGACAGAGAGTGAGAGGCAGAGCTAGAGAGAGAGAGAGAGAGAGAGAGAGAGAGAGAGAGAAATAGATAACCTTCATTTTTATTCCAGGTCTACGTCCAAAATGGACTCACGACATCATACGTCACTTCACGGAGTCGGCGATCAGCCACGGGGCCCACCGGTAGGTATTTAAAGCATTATTATTTTCATTTAATTACGGTTTTCAATTACGACTTTCAGATTCCTAAAAGTCGACAAGAATACCGGGCAGATCATCGGGGCCCTGGCGGGGAACGTCATCTTCAAGAAGGGCGGAAAGAACAACAGCCTCGGCGGCGTGGGCAAGATCGTGCTCGACAATATCCTCTCCGGAAAGTTCAACAAAAAGGTGGGCGGCGTACGGTAACGTAAAGATGTGGAATTTTGCCTAGCATGTCGTAATGTTACGCTACGCTACAGTACGCTATTAGTAACCGCGATATAATGTCTATTTCTAACCGCGTACTGTAGCATAGCGTAACGTAGCGTAATTTTTCTCACCTTAAAAATTATGACTTTTTGGTGCGTCATTTAGCCATTTCCGTTCCATAATTCTTGGGCCTTATCAGAAGTTACTCCCGTAAAAATGACAGCCGTTTTTCGCAAGCGATGACTAATCGGGGAAATTGCTTCAAAAATTCCCATTCATTCATTCATTCCAATTCACTTCTCGACTTTCGTATTCTAAAATGCGGCTGAAAAGTCGGAAAATTGACTTGTGCCATGAGCGCCTATCGATCTACAAGGTTCGGGTGAGAAAAGTGAGTTTTTAAGGCGATTTAGGGCTAATTAAATCCCGTAACGATTGCAACAGCCAATTTGCTACCTTTTCATACCGTAATCGGCTCATAATCGAGATTCTGACTGATTTAAAGGCCGTAATCGATTAGATTTTTGTTATTCTTAGGCTAGAAACCTGTAATAAATTAATTGATGGTCGTAATTGACTGGGCAACAGTGTTTTTAACTGTTTTATTGTAGATGAGATGTTAAAGAGCATTTCCAGGTGACGCCATTGGTACATCAAAGCGAAATCAGAAGAACCGCGGGCATCGAATCGTTCGGATTGGACTTTTACAAGTTTGTATTTTTTTTAGGCGCTTGTATTCCTGATTTGCGACTTGCGGCCATCCCTTTAATCCACATTTTAGAGAGCGTGATCGCTGTCTGAAGCAACGCCAATTGTTCGAGGATCCTGAATTTCCGGCCTCGTCAAAGAGCCTCTACTTCAAGAGGGCACCTGCAGGACGCGTGGAATGGAGACGGCCTGGGGTTGGTCGGCTAGATGAGCTTCGCTTAGGCTTAAGCTCATGCTCAACTGCTTTATCTCTCTCTCTCTCTCTCTCTATCTTTCTCTTTATCTCTTTCTGTCTCTCTCGCTCTGCAACTCTCTCTCTCCCTCCCTCTCTCTCGCTATGTCTCTCTCGTTTTCTCTCTCTCTCTCGCTCTCTCTCGCTCCCGCTCTCGCTCTCTCGCCGCAAAACCTTTCCGAAATGCACCGCCTTACATCATACGGAAATTTTCATTTTTAGGAAATCGTCCACGACCCGTGTCTTATCGTCGAGGGACACACCAGATTCGACGTCGTCCAGGGCTCGCTTGGAGATTGTTGGCTACTCGCTGCCATCGCCAATTTGACCCTACGGTAGGGGATACTATACTTCTGACGAAATAAGGACTACGGTATTCCCGCTTTCCGAGATCTATTGAGATCCATTCTGCCTTCTCAGTCCCTTTAAAACGCTCAATTCCAGCGACGAGCTCTTCTATCGTGTCGTGCCCCCAGATCAGAGCTTCACCGACAACTACGCCGGCATTTTCCACTTCCAATTCTGGCGCTACGGCCGCTGGGTGGATGTGGTGATTGATGATCGGTAGGTTGAAGCTTTATGCTAATTTTAGAGGCACAGGGGCACCTTAGAAATGCTTGTCACCATCGTTTTTAAACGCAAAAGCGATTACACAACTTTCAGCTTGCCCACCGTCAACGGGAAGCTCATCTACATGCATTCCGGCACTGTCAACGAGTTCTGGAGCGCACTTCTCGAAAAAGCATATGCAAAGTGGGTCCCGCGGCGAATGTCTTTGATAATTTTTTAGATTATACACATGCTATGAATGCCTGGATGGTGGATTGCCGATGGATGCTTTGGAGGATTTTACGGGTATGAATTGGGGCAGGCTAGCAGAGATTCTTTGAGGAATTGGGAGAAGGCGGGCTAGCAGAGGCTTTGAGAAAACTAGGACCTACCGTAACCCATTTTCCACTATCCAGGCGGCCTCACCGAGCACATCGAGCTCCGAAAAATTGATAAAGCGACCCTGCTAGCGTTGCTCGTCCGCGGATTCCAGATGGGATCGATGTTTTGCTGTTCGCTGGAGGTATGGAATAACCCCGAGGGGGCAAGCTAGCAGAGATTATTCGAAGCTCTAACAATATTAGCGCTCCTTCCCTGAATCGCAGAAAAATTGACGATCCCTGGCGGGTATCTAAAATGTTAAATTTAGGCCGACCCGAACACATTTGAGGCCCAGCTGCCGAACGGCCTCATCCGTGGCCACGCTTATAGTATTACGGCCGTACAAGAGGTATTAAAAAGTTTCAACCGAAAATCTTAAACATTATAATCAAAGAAGGATTACATGAAAAATCGTAGGTATCGACAAGTCGCGGTACCGTCCTACTGCTTCGTGTACGAAATCCGTGGGGCAACAATAAGGTACGATCTTCGCTAGTAAAAGAATGGATGATTTCTGGCCTCTTTGAATTTTAAACAATCGTAAATGTCATTTTTCGCTAAAAAAAACAAAATTAGGAATGGTACGGCCCGTGGTCAGACGGGAGCCGCGAATGGCAAACGGTCAGCCGACACGACAAAGAGAAGCTCGAGGTGCGCTTCAACGAGGACGGCGAGTTCTGGTAGGCCCATCGTCGTCTAAATCAATTAGATGATTCAGGATGTCCTTTGACGACTTTTCCATCTCATTCGAAACCCTTGAAGTGTGCAACTTGTCCGCATCGGTAAACTAAATCCGAAAAATTCCGCATTTTTTTTTGATTTTAGGTGATGGGCGAGATTGAGATGATGACCGGGGTTCGGCAACAACAAATCCAAGAGGCTGGCGTGTAAGTTCGACTTTTAAAAATAAAAAAAGTGAGAAAAAACCTATAAAAGCAGTTTTACTGCTAGCGCACTTCTAACCCAAAACCCAAAAGAAAATATGTTCCGTTTCTTTTAAAAAGCACCTGGAAAATTAAAATTATAAACATAACTGTTATTTTACAAAACATAGCTAAAGACGTCTTGGCATCTCGCTAAAGTATTCTTTTCTAGTTGGCAAGAACAACAATGTGACGGGGCGTGGAGCCGCGAGCGAGGCACCGCCGGCGGCTGCATCAATTTTATTGGTAAAAATTAAACCGAAACGTTATCCTATATATAATTAAAATTTAGCAACCTTCGCGCGTAATCCCCAATTTTTGGTGCAGTTGACAAACGCAAGGAATAGCGTGGAAGGGGACGGCAACTGCACGGTAAGCTGAAAATAATTAGTGCCAGTATCACGGCTATTCTAGGTCATCGTCGCCGTGCTGCAGAAATTCCGGCGTGAGATGAAGAACCATGGCAAAGAGAATCTGCCGATCGGGTTTTCAGTTTACCGGGTATTAAATAACAATTGCATAAAAATAAATAAACCTCCCTAGGCTCCACCAAACTTCACCGGCAAGCTGGACGAGCGCTTCTTCCGGACGAACCGCTCGGTGGCCAAGGTGCCGGTGTTCGTCAATATGCGAGAGGTGGGTATCGGTCAAAGAAATCGATAATTCTGTATTTTTTATAAAAATTGGTAAAGTTTTTACGTTTCGGAAGAGTAATCTTGCAAATTCTATTCCAGGTCACGGCTCGTTTCCGCGTCCCGCCCGGCCAATACATCGTAATTCCATGCACTTTCGAGCCGCACGAATCGGCCGACTTCTTGTTGCGCGTCTTTTCCAATGGCGATGCCGCCATCAGGTACTTTGCTGTTCAAGACTCGTATCTAAAAAAGGTCCTCAATTTGAAACATACTTTTCAGGGAAATCTTCTAAACCTTGCTTCTTTCTTCCTGGCTTACGCTTCTAAATCTGGTCTTGCCATCATCTGAATCCCCGTACGGGTCACCCATCGACACGCATTTCCGCTTAATAATGAACCGCTAATAAATGATCTCCAGTACCACTTCAATCGATTGCGAGTAGTCAATTCTTATTCATTGCACACATTACCATACACACAAAAGAGCGACGACAATTTTAAAGCCACAAATAGGCACACTCGCATAGAATACTGTGAGAGGAGGAGCAACAGCAACCGATTGTGATCACAACGCGGGCAACACAATTCATAATAAATGCAAAACGGGAGGCTAAAAGTATAATTTGTGTGTATGAGTCTAAAAACTGGGGGTTAAAGCTCAGTGGAACCGGTGAGAGATCGACGTGTAAAAGGATATGAAGATACTGGATTAGATTAGAACGAGAGAAAAATAAGGCACAAATTCTTAACAGATCACTGACTGGCTGCACGTTGAGTAAATGAGGAATGTGAGTTGAGCTTATTGGTCCTTGCCCTGCTTCTTCGTGATGTCTTCTTGTAGCCGCCGCCATTTTTTGAGGTCAAGCTGGAAAAATTGGAATTATTGAAGGATTTTGTGTGGTTTTTTTTGTTTTCTTCTTTTCCTTCTTAGGTATCTCGCCTTTTTTGGGACGCCCTGTATAAAGCATAAATAAGCTCACCGAAGTGCGGGTCCGCTGGTGCTCCTCGTCCTCCTCGGGCACCGACGGCATCAGGTTGTCCTCGCCGATCGGGGAACGACGAGTTGGCGATCGAGGGGATAAGTCACCTAATTTTAAGAAATTATCGGAAACAGCAAACCACTCACCTTCCGGCAACAGGCTGTCCTTCTCATTTTGGGGCACTTTCTCGCTCATCGCCGCCAACTCGTCGACGATGTCGATGGCGCTCGTGCAGGTGGACATCTGAAAATACCCCGGCTAAATCTAAAAATTACACCAAAATACCGGATACTGGGCCATCCCGTCGGGGGTATTAAGAGAAGTTCGCGAGAGCTGCAAGCGATTTGGTCGCGTAACCGTCGAGTTGCGACTAAAATTAAAATAATTGGTGAAAGCAGGAAAAGACGAAAACCTGAATCTGTTGCGCACACTCTCCAAGAAACCCTTGTTCCGTGTATTTAGTGACGTCTTCGAATCAGAGACACGGTTCACGGAGACGACCTAAATTTGGTCAAAATATGAGGTTAGTTTCTTACCGAAATCCCGCGAGGGAGTAGACGATGCCCATCGCCGTAATCCAGTGAATTTTCAAGTTGTTGCTGGTCTTCAACGTGCGGCATCATCACGACTTCATCAGCTTTGGGTCTGAAAAAAAACAGGATAACCGGTATTTTTGATAAAAAATTCTTACGAATCGAATAACTCACTCGACTTGAGCCACTGATCCGATTTGCGGGTACTTTGGCTTGCTCGCGGTGTCGGCCGAATAAAGTGGCTCTCCCTAAAATCGGAATAAACCGCTAAATCAAATTTTACGTTGGCTCGGTCCTGCCAGAAGAAATCCTTCTCCTGTGGCGGGGGGCTGCTGTAGATCTCGTCAACGTAGAACATCCCCACCTAAAAATGCCATAAAATCCAATAGTTAGCAAAACCCCAAGATTCCGATCGATCAGGTAGTTGCACTCAAAATCGTCGTCATCTTCGCCGAGCGGATTCATTAGGCTTTCGGCGACCTATACAAAAATGAACCAAGTTCCGGAACCGGACCTTCATCCAACCGACGAAAAATATGTATTGAAGCGCTGTCATCACGAAGGGCACTACCGGATACCACTAAAAATCAAGAATCAACGAAACCATCCTTTTCAATACAAAAACCGAAGCGAAAAAATCCAACCTTGTTGCCGTCCTTCGGCACTTGCCCATCAATTAGCACACTCTGTCGGGCCAGCAAGCAAATGAAGAAATACGATCTCACGGCGAGGAACACCACCTAAATACAGAATAAATAAATAGACAAAAAAAATTCAAACCTGAGGATAGACCAGCGGTATCGGCACCCAATCAAAATTCAATAACCTAGCCAAACCCGTGCGGTATTCGGTGATGTGCTAAATCAGCATAAATACCCAAAAAAATTAAAGCAACCTTTAAAATCTCGTTCAGCATGATATCCGCAGACAATTTCCCGCCCTGCCGTGCCTCAAACAAGATTGAAAATGCCCAATCGATCGGCATAAAATGCTTGTTGTAGCGAAAGGCCGTGTCTTCAAAGGCTTGTCTCTCCGCTTCGGTCATCAGGCCTAGAGAGTTACTAAAGCACCAGCAAAACTTCTAACCTGCTGCCACAACGGTCTCCAATGTCGGGAAACGCTTCCTGACCTGCATACTAATGTCGCGGAAGACAAGGACCTAGAAAATATTAGAAAAAAACGGTGACTTTCTTACCTGTGTTAAGACCATGTATTTGATGACATTTCGTCGTAGCATTCGCCCAGCGTTGTCAGCACCGCGTAAATAAGTGGCGAGAAAAAGAGCAGTGCTAAAATTAAAATTATACGGTAAAGATAAGCTTTTCTTACTTATCGACCCATCCGATATTGTTGAAAATCTCGTTCCATCTGCCGACAATGATCGTCACAAAAAATCCGAGCATGAAGGTGAGCGGGATGTAGTCCAATTTCATATCGAATAATGCGGCAAAGTTGTCCCAGGCCCTGAAGTTCAATTTTAGACTCAAACGACAATCATACTCTCTCGTCTGCGGTGTGATCGCATAGTCGGATCGGTAGATGAGCATAATTAGACCGAAGACCAAGGAGTACAGCGCCAGCTCGAGCATCACCGACTTCCAAATGCTGCCCCGCCATCGTAGCTGTAGTTTCAGGAAGCTAAACAAGGTAGCGCGAATATGTAAACGTATCAATAATCGCGTACCCGAGAAACGAGGTTTCGACAATGTCCAAGTTGTAGGTTACCGTCATCGCATCGGGGAAGCCAGGGTGGCTTTTTGGGGAAGCGGCGAAGAGCTGAAAAGAAAAATTAAAGATTTTCGAAAAATCGCAAAACAAAATGTTCGAGATCATTTTGAAAGTCTCATTTATAAGCAGCGTAGGTTTTTGATTTTCACTGCATGCTCAATCGGTTCGCTAATTTCGCTTTTGTGCAATCATTAAACAGTTACACAAACAAAAAAGGATAACCCAAGTCTAGAAACTTAAATTTAAAGCCGACTTCAACATTTACAAGCATAATCTCCGGGGTTTGCCCCCGTAATCAGTTTTTGGGCGCGGGAAAGGTCTAGGTTTGAGGCGCGAGAGACCCGATGTCAGCCGGGCGAAAAAAGGTGATACTTGAGACGCAGCCCTCGGCCCCTAGGCCGAGATTAAAGCCGAGCTGACCGGTGGGTGTGGGCCCTATTGATGGGCGGTTGCTGAATGCAAAAGCGCGTGAGGGCCCAGAGTCCAAGGGTTGTCCGAGTCGCGCCCAAATAGAGGACAACACTTGGTCAGATGGGAGGTCCCTGCCTTGTATGGGGGTTGTCTGGCGCCAGGTGGCCCCTGCAAATGAGTCGGACGAAGGCCATTTCCTGGAATTAAATTACTGAAAAAGTGTTAAGACGGCTGGCGCATGTTAGTAGGGATCTAGGACCTTTTCGGGAAAAATATAGCTAGTTCTGGATTGTTAGCACGGGAGCTAATTTTGACCTATTGCCCGTAGGACCCGAATAAGGTTGGCCTACGCATCATTTGTCTTCATAAAAGTCCACCAAAAAAGCATCCGCTTTTGCGACAAAAAAATTCATTTTTGCCAAATGTCAACACATTTTCAAAGTCCTAACGTTTTAATGATGTTTTAGTAAAAAAAAACACTAGAAAATACCCTATAAAACCCTAAAAATTTCCCTATACCCCCCGCTAATTGTCCAGAACCAGAAAAGCTCTCCAGAAAGTCCAGAGCCTCCAGGGACCTTTGAAGGTCGACTGGTGAAAGTCTTTATGTGATGGCTGGTTCTCTGGCCTCCGGAAAACGTCATTTTGAAATTTCGTTGAGGTTTAGTCATCGGCTAGGCCCCGAGCACCAGAAAAAGGCAATCGTCCAAAAAAGAGTTGGCCTAACCGAATTCGCGTCTAGAAAGCCCGGGAGGGATCGGAAGAGCCGGCTGCTTTAGTGGACCCACCCCAGCCCAGCGCGAAAGTCATAAAATTGTGCGCCGGAATTGATGGGCCCCGGGCAAATGTGAGCCCCCAAATCGATCGTCTTGGGTTGCTAAAAGCTAGCCGAGGCGACGATCAGCCCGACATTATATTTCTGATAGCGAGGGTAGATTGGGGGGCCCGCAGCCAAAACATATCCCGTCTACGAATATCGGGGAGGGTGACCGGCTGAACAAATTGCCAGGGCCGAGCGGCTGTTCTTTCTAAAACCCGTGGACCGGATGCTGGATTTGAATGTTGAACGATAGTTGACGAGCTAGAATAAAGGCGCTCTGATAAGATATGGCGCTACAACAAAATCTAATAAAAAGACAAACTGAAAATTTCCTAAAACAAGATTTCTTCACACTTCCTAGGGTAGACGAGCGGGGTTGAATGTCCGAAATGTGTGTGTGGGCTTTTGTGTGAAGCTCGGGCCAGTTGGGGAGGGCAATGGATTGAATGGCTTCACGTCGTCTGCGCACAAGTGTGTTTACTTCTGCTTTTCCTGGTGTCCCCGGGGCCCCGGAGAGGGCGATGCAGAAAGGCGAAAAAGCGTGGAACTGACCCGAAAAAGCTCTTCGAAAAACAATGATCATGGCAGTCAAGCGGAGCGAACATAGTCTGAATTGCTGTATAAATTACAGTAAATTTAAATGTTACTGTATAAAAAACTTAAGTAACCAGCCGCTTCCAGCGGCTTCGCCGCTGCAAGCGGCTGGACTTCGGGCTTCCTCCCTGCACTCCCTTCCCCTCGCCGAAACGCGCGCGACCTGGCTCACTATGCGAAAATCATGCCAACCACCGTCCCCCACCCCTTTTACTAAGGAAAAAACTTCCAAAGTTAATTTTAATAATTTTAACTAAAATTTTTTCATAATTTTTTTATCAGTTTGGGGGTTTCTGATGACGCTCTATCCGAATCCGAAGAGAGCTAAGCTCTAGCTCCTTTCCCCTTCGAGTTGAATCTGGGACATGACGCACAGACAGACAGACGGACAGACACCTCAAGAAAATTATTATAGTTGATATAGCCAGGAATTCTAAAGTACCAGATGGTTACAGTCGCTTCGCGACTGCAACCATCTGGCCTTCGGGCTATCCCTACATGTCCTACTCCACCACATCCTTCCCTACCTCCTTCAAACCCCCCCCTGATAACCGAAATCCCCTTCAAAACTATTTAAACACCTTCCTGATGGCTTCAGATACCCCCCATGGCTGAAATCGCCTTCAAAAACTACCTAAATACCTTCCTGATGGCTTCAGATACCCCCCATGGCTGAAATCCCCTTCAAAAACTACCTAAATACCTTCCTGATGGCTTCAGATACCCCCCATGGCTGAATTCCCCTTCAAAAACTACCTAAATACCTTCCTGATGGCTTCAGATACCCCCCATGGCTGAAACCCCCTTCAAAAACTACCTAAATACCTTCCTGATGGCTTCAGATACCCCCCATGGCTGAAATCCCTTTCAAAAACTACCTAAATACCTTCCTGATGGCTTCAGATACCCCCCATGGCTGAAATCCCCTTCAAAATTACCTAAATACCTTCGTGATGGCTTCAGATACCCCCATGGCTGAAATCCCTTTCAAAAACTACCTAAATACCTTCCTGATGGCTTCAGATACCCCCCCATGGCTGAAATCCCCTTCAAAAACTACCTAAATACCTTCCTGATGGCTTCAGATACCCCCCCCATGGCTGAAATCCTCTTCAAAAACTACCTAAATACCTTCCTGATGGCTTCAGATACCCCCCATAGTAGAAATCCCCGTCAAAAGCTACCTAACGATGGCTTTAGATACTTTAAATAATTTAAATAATTAATTAACATAATTAAAAGTATTAAAAAATATATTAAAAAGTATTAAAGTAACTCAAAACGCTATTTGGGCGCGGGAAGGGGCCTGGGGAAGAGGGGCGAAGGGAAAGGGGGCGTGGCCTCCCGGGAGAGGAGCCCCCACTCGTTTTATTAAGGTTAATTTTAATAATTTAAACTAAAACTTTTTCATAATTTTTTTATCAGTTTGGGGGTTTCTGACGGCGCTCTATCCGAATCCGAAGAGAGCTAAGCTCTAGCTCTTTTCCCCTTCGAGTTGAATTCGGCTTCAGACGGACGGACAGAGACCACAACAAAATTATTATAGTTGATTTTAGTTTTATTTAATTAAAATTATCTCAATTGTGCGATGAATTCAGCAGCAGCGACCTCGTTTTTAAAAAGCACTCCGCTTCCGCTCCACGCCAAATGACGCTACCGTAGGTAATGGTCGTAGCATTCCACTTTCACATCGCCGGTCTGTTTTTTTTCTGTTTGAGTCCGGATTTTTTACTCTCTCTCGCTTTCTTTAGTTACCACCAGTTCCTCGCTGTTTACAAAATCTTACCAATCCGCAATTTCAGGCAGCCATGTACTTCCAAAATCTCGACAACGATGAGGAGGTACAGATGGGCCGAATGGGCAGGAGAGAGTCCGCGCTTTACAGAGCGGTTTGTGGCAATTTTTTTGCGTTGATCCATTTTTAGATGGGCGTACAACCGGCTCAACCCTTGGTCTTGAGCCCTGCGACGTCGCGCCACCAATCTGAAAATCGACCCGAGCCATCACCACCCGCGGATCCGGCACCCAACGAGAAGCCCGCGCCGCCTGCCGTCAGTGCCCCGCCTATCAGGGTGTCCCCGCCAAAGTTCATGCCCTCGCTCAAGAACCGTGCTGTCAAGATATATCCTAGCGAACTACCACAGGTATATTAGCGTAAAGTCTCTTACGTTTCCTTTAGAACAAACAACAGCCCGCGACTCCTGCTTTCGGCTCTAAGGTAACGCCAAGCGCTCCGACGTGGCCTTCCAAACCTCCTGCTCATCCCGAACCGACTACAGCAAGGCCGAAAACGAATGATGGAAACGCCAAAGTTGCCTCAACAACGGCCCAAAATCCATGGGTAATTTTGTTTTTTTCCCGTCTAATTTAGCTTTAGACGCGTGCTCCGGTTCCGGCTCCTATTCCCCAGGATTTCATCCGAGTAGAGGTATCTTTTTGGTCCTGACTGAACACTGTTCTAATCCGGCATTGTTTGTCTTCTTTGGCGGCACTACTATACACTTATTACCCACTTTTTTCAGACCTTGTGCCTGTCGGAGACAAATGTCGTTGGACCCTGCGTCCCTGAGCGCAATCAAGAAGCAAAAAACGCGGTCTTGTCGGCGGTGAGCTAATAGGTAGAGTTGTTATTCGACCCGGGTCGACATGGTCGAAACTTTTTGAAAACGATAGGTTTTTTCTAAAGTAGAATTCCGCGATTTGGTTTTCATATTGATTCTGTGATTCTGTGGAACTTTGCTACATTTTGAGTCATTAAACTATGGGTTTTCATGTTAGAATCATAAAGAACGGGCTGCTTTGCCTTGCTCGTGCGCGGCCCATTTTCGGAGCCTCTTCCCTCTGCCATGGATGGTGTGCGGTTCTTTGTGATTTTAGCATGAAAACTTATAGACTCAAAATATTTAGGAAATAATCTCACAGAATCAAAACTGAAAACGAAATAGCAGAATTTGACTTTATAAAAAGTTATCGATATTACAAATTTCTCGCTGCGGGAGACTACAAAAGTTTCGATCATTTCGACCCGGGTCGAATAACGACTCTAACTATAGGTATTCGAGATATTCTGTTTTCTAGATGCTCATCAGAAGAAATGAAGCGCTGCTGCCGCAAACGTTGAAAGAGGCCCAGGCCGTGGAACTGGATGACTCGGACGACGACTGGATCATCTGAGGCTAAACCGATCACTTGAAAACAGCGCACTCAGTATTTTTTTACTATCGTTATTCATATGCCTTTGAAATTAATACATGCATTCTTGTTCTTGCTAATAAAGTATTATTCGATCCACGCGAACAGTAATAATGGACAAAAAAAAATGCATTCCGCCTTTTACTTTTTCAATTTGGTGTCTGGCCGGCGATGGGCTTGCGACGAGCGTTGTGTATTCATCGCGCGGAATCGGTAGGTTGCTCCAGCCGAAAAAGGTTCAAAAATGCATGTTCGTCGTGTTCGGGAGCGAACGTCGGGCGGCCCGGTGAAGTGAACTGGCGAAGAGTATCTCGAAGCGCGCCTTGGAAAGATGCTAGCTTTAGCCCTATTCATCTTTCAATTGATCCCGATTTACGCGATCAAATGCGTTCGGCAGCAGGGCTTGATCGAGTCCAAGCGGGTAGACAATTATACGTGAGTATTTTACAGGTTTCTTAATTTTCCTCTTCAGAATTGGCTCGTGTCGTGGGGATCTATGCTACTACTTCAAAAGCGAAGAAGATGTGATGGATCGGGTTAGCTGACCATTTTCCAGGCCAATAAATTGATTTCAGGACTGCCTTTCCGGTTTCAGCTATCCGGTCGGCTGCCAAACATACCCCGGAAAGGGGACGCTGTGTATTTGCGAGTAAGCTTTGATGAATTTTGTCTTAATATCTTTTCCAGAAACTTAATCATTCTTTTAGCGCGTTAACCTAGGCTTAATCTATTTTCTTTTCAGTTCGAACAATTGCAATCGCGGTTCGATCGATCGCAACTTTACGATGGCCCCCGTTTGGTGTAACGTCTACAATGAGGTAGAAAAGCGCCTATTTTTTGCCTATCATTACGTTAGTTTAGATGCGCAAGCTACAGTAAAGTATTCTTTTGTAAAGATTAGCTTTAGATTTACAATCACCACTTTCACAGCCACTCTATCGTTACCGCGATCTCCCGGCGCAATTTCCCGATATGCACGGTGAACGGCGAGCTGATGGTTCGTCAATTTTTGAGGGTTTTTTGCCAGGACATACAGCCGATTTGGGATATAGGCAGCAATGCTCGAAACGTTAAAATCCATAACATTTTAGGTAAACGGCGACGAGGAAATCTCGACGCTAAAGCTTTGGGCGGGGACCCCAGATCCTCATTTCTCATACCACACCGATGCGACGCCAATTCAGGCAGGAGATCAAGCGGATTTGCTTTGGAGGTAAGGATTTTAACCTTTAACGGATAAAACTAAATTCCTTTATTTTCAGCTTCACCTACGAGGGCGGCCTGTACGCCTTACAAAAAGACCCGGGCGTCGTGTCGCTTTTTGCGCGCTGTACGAGCGACTACTGCAACCATTTTACGTTCTCGGATGTTGAGCGAAAAGGGCCGAAATGTGTGCTTCCGGGTGGACAAGGTGGGTAGATGCGAGGACGTTGGGGTGAAAAACTACGAGAAGCAGGATAGCAGAGATCTTTGAGGAATTTTAGCTTAATTTTCGAATGCTAACGTTCAGAACCTCTAGAATGCGAGGGGACATTTTGCGTCTACGCTACCGGTGAAGTGGACGTCGTTCAGAAGCTGACCACTATGGTGAGAATAATTCAAGTTAATTTGTGTTGCCTTGTTCATAATAACAATATTAAGGAATTAGTTTTTATCTCTAACGTGCATCTTCTCTCTCAAAATCGAAGATTTTTATCAGGAAAATCGAAATTAATATACTGTTTGATTCCAGATTGACGGCGTGGAGGAGCAGATCCACGCGCTCGTCGGGCAGCAGACCCGTTCGGCCCAGTATTGTCTTTCCCAAAATGCCGACAATGCCGCGTTTGCGATTACGGTAGATGGAGCAGAGATTAGGGGACTGTGCCATGTTTAGGCGGGAGTTTACAAGTTCCGACGGATTACCTATTACGTCTGCGACGAGGAGAATTGTAATTTTGATGAGGCGACGGCGAGGCTGGCCACCGAAAACTGCACTAATACGTTCCAGGTCAGTGGAACTTCCTCTCTCCCTCTCTCTCTCTCTCTCTCTCTCTCTCTCTCTCTCTCTCTCTCTCTCCCTCCCTCTCTCTCTCTCTGGCACACCTTGCTGGTTCCATTAGAGCCAGAATAAAACTTTCATTTAGTACATTACTTTCCTATAGCGGGCTGCACCGCGTCGTGAGGTTCTTCCGAAGCGCCGCCCCTCCTACCCGCCCCAGCCGACGATCCTGGGCGATGGCAATTGGACGGTACCCACCAGTGGCTATGTGGATGGCGATGAAAATAGAAGGGTAATTTTCAAGGGACCGGGAAGGTAGAATCCAGAAAATCGATTACGATTGCATAATTTAATTTCACGCTCAAATTTTCAGTCCAACCCGAAATCCGGCGGCGCTTCCGTCAGGCTCCAAATGACGGTTTTCAGTATGATTTTAGCATTTTTGTCGTTTTTAATTGACGTTTGATTGAGCATGAACTGGTTTACTGAGGAGCGCTTTATCTTTTTCGCAATCATTTTGTCTGTCTATCTCTCTCGCGCGCTCTCTCTATCTCAGTCCCTCTCCATCTGACTCTCAACCCCTCTCTCGCTCTCGCGCTCTCTATCTCTCGTCCTAACTTTCTATACTTTCCGCTTTTTCTAGTTATCGTTTTCCGCTCCAATACTTTCTTTCGCGCTCGTGCTCTCTCTCGCGCTCTATCTCTTGCTCTTTCTCGTCGCCATTTGCGAAAACATCATTTTATCGGATAAATTTAAATTAAACGCACAAAACATTGACGCATATGGTGGTGTACGTACACGTGGGCGAGCGAAAATCCGGGGGCACTCGAATTTTAAAGAGTCTGGGGAGCAAAAGTTCAAAAAACCGGACAGCAGCTGTATGGTCTGGGTCTCGACTAGAATTTGGGCCTAGGCAAAAGACTCGGTTGGGTACGGTAAAGAGAGATTTCTGGGATACGGTAGATACCGTATACAGCTTCTGGGGGTCGCAGCGATATGAGAATTGCACTTATAGGTGAAAGGTACAGAAAAAGGAGACGAAAAAGCATTCTTTGGCGGTTTAAAGGTATTAGCCACTTTCAGGGTGCCTTTTTTGGCCCTTTAAAATCCAAAAAAAAACTCCTCAAAAATGACAAAAGCAAAACCAAGGAAAAAAACTGAAATTTCAAATGGCTGATATTTGGGGGAAATGGGGGAGGATAAGCATCAGGTGGCTTGCATACGCTTAAGCCTAAGCCAAGCCTAAGCCTGAGCCTTAGCTTCACCGACTAGTAGATATTGGGGTCATCGTACCAGGTGTAGCGTTGCGTAGCCCCCGGCGTGTACGAGTAGCGATTGAGGGCCGACGAGTCGCGGCCCGTCGAGGAACCTGGAGAAAAAGATGATTTATTTTGTTTAAGAAAGACTATTCATTCGATTTTCGATATCTTAAAAGCATTATTATGGTAGAGTTATACGGTTTTTGCAAAACTAACAAATCCGTGTTGGGTACAGCACCGTAATTCCCAAAATTTGCTTAAAAATTAGCCCCTTTCAAGAAAATAACATTAATTAAAATGCCGAAATTTCATTTTGTCGGCTTTTAAGAACCTGAATGAAAACAAAAAGCTTCCCACCCGGATATTTGCGATATTGGGGCACGTAGGGCGGGTCCCGAGACGCGCTCGCCGTCGTCGACAGTTTCGACGTGTAGCCGCTGCTGCTGCCCACGCCGTACTTGTCGGCCGTGCTGCTCGTGCCCGTGTCGTAGCGCCTGGCATTTGTTGTAGTTTGTGACACGTCGTATAATTTTTCAAGAAAGAAAGAAAGGAAAAAAGAAAGCGCTTAACCTGGATTTTTTGCATTTCATTAAAATTTAATTTGGTACATTTTTAAAATTATTTATGAAGATTTAACCCTCATAACAGCATTTTTTCATTTTAATAATATTTAGACGATGAAAACTCACGAGCTAGCCCCCAAATAGGGATAATCGGTAGATGTGGTCGACGGTTCGGTCCGCCAGGATAATCCCTTTGTATCGCGCGGAGGACTGGCACGCTTGTAGCCGCTAGACGCCTCCGAATACCTGAAAACGAGGTTATAAACAGTTTTTAAACCAAGATCGGTTTCTAAGAGTTGCCCAAGCTACCGTACCCAATTGTGGTGATGGTGCCGCCATCTCCAAGCCGCAGCTCGCTCGTCTTCCGTCGGTTCATGTCGATCGATGAACGCTTCTTCATCTTGGCTGCTGGAAAATAGAAGTTTCCTCGATGGTCTCTGCCGGCTTGCCTTTGAGAGAGAGAGAGAGAGAGAGGGAGAGAGAAGAAGAACCAGCTTACATACCATCGCTGCTTGGGAATGCAACCGGCGGAGGGCTCTGCGTCTTCTCGAGGCTCAAATGCCGTCTCAGCCGATCGATGACGCCCCGGACCCCTCCGACGCTTGACGCCGGCTCGACGTCATTCTGGAGCAATACGGTAGCTAAGCAAGAGCCGAATGTGCTACCTTGTTTTTTAGGATGCTCCTCGGCTTATCGTCCCGTCCGAGGCTCTCGCGATCCAGATGCGAGTCGCGCTCATAGCCACCATAGCCATAGCTGGATGAGGAATAGGCGCCGGCTGGGTGCTCGGAGACGGCTGAGAGTTCGGGGGTGACCAGGCGGGAACGAACACCGCTCAGTGGGCCTGAAAAAGGGAGTATCATCTCCTGATGCTCTCACACTCTCTCTCTCTCTCTCGTCCCTATGCACTCCTTTCTATTTTTGCTCGTGCCCCACTATATCTCTTGCCCGCCTCTCAGGCTCAGTCTTCTCTCTCTCTCTCTCTCTCTCTCTCTCTCTCTCAAGTCAACCCACCAGTCAAATGGTCCAATTCCGCCCTTGCCCTATCCGTTGATCTGCTCCTCGCGTAGTTCCGTTTGTCCTGCTCGGAAAGGGCGGAATGCACTCGCCGTGGCACACCTCGACGGCCATCTGGAGCTGTCGACAGCGCCAGACGATCACTTTCACCGGGTGTTACTGTAAAAAGCACGATTGCTTAGCCAGGGTCGGAGCGAGCCCCTAACTAACTGCTTGTCTTGAACTGCTGGCAAACTCACGTGATCTCTCATAATCAAAATTCCTCCTCGCTGATGATGTGGTGTACCCGCCTGCTGTCGCATTATCATATGGACTACGGGATGTATATGCTGGTTGATAGGATGAAGCTGTGGCATATGAGGGGGCTGCCGAGTAGCCGGTGGAGGGTTGGTAGAGGGGGGGTGCGGGAGGAGTAGCCGCTTGCCACGGAACTGAACCAGAGAATTTGTCCGGAGAACAACTGCATTAAACATAGTGACTACGCATCGCTCCGCAGTACGCTACGCTACTTTACGCACTTTACGCGGCAGTACGCTATGTACGACTAATAATAGGTTTGGAGAAGGTATTTTACGCAACGCCAGGACACGCCGCGCACGGTACAGTATGCCACTCGCGGTTACGCGACGATACGTAAATAGACGCGGGGTAAGAGGCTACTTTACCCCCCCCCCCCCTCCACAGCCGAAGGGTCTCAAAGTTGTCGGTATTTTCGCTTATTTTGTCGGGATTTTTGCAACGCCATTCGATAGAGCGTCGAAAAATATACTAATAGTTTTAATTTGAGCCTACAATAATGTAAAATAAAAAAGTTATAGCCAAAAACTTCCGGCTGGGGGGGGGTAAAGTAAACCGTAGCCAGACGCGGTTTTCGTATTGATATGAGAGAGATATGTATGCTAGACTAAGATACGCGATGATACGCAACTTTACGCATACACGACAATACTACGACTGAAAAGCTCACGATGGTGCAGGCTCCCGATTCCTTTCCGCCCGCGTACGGTACACCTCGAACCTGTTGACGTTCCATGGAGCCGTTGAAGGGTCCTGAAAAAATTAATTTTTATTTTGCGGTGTCCTTAAGATCGCATTTAATTCCAGAACTAATTTTGATAATCAACCACTGACCTCATCATATTTCCTTGAGCTGGCAGGAGTGGCATGAGTGGAGGTGCCGCCGCGGGTCCTACAAGGGGATTACTGTAGCTTGGTAGGTTGTATAGTAGGTTTTGCGCTCGATTTGTATATTACTAATTCCAGATTTCCCCAGCTATTTCTGCTAGCTTGCCCTAAAAAATTTAAAAAATTTTTCATTTTTGATGATTTTTAGTGTACCAAATTCCGATACTTACTTATAGGTGAACGCGCGTCGGAGCACCATCTAGTGAGTACGCAAAAATACGTAGGCCGACCAAAGGAATCAAACGGATTTGGGGCGACGCGCGGAAATGCGGATGGCGCGCGGAGGCGTAAGGAAGTCCTCGGGTTTCGCCCCGGAACGGCGGGGGGCCAAAACGGGTCAAACAAGCGGATTTGTCGAAAAAGGGGGCCCAAGACGGTGTTGAACACTACGCGACAATACCCCCGCTGGGGACAACACATAATGGGGAGAGAGAGGGCGATATTTACCATGCGGATTTAGCAGAGAAGGGAACCCTAGCAAGGTTTCCGCTCCCATTTTTGGCCGTTTTGGTGGTGAATAAACATTTTTAGGGGTTTTTAGGACAGTATGCTACGCTACTCAACGCTACGCCAGCTACGTGCACTAAAGGGCTACGGTAGCTACCAAGACCAACGTTACAGTACTCTAGTCAGAAAGGACTTTGAGGCAGGAAATCGGCTTTTCTCATTTGGACGGCGCAAAATCATGATCAATCTCTCTCTCGCTCTCTTTCTCTCGCTCCATCTCTCTATCTTTCTCTCGCTCTCTCCCAATCCCCTAAAAACTGACCCATAACCGTAATCACGTTCGGGCGAGTAGTCCCTGGTAGCGCGCGTGGCTCGATCCATATAGCTCGGCTAAATTCATAAATCACCAATTTTTGTCCTTTGAGCCGCTTACCGTATACCCGGTGCCGGCGCTGTAGTTCGAAGTGGACGAGTAGTCGCCTCGGCTCTCGCTGCCAGCGATATCCACACCGCTCAGCGCCCTGAAAATGGGTTAAACTCGCGTCTGAATTGGTCCTAAAGGGCCCAGCAAGTCAAAAACGGCTATGGATTTTTTAGAACTTGTCGAAAGCTGCTTTAGATTAAAAAACTAAAATAATTTTTATTGATGTATTAAAAATATTATTTTTTCTTATTTTGTCTTGCTGTGGTCCCTCTTTTGTCATTTCATTAGTGCGCCTAGTCACCGCATTAATGTCACTCAAAATTGGGTTTAAAAATTGGACATTCATAAAATGTCAGTACCATATGGTTGGCCATAAAAATGAATACAAATATTGATTGGGATTAGGAACATTCGGGGTAATTTTTGGATTTAAAAACTTAAGAATTATTGTTTTGAGCATCGGGTTAAAATCTGCGTAAAATTGTCTTTAAATACCTCTAAAATTCCTAGGATTAATTTCAGCAAACCTTCGCTATGGTATTTTAAGGTGAAAAAACGTTGAAATTGTTTAAAGGGAAAGAGGAAGACAAAAAATAGCAAAACAAATTTTTGGAAACAGTCAAAACCGTCGAAAACTCCGGTTTTTTGACTTCCCGGTCCATTTAAACCCCCCCCCACCCAAAAAATTCATAGTTAATTTTTGGCAATTAGCCAAGCTTTAGAAAATCTGTTTTTTTTTTACTTTACACTTTTTTTATACCCTTAAACCCTCTGGAGAACTCTAACTTTAAATTTGGCAACTCGCCAAGGCCTCGAAAACCCGATTTTTGACTTCCCAGTCCCTTTAAAACGCCCAGAATCCCTTGAGTATTCCAATTTTTGTTAATGGTGAGTGAAATATTCTACCGTAGCACATCCTCCGGATCGCCAATCGTCCGGTTCCGGATGCGGCGCTCGCGGTTTTTCCGCCGGATATAGGCAGCCGCCGATTCCCAGGAGTGCTTTCCGGCCTTATCCTTGCCGGCCTCATCGTCCTTCTCCGGCGATTCGACGTTTTCCTTCTCCTTCTCCTTCTCGATGGCAGGTAGGGGTTGGCTGGTCTCTCTATCTCTGCTCTCTCTGCTCTCTCTGCTCTCTCGTCGTCGATGGCTGTAAGGGGACAGGGTTTTGGAATGGGGGTGGACAACACAATGTTGCACGGAACGCGTGATAAACTTAGGTGCAACTGAAGTGACGATATTTTTAACGGGGTTTAGGAGGCTGATTTCAGCTTCTAGCTCCCAACTCCAAGGAGTTTCCCCTCCCTAGATCCTAGTTCCCAGCTCCCTGCACTTGCGAGCTCCCTAGCAGGTCCTAATTTTCTCGTCTGATTAATCTAAGCTTCTGACTCCTAGCAGCTTGCAGCAGCTTACTCTTAGCGCTCCAAATCTCTTAGCTCACAGCTCCTAGCTATTAGTTTCCAGCTCCTAGCTCCTACCAGACTCTAGCTTCCAGCTCTAGCTGTCAGCTTCCTTGGTTGATTCTGGCACTTAGTAAAGGCTGGTTTTTACAGCTCCCAGCTTCGAAAATCTTGTAGCAGCGTGTAGCTCCTAGCTTCTAGCGCTTAAGAAATTATCATAAATCGCAGATTCTAGCTACGAGTTTTGGTGGCTAGCCCTAAGCAGCTCCCACCTCCTAGTGGGTTATAGCTCCTTATAACTCTTAGCTCCCAACACCTTTTTCCCAGCTCCTGAGAGCACGCGGCTTCTAGTAGCTCCTAACTCATAACTTAAGGGTTTCACAAAGTCAGTTTAGCTCCAAGCTGCTGGCTCCTAGGAGGTCTAGATCCCTAGCAGATTCTTCTAAAAAGCCATTCAATAGCAGCCAGCCTCGTTAATTAGCGAGTGTCAAAACGTCTTGCTGTACAAGTGACACCAAATGACACAGAGTATGGTACCGTAACCCAAAAAAGGCAACTAGTTTTTGGTAAAACCAAGGATGGTGTTGTGGAAGTGCTGACATAAAAAAACAAAAAATTTCCCGGCTACTGTAGCATGCAAGGGTTTCGTCGAATGGATTTGAAAAACGGGATTCCCCAAAGAATCTCTGCTAGGCTGCCCCTATTCGCTTTTCCGTCTCACTCCTTTCGACGAAACCCCAATTCTCCCGAACCAAAGCGTGATTTGCATACAGCCATGGATGCGCTATCCATTCCATTTTCTGGCTTACGTGGCAAAGCTTCTGCCCGGCGCAGCCCCAAGTGGATAATGACGACCAGGTGGGGCATTGGTGGTGGATGAAGCGGAAGTAGAGACAGGGCCCGGTGCCAGGGCAGACGAGAGACCCACAGCCTGGGCCCTGCCCAGATAGTGGGCCACCAGATCGGCCGTTTCCCCAACGGAGGAGATGGCTCTCCGGGTGTATGCCTGGGGTCGTGGCCGACTGGCCGTGGTGGGACCATTTCCTACTGTACCCGCTACAGTACCACCACCAATTGCCCCACCGCCACTTGGCCCCTCAACGGAGAGACGGGAGCCGCTAAAGAGTATTTTTTTGCTCAGTTTAGGCTAAGGCTTATGCTCCTTTCGGGATCGATAAGTTAGGATCGATCCATATCCAGTAAGCCATTGAAAAACTTGAAAACGGTAGATTGCGCAGAAAACTGGAGTTTTCGATGCTTTTCTGCTCGTTTTCTCCGAAAATTCCGCCTCAAAACCTACGCGGTCAAGTGTACGGGGTTGTACTCTTTCGGCTCGATGGCTACTGGAGCGACGGTCGACGGCGCAGCTGCGGGCTTTGCAGCCGCCGGGTGGCCGTTGGTGGTCGGGGCGTATTTGCTAGAACGTGTCCGGTTTTGCCGTAAAAAAAGGTACGGTACCTCGTCGGGGACTTCAGCTCAGCTACGGTGACGATATACTTGCCCTGCATGGGTTTTGGTGCTGTTTCGACGGCTGGAAAATGGAAATGCAATTCGGATAAATTCTTTGGGTTTAAGATTTTCTTAGAGCGAGAGATCATGCTGTTGAACAAGGGAGAGAGAGAGAGAGACAGAGAGAGAGGGAGAGAGAGAAAGAGAGAGAGAGAGAGAGGGCGAGAGAAGGGGGGAGAGATAAAGTGAGCGAGGGAGCGAGAGTGCGAGAGATTGAGAGTGAGGGAGCGGGAGACATAGAGTAAGAGAGAGAGAGAGAGCCAGCAAAAGGTGAGAGGGAGAGAGAAAGAGAGAAAGCGAAAGAGTCTGAGCGTGACTTAGAGAGAAGGAGGGAAGAGAGAGAAAGAGAGAGAATGCGAGAGAGACAGAGCGATAGAGAGATAGAGAGAGAAGCAGGGAAGTTCAAACGTCATGCTATCATTAGTGCATAATAGGGCATTGTGTTGGTGCTGTGGGATGTGGATAGGAGTGTACCGGTGCCCGACGAAGCCGGCGAAGTGTGGATGGATGCGGGTGCGGTGTGGGTGAACGAGTCTTTCCGCGCCCCGGCCGGGATACGATGGGCCAACCCTGGAAATGAGGGAGACAGAATGGCGTGCCGAGGAGGGGCGGAGAGCGGAAATGTTTAAAGGGACCCGGAAGGGGGGTTTTAGACTGTTAGAATAAGCCGTAGTTCGAAAAGCGGAGGACCCCGAAATGCCGACGGCCAAAAACCCCGAAAAGAGGCCGAGGACCCAATCTTGGAGAATAATTCGCAGAACCCGGCCGGGGGGTAGGCTAGCAAATATTTTGGAGGAAATCTCTCGTGATTTCTGCATTCCCGGCCCCTTTAAAAGGCTCGAGAAGTAAGGAAAGCGATCGGTTAGTTCCAAAATTCCTTAAAAATGCTCACTTCCATTGGTAGCTGTAGGGGCCTGAGTCGGGGAGGTGAAGGCCGGTTTTTGAGGAGCAGCAGGTTGGGGTTTTTCCTCCTCCTCTTCCTCGTCCTCATCCTCATCGGTTTCTTCCTCCGTATCACTTTTGAGGAGTGGAGGGGTTCGCGGCGGGACCGAACCGGCACACCTGGAATAGGGTAACCTTGCTAAATTCCTGTAAGAATCTCTGCTAGCTTGCCCTGTCCCAATTCCTCAAAGAATCTCTGCTGGCCTGCCATCTCCCAATTCCTCAAAGAATCGCTGCTAGCCTGCCCTCTCCCAATTTCTCAAAGAATCTCTGCTAGCCTGCCCTCTCCCAGTTCCTCAAAGAACCTCTGCTAGCCTGCCCTCTCCCAATTCCTCAAAGAATCTCTGCTAGCATGCCCTCTCCCAATTCCTCAAAGAATCTGTGCTAGCGTCCTCCTACCACATTTTAAAGGGACTGTGAAAGCAACTTACCCCCTTGTCGGCGACGGTGATCTTGAATGTGCAGCCACTCCCCTCCACGGCGGTGCCTGGGTCTTCTTCTTCTTTTTCTTCTTCCCCTCTCCATTCTCGAGCTCCTCTCCCTCACTTCCGTCTCCGGCCACGTTCGGGTACGTCATGATGTACTTTTTGGCCTAAAACTTGTCGAATATGTTTTTGTAGGTGGCAGATTCACAATATGGACACGTAATTCTTAAAGTCGTTTGGATTAGTGAAAAATAGAAAACTGAAAAAAGTGAGAAAATGGCAAGTTTAAACATGAACATCCACAGGAGTACGGTGACAACGCAGAACACCTCTTGACGATGCTTCAGGGTTAGGGTAGACGTTCCACAAGTTTCCAATAGACACTGGGGTTACGGTATTTTCATCATTATTTATGCCAATTTGTCCTGTTTTCGCCTAAAATCTCAGGAGAACGCGCTTTGGACAGCCACGAGTACGGTTTATAGCGTTTTACGTATCCGTTCCGCAACGATCCAAAGGACGCTGGTAGGAGGACAATGATTTGCATAATTTTCGTCAAAAGCTTATATGAGAAGGACAACACGACGCGACGCTACAACAGGCTACAGTACACCCATTCCAGTCGGGACCTTGTCAAAGAGGAGTGGCGAAAGATCGCGGGTAGGCTGGGGACCGCCAATAATTCTCCGTCGTGGCAGATCTGGCTCTTCCAATACCATTCCCCGCCCATATAGATCGGCCATCATATTCTGAAATATCGGACAATTCGGGCCCCTTTCCCCAACGGTCTCTGCTAGCTGCCCCATGCTTTGAATTCGGCAGGAGGGATCATTGTTAGCCTGCCTCGTTCTGGCGTGGTTCCAAAAGAATATGTTGGAGCACGTGCTCCCCAAAAAACTCGACCATGGTCCTCAAAGGTTTCCGCTAGATTTCCCGAATGATCGCTGCTAGCCTGCCCTCTCCCAATTCATCAAAGAATCTCTGCCAGCTTGCGCTCGACCTGACCTCGGATCCCTCAAGAATCTCTGCTAGCTAGCGAATCCATTCCAATCTCCATAAATCATAATTTAAAGAATGTAAATTCATTGTTTAGGTCAGAAGAGACAGAATAGGCGATGTTATCAGTTTTTCGTAAATAGTAAAGAAAAGGAAAAGGACAGTTTGATTGCAGTGCGACTAGTAGTGATTAATAGAAAGGTACAGTATACCTACGGTATCAAATTATCTCTTTTCGCTGAATATACCTGATATTTTCCCTTTGACTGCCTCTTGATGAGCCCTCGATCGAAGGCGTCAAGGAATTGTGGGTCGACAGGCGGCACCTCCGCGGCGGGACCCTAGAAAATTACCGCAAAATTCACGATTAGTACTCGGTGCTCCGTGTGGAAAATTGGAGAGGTACGGTAAGTACGTTTCTGACGAGAAACAGCCTGGTAGACCTACCGAAGCGAGGACCGGATCTGGGGGTGCGGGTTCGGCCACCACCTCCACCTTTGGGGGTACAGTAGCCGGGGCAGGAGCCGTTTTTTCGACCTGAATATGGGTGGGTTCCTGTAGTTCCTAGATTATTAATAAACCACATATAAAAATATGTCATTCCAACCTGCTCCACCTCTTCGGCCAACTCCTCGAGCTCACTGTCGGAATATTCTTCCTCCTCGCTGTCGCCTTCTTCTAGAAATGGGTCGTTTTTGGTTTCGTTATCTCTCTCTCTCTCTCTCTCTCTCTCTCTGTCTCTCTCTCTCCCTGTCTCTCCCGCTCTCTGTCTCTTTCTCGCTCTCTCTCGCCCACTTTCTCTAAAATTACCTGGAGATATCTTTCCCGTCTTCTCCTTCTTGACGACGCTGGCGTGTGGCTGCTCAAGGGCCACATCTTCGTCGAAGCCGACCTGGAATTCATAAATTTACATAATGCCGACATCCACATACCTCGACGCTATTCCACGGTCTCGTCTGGAGCTTCTTCTTCCCACTCGCCGAAGTCGTGGGCTTCGGCTTGACCGGGCTGGTCGGCTCTTTTTTGGTCGGTGAGCTGGGAGAAACCAATGGCTCCTGGAAGATGAGGGGTAGAGAGAGAGAGAGAGAGAGAGAGAGAGAGAGAGAGCGATAGATTGAGAAAAACTCAACACAAACCTGATGTGCAATCTTTTCGGCTACACTATGTGGCTGGGTGGCAATGATCGATTCGAGCAACTCCTTGACCATGGGCCGATGATCGTAGAGGGGATGGGCCTTGATTCTGGTGACCATATTCAGACTCACAGGGCCCTTCTCCATCTGCTCGAGCACCTGAAAAAGAATACGCTGATTGATAACTCCTTGGTGACGCTTGAACGTGTTGCTGACGCGTCACGGGCTTGTTAACTTCAAAAACGTACCTGGTTCATCAACACATTCAACGAGTCGGTCTCGAGCCTCCACCCCGAGCCGGCCCTCATCGTCGTCGAGGATGTGGTGGCTGGGGGAGGAGCAGCCGGGGGAGGAGAAACATCGCGACCGATGAAGGCTGGGGCTCCACCTTTCCAGGAATCTCGACGAGGGGTCGAACTTGATGGTGTCGCTCGCTCTTCGTCCTTCAGCTCCTCGACTTTGGAGACGCGCTGAATAATGGGGTTGAACAGAGTGAGGGCGAGCGAGAGAGCGAGCGAGAGTCAGAGTGAGAGAGAGAAAGAGAGTAAAAACTCATTCTCACCCTAGCCGATCCCTTTCCAGAGAGTTTATTCTCGATCTGTCGTAGCCTCTCTAGCGGATCGTCAAAGAGTTCATTCTTCTCCTCCTTTCTGCCGACGAGGCTCTTCTCGTCGCTCCTCATCTCCTCCGTCGTGACACCGTTCTCCGTTTTTCGGGTCTGAACGATTAGGGTTGATAAATTTTTCAGCTCGTGCTCCGTGAGCAACCTTGAACGTACCTTCGGCGGCTTAACCGGGCAGGCATCATTATATTCCTCAGCCTCCTTCCTTCTCCTCCTGAATTCCTCAATCTTTCTCCTCGTCTCATGGGAGAGATGGCCGAACTCCATGAAGACGTCCGTCTCGTCGGCTAGATCTTGGACCACCATCGTCTCTGCTCTTTCAGTCAGTGGGGTGTGGTCAGTGATCTGAAAATGGAAGCATTAATGGGAGTTTAGCAGCCAAAAATTCTCAAGAAATTTGAGGAAGAACTTGAGCCAGAAATACCTGATTCTCAGGTAGCTCCTGAATAACCGGCATGCCCTCATCCAAATTCAGCCACCAGTGGGAAGCAATATCGAAGATTGTGGCTCTTCGCTCTGGATTCACCCGCAGCATGTTTCGGATTAGCATTGAGGCAGCTAAAAATCGGGATTTATGAAGTCATGAATGGTACATTGCTTCCAAAAAGGTCTCTGCTAGCTTGCCCCTGAGCGGTCGGAAAGCTTGATTTGGGATCTGGGAGCTAGAAGCCGAAGCTGTGAGCTAGAAGGACAAGAAGCTTTCGTAGGGCCCAGCTCCCAAAAAGCTCTCAAAAGCTATGCAGAGGAGCAAAAAATCGCACGCGTCGCGGCCGCGTCTCAGTTTTTGGAACCTTCTGAACTTTTAGCTCCTAGCTCCAAGCTCCCAATTGCTAATATGGCGAACAGACCGGCGCTCGAGCTAGGAAACGCCAAATACCGACAACGAAAATGCCGACAGCCAGAATTCCGAAGTTTTTACGCTAATTTTTCGCTTTGGATTTGCCCTTTTTGGCTGTCTCGCGCCATTTTAGCTGTCGCCATTTATTGAGCAGGGTTGTCGAGATTTTTCTCGGAACTTTCGATTGTCGGCATTTGATCTATCGGCATTTTGGCCAGAATGTCTGTTAGCGGTCAAGAAGTCGATTTACTAGTACAAAAACTGACTAGACGGCGTCTCCGGCTCATAATATGCTCCTCGTTTGATTTGGCGAACCATCCGGTTGAAATCACGTCCGTCGAATGGCATTGACCCGTAGACGAGCGTGTATAAAAGAATTCCCAGCGACCAGCAATCAACCTAGAAAGTTTAACTTGTAAAATTAAATTGATTTTTCGAAAGTTTTTCACAGCTACTTACTTCCGGTCCTTTATAAGGTGTCCCGTTGATGATCTCGGGTGATGCGTAGAGGGGAGACCCGCAAAACGTCGTCAACAAGTTCTTGTCGGCAAAATAATTCGACAGGCCAAAGTCGGCAATTTTCGCGTTGCCCTGCTCGTCGAGGAGGATGTTTTCGAGCTTGAGATCTCGATGCGCGACGAGGTGCTGAAAGAGGGGGGTTTTAAAGGGACTGGGAAGGCAGAAATCGAAGGTTTTTTAGTGTTGGAAGGTGGGCAAAAATTTGCAAACGTAATTTTGACTTAAATAAGTGCTCATTCAGCACTTTAAAGGGCCAAACAAGCCAAAACATAGCACTTCGAGCAGCTGGAAAAATTCCAGAAAAAGGAAAAGTCCAAAAATCCCAAAAATCTCTGCTAGCTCGCCATCCACTCACCTTATGGCAGTACAAGACGGCCGACGTAATCTGCCGGAATATCCGCCTCGCTTCCGCTTCCGGCAGCGACCCTTTCGACGACACAAAATCGTAAAGTTCACCCCCGTTCGCGTACTCCATCACCAGGATGATCTTCTCCTTGTTCTCGAACACCTAGATGGAGGTTGAAATCTTTTTAATATTTCTGTCTCTCTCCCTCCATCTCTCTCACTCGCGCTCTCTCGCTCTCTCTTTCTCTCTCTCTTTCCAGTTCTCTCTCACTCTCGCTCTCTCGCTCTCTCTTTGTCGCTCGCACCTCAAAGATTTGGATGATATTCGGATGATTTAGCGCCGACATGATCCGAATCTCACGCCGAATCCGCACCAGATCCGCCTTGTTCTCGATGGCCGATTTTTTGATCAGCTTCACGGCCACCTGAACGGAAGGATTTAATTCTAAAATCAGTCTCTCTGACTCTCTCTCTCTCTCTCTCTCTCTCTCTCTCTCTCTCGCTCTCTTTATCGCTCTCTCTCCCTCACCTCTCTGTCCATTTTGTGATCATAAGCGAGTGACACTTTCCCGTAGGTACCCGATCCCAGCTTCTTCACAATCTCGAATCGATGCTTCACCGCCCGGCCGCCGGCCAACGGATCAGCACTCGTCAGTGGGGCACCGCCTGGAAAAATCCGTTCCTCAAAGAATATCTTCTAGCCTGCCCTCTGCTAATTCCTTCATTCTAAAGGTATCTGAACACTCACCAGCCGAGCTGACAGTCCCAGCGGCTGCCCCATTGGCCCGGATGCTGCTCTGGGAGAAGCGGGCCAACCGGCCAGTCCCCACCCGGGACCCCGATGAGCCCACGCGCATTCGGAGATTGGTGGGGCCTGGAAATGGTATGGATGGAGAGCGAGAGAGCGAGAGAGCGAGAGAGAGCGAGAGAGAGAAATCCGACAACCAGGTTTCGTACAAAAAAAAGGATAAAACGGTAGGTATCTGCGTGCTTGCAGACGCTACGCTCCTCTGTGCGTTTAGCGCAACGATAATAGTAATAGCGATGGGTTAAAGCGAGAGATAGAGAGAGACAGATAGAAACAGTGAGAGAGAGAGGGAGAGATATACGAAAACTTTTACACATCAAAAAAATTCATGGCTTTCCAGCCCCTTTAACCCCCAAAAATTTCATCAACCGCAACTGATCGACACCCCCGTTCATGAGGATCGATTTCAAAATGTGGGTTTGGCCCTTGGGGGGCCGTAAGAGGGCCCTTTAATAATGGCCGGAAAGGGGCCCTCGAGATGGCGGCAGGGCAGAAAACAGGCGCTTCATCCTCCAAGCTGAGGGACCCGCAGTGAGGGATCCACCCCGATCAATCACTTGACTCATTTCGAATCGCTCTTTCTCTCTCTCTCTCTCTCTCTCTCTCTCTCTCTCTCTCTCTCTTTCTCTCCGATCTATCGCCCGTTGCCCTGGTGGTGCACGTAATCACCAAAAAGACGATGGCAAAATATAGCTGTTGGGTGTTTGGGCTGGCTGGATGTTTATATGAAAAAGGAACGGGGAACACCGGCTTTTTGGCGCTTCCACCAGCTGAGAAGAATCGAGAATGCTATGATCTTTCTAGAATTCTCGGCAAAACAGCGCAAAAAATCTAGCCGCTAGTGCATTTAATGAAATTCGGGCATACCATTCTCTACGGGCTTAACCCCTACCGGAGGCCTCTCTCGCTCTCTCTCACTCTCGCTATCTCACTCTCTTTACTCTCTCACCTCTCTCTCGCTCTTTCTCGCTCTCTCGCTCTCTCTCCCTTTCTCGCCAAAAAAAATAAATAAGTGAAATCAGAAGCTTCTATTTCTGCGATCGTTCGATCAGGTGCTGATCCAAAAGGACCCAGCGGGAGAAAACAGAACACCCCTGCAAAGTTCAGCTGTACGTTCGTTCAGAGTAAAGAAAAGGGGTTGGGTGAAAGGGCACGTGGTCACGGAAGAGAGAGAGAGAGAGAGAGAGAGAGATAGTGAGAGAGAGATAGTCCGAAAAATATAAAATTACAGTAAAAAGATCAAAAAAGAATAGCCCGTCCTAGGTCAATCTAAAACATTCAAGAAACCGGATGCCTCGAAAACTTGTACACATCGAAGTCTCGCCGTGTTTTCCTTGTTGGCCCCTTTTAAAGGAATCTCCGGAAATAACGTAGCCTAGAAATTCTAGTGAACGAAACCGTTTCAAGGGACTTGCAGGGCACGGCAAGGTTCTATTTTTTTACAGATTGTGCCGTGTGCCGTGGCCGGAGATCCGGCGTAACTGATTACGCAATGGAAGGATGAGGCGAGAAAGACAAAGCGAAAAGTCACGCACCGTCTCAGAGAGAGCGCAGGAGAGAGCGAGAGAGAGATATAACGAGAGAAAGATATAATGAAGTTGAGCCTCAGAATGAGCACGAAAAAAGGATAGAACAAGCTAAAGGTAACTTAAAGGGGCCGGGAAGAGAAAAAGCGGCCAATTGAGAGCTGGGTTGGAGCGGCTCCTCGAAACTGTTGCTCGACGCTCTTGCTCCAGTTCGAGAATTAAAGAAGCTGGAGCTCCTGCTCCAATATCGATATAGTTGATGCTCTTGATCTACTTGATCGAATTGGGCCCCCGGTGAGCCAATCGATGACCAGAAGCGGGGAGTAGGTGCCGGTCAGTTGGCCCTCCCTTTCCGCCCGTTCTCCTTCTGCTGCTGGTGCTCGTTGTTGGATGGGGGAGGGGGAGATCCCCCTCTAAACCGGGGTGGCTAGAGGTGTAACACGGAGAAAAGAAAAGGAGCCACACACACGGATAGACAGACAGACAGACATACAGCCCCACAGCCATCGCCTCAAGCCAGAGGGGAGGGGAGGGTGGATTCATATAAAAATATTACAAATGGGTAAAAATAAATGACGATAGAAAATGTCAATTTTTGTAGCGAGTAGGCTAGCAGAGATCATTTAGGAAATTGTGAGAGGATTCGAGAGAGAGAGAGAGCGAGAGAGAGAGCGAGAGAGAGAGGGGAGATATTTAGAAACAGAGACCGAGAGAAGCTGAGAGCGAGGAAACGATAGTGAGCAAGAGCTGGATAGAGAAAGATCGAGAGAAATCCCCTATTTTGATTTTCGAGCGGCAGGGCAAGCTACCAGCGACCATTGAATCATTTGGTTCGGCCTAGGCTAGCTAGCAAAGAACCTTCGGGTATCGCTACGGAAACGGAAAGTAGAAATTCTGAAGTCAGTACGGCAGTAGTGCGATGATGGAGAGAGAGAGAGAGAGAGAGAGAGAGAGCGGGAGAGAGAGTCGCCGAATCCTCCGGGATGAGCCGATATTGGCCGTGATGTGGGTTTTGGAGGAGGAGAACGAGTAAATAGACGGGTACGCCCGGTAATGAAAGAAAAGAACGCATGGGGGGAAAAGCAGTGAACGGCCCGCGGGAGCAGAGTTTCCGGTCCCGCCCCCTTTCACCGGATATTCTTGAGGTTGTCGGTTGTTAAAAAAGTGAGGTTTTTGGCGTTTTAAAGAGACTGGGAAGGATTGAATTAGAGAGATAGATTAGGAGTTTAGGACACTTATCGGCACTTTTAAAGGGACGGGCAAGGCGTGAATATCGATTTGTTGGTATGGACTCTCGCTCTCCCTCTCTCCCATTCGCTCTCGCACACGCACTCTCTCTCCCTCTCTCCCTCTCACGCATCACTCTCTCTCGCTCGCTCTCTCTCTTTCTCTTTCTCTCTCTCTCTCTCTCTCTCTCTCTCTCTCTTTCTCTCTCTCTCGCTCTCCTTTCACGCCCTCTAAAAACGGATTTTCGAAGATTTTTCGATTCCAAGTTTTCCTGAAAGATCTCTGCTAGCTTGCCTCTCTACTCTCCGGATATCATGGGTCATAAGGGGTTCTCACCTAACTCTCGAGCCCATGACACATGATGATGATAAAATGGGAGAGAGAGAGAGAGAGAGAGAGAGAGAGAGAGAGAACACCGGCTGTTTCTGGGCCTCTCGTGCTCCGGGTGGCCATGATGTGGGGGTGCGGGAGGAGAGGGAGAGGTCGATTAGTACAATCTCGTACACACTCACTCACAATAGCCTTCTTCCTCCCACTAGAGAGTGAGACAGATCCATCTCACAATTTTGAGTGGCCAATTGATCGATTGGTGATGCGAATTAGTTGGTGGATTTTTGGGTTGTTGGGGCCTTTAAAAGGATGCAGCGAGAGGGCTTGAGAGAGGGAGAGAGAGACAGAGAGAGAGAGAGACAGAGAGAATGAGAGAGAGCGAATTTCTTGCAAGCATTCCAGAATATCCGGATGCATTAATAGACACATCCTGGGTTGGGCTTTCCGCAACGATCTCCGCTAGCCTCTCCCATGATTTACCTCCGCAATTTCAAGACTTTAGCCGCTGTGTCAGACCGACGAAAAAATCGCCCAACTCCCCGGCCAGATGGTCGCAAAAAGCGTTTATAGCCCTCAAAAGTTACGGGTAGACGCCGGCGAAAGCGAGAGAGATAGAGCGAGGGAGAGAGATAGGGAGCGAGAGAGAGAGAGTGAGAGAGAGAGCAAGAGAGCGGAAGTTTGGCTTTGTCACGACCAGTTCCAAAGTCTTATGCCGCATATTTGCTGAAACGTGAGAAGGCGCTATCAGAGCAGCCCGAGCAGAAGCTGCTGATCATATTTGCTTGACGGTTTTGATCATCTACTGCGGCGTTTCTTCGGGATGTTCATTAAGCTTTTGATTGTTTTAGCAAATTGTTGATTGACTTGGTCGAAATGGCGCTAAGAAATTGAATTAGCGGATGGAGCCGGTAAAGAGAGAGAGAGAGAGAGAGAGAGAGAGAGAGAGGGAGAGAGAGGGAGAGAGAGAGAGAGCCAGACAGAGAGCGGCCTAAAGCTCCCCTTGATCAATAAATCCACTTTGGTAATCAGCTGGGCGGCGAGAAAAGCTAAGTAAAGGCTATGCGCCGGTGAGAAGCGAGAGAGTGAGAGGGAGAGAGAGGGAGTGAGAGAGAGACAGAGAGAGACAGAAATCTGCCCCCCCCCAATATTTGTATGAAGTGATACCTCTTCGAGGGGTGCGCGCAGAGGGGCTTGACTGGAAATTCTGGGTGTGGGTAGAGGCAGAAGCGGAAGAGAAGAAGAAGACGGTATCCGCCCAGATCTCATAGATTCCCCCCACCCCCACAGTATGTCAATATATACGCGCCAGGGCGTGTGCCCCCGGAATTCATACAGTCCATTGATTTGTAGGGGGAAGACCAGGATTTTATCAGGGCTTTACAGCCGAGAACTGTACGCAACGCATCGCATACGCAAAAATATCTTTTGAAATTGCGATATTGGATTGTAGACGGCATTTTGTAGGAAACGCGATACGCAACGCGTACGCAGCATGTGTCACAATCCTTCTGAATTCCGATTAATGCCCGAAATCCATTACGAAATGAAAAAGCGTGCAGGCTGAGGAAAATCCATAGCGGACGGATGCCATGCTCGTCCCTTTAAAGGGAACTGGAAGTTAGACATAATGAATTTTTCTGGAAAAGCAGCTTCAGAAAACCAGCACCCTTGCATTGCCAATTCCCTTAAAACGAAAATCCAGGAAACTATGAAATTAGACGGCTCCCCAGAAAAGTCCTGGGCCCCCGTCCAACGATTTCCGATTTTCGGTTGCCGCCCGGGTCATTTCGGGCGGCTGGAGAGATCGTCAAGGAGAGAGAGAGAGAGAGAGAGAGAGAGAGAGAGAGAGAGAGACAGGCGAAGACATGACGATGATGATGATAGAAATTGATACAAGCTGCAGGACAAACAATTGGGGTGGCCACGAGGGGAGGGCCGCCGATTCATGGGCGCCGAAAATAGGGTCGCTGAATAATAAGCAATGGCTCATACACGGAATTTTTCTAGGGCATATAGGAGATTTCCGGAATATTATTTGGGTTGAAGCGAGAGAGAGAGAGAGAGAGAGAGAGAGAGAGAGAGAGAGAGAGAGGGAGAGAGCGAAAGAGAAGGAAAGAGAGAACGCCAGCGAGTGAGAGCGAGTCCCAGTGAGAGAAAAGAGCGAGAGATAGAGAGAGAGAGAGAGAGAGAGAGAGAGAGAGAGAGAGAATTGCGCTTAAAAAACCCATCGTAAAGTTAGTTGAAGTTAAATTAGAACAGTTAAATCATAAGGCCAAATAGGCACCGAGGGCAAAAGCTAAGGACGAAAAGCCAGGCCGGGGGGATGGAGGGGGCATCCCAGTTGGTGGATTGTCGAGGGTAAACAGTCCCTTTAGTCCCTTTAGTCCCCTCCACACAACCAAGAAGACCCTCACCACGGCAGCACCAGACCCTCGAAGATCGACAAGCCTTCCTTCCACTGCTGGATGTTGGGGTTGCTCTCTTTCTCTCTCTCTCTCTCTCTCTCTCTCTCTCTCTCTCTCTCTCTCTCGCCATTCTGCACTCATTCGCGCCATTCGACTCGAACGGCACGGTCCATTTTCACGATCGATTTAGGGATCTTGGGTTGGCAACTACAAGAAAATAGGTGCAGAGATTCTTTGAGGAAATGGGAGAGGGCAGGTTAGCAGAGATTCTTTGAGGAATTGGGAGAGGGCAGTAGAGCCGATATTCATTGGAGAATTGAGAGAGGGCAGTCTAGCAGAGATTCTTTGAGGGAACGGGAGTTGAATTCCAATTGTACCTCCAAAGCACTTTTTAAAGGCAAGCAAGCTAGCAGAGTTCATGAGAGACTTAGGTTGTATCGTGCTACAGCAACCAAGATTTCCAAATCTTTATTCCACAACACTCCTCAGTACGGCTGTACGTTTTCTTTGTTGCTGCGGATGATTTGGGTGAGGGATTCGATTACGGTCGGGCCGAGGTTGGGCGCTGGAAATGACAAAAATTAGAGAAAGGGTGAGAGCGAAGAGAGAGAGAGAGAGAGAGAGAGAGAGATATGGCGAGCGAGATGTCGATACATAAATCCGGTATTGTTCTAATACCTTTTGTTAGGGATATCACGTGGTTGAAGATCTTCTTCACGGGAGATAAATGGAGAAAGAGGTTTCGGTAGAAAGAGAGAGCTTCTTGCCCGCTTCGCATCTAAAAATGGCAGTTTTAAAGGGCGATTAAAGGCAAAAAGAACAGAAAGTTTAGCCCAAGAAAATTTGCAATTTTTAAAAGCCTATCAACCTAGTAAAAAATAGAAAATTACCTGCGGTGCCAATTGCTCAAAATTGTAGCCTTGACTCAGCTCGTCGAAGAGGTCTTTTCTAAATTTTAAGTACGTAAAAAGCTCCGTTTTTAAAGTATCGCCATGCCAAAACCAACTTATTAAATAGCATAATAAAAGATGTCTTCCTGAGGAGCTCGTTGTTGAGCAACGCCTTGAAGATGGACAGCGTCTTGTCTTTCAAGTGCCCCTGAAAAAGTTCGAACGTTGTCATGAGAATAATCGGCATACGGAGTAGAAGGCTGGCTGGCAGAGCTCGGCCAGGTCGACGCAGAAGATGACGGTGTGCGTGTTTTTGAAGAAGTCCGGCCATTTTCGTCGGAAAATGTGGTGGCCGGGCAGTTCGGTTACACTAAAAAATGGATTTGGAGCCAGAAGGCAAGAGAGAGAGAGCGAGAGAGAGAGGAGAAAGAGAGCGAGAGAGTGAGAGAGAGAAATCACCCACTCAAAAATTGAATTGTGCATCCGCAAAATGTGCTGATCAGCTCCGCATGTGGCTGCGTACATGTAGAGCAGATCGGACTCGGTCGGCATGTAGTCACGGCGGAGGATTCGCTCCGAGTTGGCAACAAGGCTAAAATGTGGGTTAGAATTCTTCAAAGAATCTCTGCTAGCCTGCCCTTTTCTAATTCCTCAAAGAATCTCTGCTAGCCTGTCCTCTCCTAGTTCCTCAAAGAATCTCTGCTAGCCTGCTCTCTCCCTATTCTTCAAAGAATCTCTGCTAGCCTGCCCCTCGTCTTACTCACAATGCATGGTTGACAGGTAATTCTGGCCGCTTCTCTCTCGACAATATCTCATTATAGAGCGGAGAGGCGATCAGCTGGTTCAGCCCTTCCATAGCCTAAAAAGTGCCCATTGTACCGTAATCCATTTGTACTACCTGATCAGATATTTGTTCACGGTGTCGAAATGGGGTGAGCACAGCCATTGCGTCCTGGAAATTTTATGTTAGAGAGCGAGAGTGTGAGAGAGAGAGAGAGAGAGAGAAGGCAAGCTGCCACGTACTTCATACAACTCAACGCCGATGCCCATCTTCTCCGCCAGCAGGTAGATGGCTTTGTACAGCTCGAGCACGTTGTTTTGAAGCGTGTGTTGGTAGAAGTGCAAAACTGGGGCATTGCCCTTTGCAAATTGGCTGAAAAAGTTAGTTTGGCTTTCGCTCTCTCCCTCCCTTTCTTTCCCTCTCTTTCTCTCTCTCTCTCCCTCTCTCTCTCTCTCTCTCTCTCTCTCGCTCTCTCTTCCATTGCGTAATCGGCTGCCCCGCGAAAACCCACTTTAAATGCCTGCACAACGTCGATTTCCCGCTTCCCATGCACCCTAAAAAAGGCAATTTTTAAAGTATGCCTCGCCTCACCGAGCACCAGCAACTTGTACTCCTTCTCCGGCCCGAACAGCCCGCCCAAGCCGCGCCTAGACGCTGACGCGCCCATATTGAGCTGAAACAAGAATTGAGATGATTTAAAGAGCGAGCGAGAGAGAGGGGGGGGGGCGAGAGAGAACGAGCGAAAGAGAGAGAATTAGCAAACCCCCTCCTCTGTTATAGCAGAAAATCACGCTGCCGCTACAGATGTAAAGAGGTGTTGCCCGTACGCTACAAAAATTTATCTTGCGATTAATTGTTTTTGCAGCTCATACCAGCTGTAAAATTGCCGTAATATCCAAGACGTCCAATTTCCCGTGTCCAGAGTATCGTGTTGAAAATCCAGTGGCCCGGGCTATGACAAATCCGGGGGCCTAAAATGGCGCATTCCCGCGGTCTCGGAAAAAGGACACGAAATAGGGGGGTGGGAAATCTTCTTGAACGAGACAGAGAGAAAGAGCCAGAGAGAAAGAGAGGGAGAGAGAGAGCGAGCGAGAGAGAGAGTGAGAGAGAGAGAGAGAGAGAGAGAGGGAGCGGGAAAGCGAAACCCGTAGATGGGCAGGCTAGCAGAGATTCTTTGAGGAATTGGGAGAGGGCAGGCTAGCAGAAATTCTTAGGAATTGTGAGACGGAGACTGGCAGAGATTCTTTCGGACTCCCCTTTCCAAAAATAAAGTATTACCTAATTCGTCGTGGTACACACAACAATGTAATGCCCTTCTCCCCCCAAAAAATTTCACGGTAATTAGCGTTAGGGCGGGAGGAAGAGATCAAAACTGAAATCCCATGAGAGAGAGAGAGAGAGAGAGAGAGAGATTCCGAAATCGAAATCCTACTTTTTACGGTGAACCCAGTGTGGTGAAGTGAATTATAGAAATCCCTAGTGGAGGGAGCGGAATTAGGAATTTTTGGGTCGGTTTTTCGGGTTCATCCGGATCAGGTGTGTGGACGAAATACACCTATGGACGGTCGAGGGATTAGGGTTGTAGCTTGGTTGTATAGAAACTGGCTTTAAAGGTAATCAGAAGCGAGAGAGAGACAGAGAGAGCGAGAGAGAGAGAGAGAGAAAGAGAGAGAGAGAGAGAGCGATAGAGTGAGCGTGCAAATCATGTCGAAAACAATATTTCTTGCCCTTCCCCTGCATAGTAATGGCCATCTTCTGAGGGGTAAATTGATGAATGAACGGGGGTGAATCTTCGAAGATAATAATTACTGACTTTGAGTGGGTGTTTGGGCTAATGGCTGATGGCTTCTTCAGACTGGAAAACAGGCCAATCAATCCGACGGTCGATTATTTGGCTGGAAAAGGTGAATTTGGGAATTTTTCAATTCTATGAAGTCTCTGGGGATAGAGAAAGGGAGAGAGGGAGAGAGAGAGACAGAGATACAGAGAGATACAGAGAGCGATAACATGACCAGGAAAATATTTGTGCTCAATCAAATTACTAGATGGGTGGTCCAATCGGAATGGGTGTCTGGAAAAATAGTGGTCAAACTACGAGATATGGCGCGAGATGTCTTCGATCTGTTAAAGTGACGGGAATCAAACATATGGTAATTTCGTAAACACCGCGATGTTCGTAAAATTTTGCCGATTTGGGTAAGCAAGCAAAGGTTATTTCGGAATGTGGATTTCGATAGGACAGAAAGAGCGCTCGAATCGCAGCTGCCTAAATTATATCGCCAAATTTTTGCCGCCGGTATTTGCTTAGCTTTCTTAGCCTTTTAAAGGGCCAGCGACAGTTCTGAATTTTCAAATTTAACCGATCGAAGTCGTGGGCAAAAGCGCAAATTGGTGCCTCGCGTAGTCTAACCCCTGGACTACGTGCGACTCCTCGGAACAGGGGGTATTTTGTGTGTGAATTTCAGTGATTTTCGACCTGCCCGAGTACGAAAATGTACGCTCCACCACTTTCCAATTGACATCTAGAAAAAAGTTCAGAATTTCCGATACAACCCCCCTAAAATGCCAATTAGATTTTGCATGGGCGGACGCGCCTCCGAACCCCAAAATTTCGAAAAAATTGATAAATTACGAAAAGCAAACAATGCTGGCTGACTTTCGGTGAATGGGGGGCGTTCTTAGTACCCCAGCGTAGTAGCCGTCAGAAAATACGAAAACTCTTTTTCTTTTGAAATTAGGAATGCCCTTCAGTGGGGGGGGCGGTGAATACATATAATTTTGCAAGTTTGGGTACAAACAACCATTTTTGGGTCCCGGCACGCTCGGGAAATCGTGAAAATCACCGTATTTGTCGGGGAAAATGCTATAATTTCTTTTTAACACTGGTGGAAAGTAGAATTGGCAAATTTAGTGCTAAAAAACATCTTGCAATACACTCAGTAAAATAACTATAAAGGCAGTGGTTTTTGTCGAATATCTCGGCGGTTTTTGCACGTATTGAGATGCAACTTTTAGAATAAACTTCTCAAGAGTGACTTGATATCTAGTACAAATCCGAAACAAATCCGTTCATGGAAAGTCCGATTTTTGGCAAATGACGTTTTCGAAACTGTAAAAAAACTATAAAGGCAGTCTAAAGAAATTCATTCAAAAATTCCTAAATTAGTTTCTTTGGAAATTTGCAATACAATCATGGTTGCTAGAACGTTTTCTATTAAAAATTGCTTTCTAGCATTAATGGTAGCCCATTTTTTGTCATTTGACCCGGCATGGCCAGGCCAGCTGATGCCTCCCATCTTGTAACGTTCTCTAAAAAAATTTCCTTTGTCGGAGCACTATTCTGGTCACGTCCTTAGCTTGGTTTGGGGCTCTAGTATTGTGAGACAATTGGAAACTGTTTGAATTGAATTGTTGAATTGAATAGAATTGTTTGAATGAGAGCCTTTCGAGCAAAAAGAAATGCTTTTGGGGGCAGTTTTAAAATTTTATAAAATCAGGGATAGCCATTCTGCCAAAAAGAACAACGGAGTCTTGCTCAGAATTGAATTCTCTATCGAATGAGCTAGGTCTCGTAAGGTTTTGCCGATGACTCAAAAAAGCACTCCTTGTTAGCACTATCGTAATTCGTTTCAAAGAAAAATTTAAGGTATGGTCTGGACGAAATAAAGTCAGTTTTTGTCAAAATCAATCCTGAATCGAGGATCTTACCGTAACTTCCGACTTTGAAAACCATAAATCCATCGTAATCTCGGAAAACTATTTAAAAATGTTATTAAACTTTCATAATGTTCTTCAACATATAACTTTACAAATTTTTATTACAAAAACACTAAGAAGATAGATTTTTCGAGCAAAAATGGCTGATTTTCAACAAAAATTGAAAAATTAAAATTTGAAGGTTTTCTGAATCGTTTTCCACTTAAAGTTTTGTAAAAAATACTATTAAAACACTTACTATAAAGTTATAAGAAATTTCTGGATTTACAGAAAAAATGGATTTCTTAGCGAAAGTTTTCAGATTTCTTAAGATTTAAAAATTCGGTCTTTGGTACAGTTTTTCCGGCCTACGAAAATCAGGTGAACCAAAATTAACTCGCTTATTCATTGCAAAAAATGGGGAGGCTGAAATAGGCGATTCTACGGCAAGGCAGGCCAACCACAACAGCACACAACCCTACAAAACTCGCCGAAGCCGCGCGGCTGGCCCCCCGGGGGGAAAATCCCACCCCAACTCCGCACTTCGGCTTGATGGGGCCATTCTGACGTACAACCGGTGAGTGCTCGATTTTCGGAATGCTGCTTTCCGGAAATGGGGCCGAGTTTATTGGGTAAAACACGCGGGAAATTAGAAAGTCAAAAAGTAAGTAAAGGAGAAATCGCAAAATGGGTCTGGTGTATTAGCGCGGGTAGCGAGGGGGCTACATCGACTCTATCCCCCCCCCCCGCTAAAGAATCAGAACCGCAAATATATAGAGGCTTGTCTTGGGCTTAGGTTTAAGCTCAAGCTGGGCGGTTCTTTGGCATTATCGGGGGGGGTTCGGAGGAGAATAACTTTTTTCTTAGTATCCGATTTTTGGTAGTGAAATAGCAGAAATGTTTCGAAGCTGGTTTTACTGTTAACAAACAAAAAACCTTCCAAATTTACTTAAAAAATCCAAAAAATATCGATGTTCGACCAAAATTTCCAACACTTGAGACGTTTTTCAACCGTTAGCGACGTTTGGCACCATAAATATAGTTAAAATTTACGAAAAAATACTATTAAAATATTTGATATTACGGTACTTGTAGAAAAATCCAGATAAATGCTGGAGCACCGCGAAACTACCTGAATTTCCAGATTAAATCATCGATTTCCGGCGAAATTCCAACTAAAACAAGTGATGAGGGCTGGACCAAATCTTCACTAATTAACCAAGACGCCCCTGATTTTGGGCATCACCCTAAAAAACAGGGCAAATTCTATGGAAAACTGGGGAAGAGGGAATCAGGGTGAAAAGGTCGGTCAACCCAAAAAAAGCAGATTTAGGCGGGGTTTTTGAAAAGGGTAAAAAGGTATGAATTGGGTGGAAACATATAGAATGTACAATCGGGTTTCAGATACGGTTTTAGGTGTTTTAAGAGAGTACAACCGCTGGAAAAAGCGCATAAAACCCTGAATTATCATTTATCCATTAAAAAGGGTGGTGCTTAAAATTATAACAACCTTTTCGGCTTATCCTAAGCCAAGTAAATTCTGAATTAAACAAATTTATATTTTAGAAAGCTGCGTAATTTTATAAGGCTAAAAAATCGAACAACATTAAGCCTGGGAAGATTTACAAACTTTGAATTATCAATATTTCATCGAGGGAAACCGACCTATTTTTCTATTCGCTTGTAACCAGTCTCTGAGTCGTATTAGACGCTGGGAAAATAATTTAATAGTATTTTTAGTAAAAGTTGGCCGTATTTCACGTGGAAAACCACCAAAACCGTCTAAAAAAATTTAATATTCAAAATTTTGGAGTGAAACTTCAGATCGAATTTAACGGTTATTTTTTAATCAATTTTTACACATTTGCACTTTAATTTGATAGTCAATTTACATTTCTATAAAATTTTTTGAAAAAGATGTAATTTTTGATCGCGCTTTAAGCGTTGCGACATGGTCCAACCCGAAAAACCAATCGAATCAGCGTAAAACACGGCGCTAAAAGCAACCCTGGACTCGGGCCAGTATCTTACCCTCAAAAACTCATTAGCCGCCGGGATTTCGCGGACTTACAATTGGGTATGGCGGTTGAATGGGAGCTCTGGGCGACTCGGGCCGATCGGATAATTGGAGAAAATGGGTGGGGATGGGCCCTCTTGCAAAAGCAAAAGCCCCTCCAAATCTGCCCCTTGGCGTCTTATAATTACTCGCCGGGACCAGTGAAATCAAGGTGCTGAGAAGAGATCGTTTTCGACTTCTGCTGACTTGCAAAATTTGGAGGAGTTCGAGGAGTTTAACGAAACTTAGAAGAAGCCCTAGAAATCGACGCCTAAAATGCGCGTCCGGAAGCGGAAATTAGCCATTTATCACTTCTGTAAACTAGTACAAGCCGCATTTCCGAGAATAGACGTATTTCGACAAAAAGACAGCTCTTGTTCGTCTACATCTACTTGCAAAAGTCCAAAAAGTTCGGCAAGTAGGGTCAGATTCATATTATGGAACAGAGTCAGAAAGACGCGTGGAAGTTCGGGCCGAAAATTGCCGGTGCTTGTCTGTTAACGGGGGAGGCGTGGTGATTTTTAGCGGCGTAGACAAGCTATTTTTGTTCGCCCCGTGCGGCCTACAATTTTTAAGTTTTCAAAAATATTTGACTTCTGTAACCAAAAATGTATCAAAGACGAACGAAATTCTCAAAAAAATTGAATTGTAGTATTTTTTTAGAATATTTTTAGAAACTCCTAAGCATTAAAAACAACGAAAACATTTACTAAGCGGTATAGGCGGAAAAACAAAAAACTAACTCCTCTCGGCTAACCCCCCCCCCCCCGCTAATAGTCCAGTACCAAAATAGCCACCAAAAAAAAAAGCGAAAATTAACAATTTTTAACCTCTCAAATTTGTATCAATCTGTAAACTTCACTTCTGAAAACAAGAAACTTCCTTCTCGTCCACTTTCGCCATTTATTGGTCAAAAAGGCAACAATCGGCACAGCGTAAATCACAGAAATCGATGAAGATGACATGACAAGGCATTATTCGCGCGTGTTACAGCCTAAAAATATACAACGAAAAAGCTGAGAAGTTGAAAATATATAGAAAAACCGTATATTACAGGCAAGGTAATAGTTTTTTGGCGTGGAACGGCAAAAAAAAATTGCTATTTTGAAAAACTCCGTCGTCGCTGGACATCTTGAAGTCGCCGTAGAATTTACCTGGAAAATTAGCATCATATAGTTTAATTAGAAGATTGTATATTGTGTTATTTCCCGGTAAAACAATGGCGTTTCCCCTTCCCATTACACCCCCGCCGCCCCATGTCGGCAGGCGTGCCCTCGGTCCAGTACAACGGCAATGAGTGGGTTATCTTGGTAATGGTCACTTAACGGGGGGGAAGCAATGCCGCGGACTTAAACGTATCCAATCTAGTTTTTCCTGTCTTAACAACGAAAAATATACTAGGAGACCGCGTTTCAGCCCAAAAAGCTAAGGCTTCAGATACCTCACCCCAACCAGCGTCAAAGTTTTTTTAACTCGACCCCATGTTGTCCTACAGGGCTGTAAAGTATACCAAAATGTTCGCCTCGCTCTGGCGAGTATTTTGGTATACTGACTACCCGGTAGGATAACGCGGAGCGAAGATACGGTAGGTAGGGGACACCTGGGGGCTAAACTGCACTTAAGCCTTTGTCCCCCCACCGCTAACCGAAAAGCTCCATAAGTTCTTATTGGTATTTTCGGTCAGTCGACTGAATTTCTTAGGCCGAACAATAACTCGGGCAAGGGGAAAGTCGTCGTGAGGGAGGATGACGGCAATGGCGGAGGCATAGACAACGAGCAGCCGAATGCCGCAGAAACACGCGCCACCGCAGCTGCCCAGACCATCAGCGAGCAGCAATTCCAGTGGGGGTTTCATGGTCCTTCTCAGCTCATCCGATCCCAGAGAACTGTTCTCCGGCCATGGCGAGCTGCCCGTCGAGATCGTGACGCCTCCCCGTGGTCGTCGACAACAATCTGCACAAGTGTCACCCGGCCAACAACCCACTGCCGCCCAAAAAGTATGGCAGAACCCGGGGGCCCGGTTAATCTTTAGCCCTCAAAGTCGGCCCGCGAGAAGGCAAAAGCCAAAAAAGAAGCGGCCGAGAAGAAGAAGCGCAAGCAGCGCAAGATCCCCAGCAGTGGAAAGCCGACAGCCGGCCCGAAGAGTCAGAAGAACGATTCTGGAGGGTGGGGATAACTTCGAGCCTAGGAAAACACCAAATTTAGAAGAGTCTCCCCCGACCGGAAACAATCTGATTCGCCTCGACAATCTGGAAGGTAGGGATTACTGGTCGAAAATGACTAATTTCTGGGTTCCTTTGCATTATCGGGGGGGGTTGGATAACGTAAAATCTTTACGAATATTCATTAAAAATACAAAAAAATATCGATTTTGGGCCAAAAATCGCCGGCTTTCGGCCAAAAATTCGGCTAAAACCATTTTCTAGATTTTTGTATTGTTTTGCCCTTAAATAGTTACATTCAACTTAAAAAACGATTAAATTACTATTGTAATGTTATGCTTTTCGCCTACCCCCCTATAATGCCAAAGAACGTAAAATTGGCAAACCTGAACCGTTTTTTAGACAGACAGCAGCCGATGGGAAGAGAAAGTCAGAGTCCAAGATCAGACCGGGTATCTCCTGCAAAATGGTGACAAAAAACTCAAGCCCCTTCAGCTGAGCCCCCGCAATTCGAGCCGGCAAAAAGTAGCGCGAGTCGGGATCAAGTCGGCTTCACCGGGAAGCTCAAGTTCGCCTTCAAGAAGGTGTTCAAGGACGACCAGCTGGAGAAGGTGACCCGGAGGGCCCGCTCCAAAACCGAGCAGAGTGGAAAGGCATTAGAATTTGCTAGTATTGAAACAGTGACTTAGAACGAGCATCTGCTGAAGGAGGGAGATGACCTGGCGCCGACAAAAAAGGGGTGGGTGAAGTGAGCGGATCAAGGAATCGATGGCTCTCGGCTCCTTGGTGCTGGGCTGTTAGCGGGGGGGGGATTAGAGGGGCCTTTGGACTATCCCCCCCCCGCTAGCAGTTCAGTACCGAACCCTTGCAGGAAGGATGCAAAACAGAAGAAGAAGATGGTCGTCAAGGACGACAAGGTCGAAGACGTCGCCGCCACCTCGATCCGCATCAAGGACATTGCGCTGCGAGAAGATCTGGTGCTCGTCAAGAATTTTGACAACAACGGCCAGCTCTTCATCAAGGTAGGGAACTCGGTACTTGCCTGTTAGCGGGGGGTTTAGCGATATTCTAATGGGTTTCCCCTGAGCCCCTCCGCTAGCAACCCCAGTACCGAATTCATCTTCAGAATCGCCCGTTCTGGCGTGCGATGGCTCCTGAGGAAGAAGACACCAACGACACGCTTCCGATGGCGTCAACCGTCGTGCTTGGTAACCCCGACCCTGCCCACCTTGACGGGCAGATTCAGACGTGGCCAACAAGACGATCGCCCTCACCGAGCCGCCCGACGAGGACATCAAGTTCGACGTGTACGCCGAGCAGGCGACGCTCGCCGCCCGAGACGCCGACCACTTCAGCCGGGAACTCATCTTTGGAAACACGGTTCGGAAAAGACAGATTTCCGAACGAGAATCCAAAACTACAGGTGCGAAACATCATCGCGACGATGAACTGCGACGACAGCCAGCAGCGCGAGGACAACACCCGCTGTCCGCACATTTGGTACAAGGACCAGCCGACCCGGATGCAGGAGTACAAGTTCAACCCGCTCACCCACGAAATGAAGTCCCGCGAAAGTGAGCTATTTCCGGTCCAGAGACACCCTAAAAATCGCAAATTCAAGAAGTGCAAACCCCCGGCAATGATTTGCGCCTCGTTTAGTGCCCTACGTGCGCACCAACATTGGCGTCGTCCACGGAAAGACGAAGGACAAGGGCCTGCGACGAGTAATGCGCTTCATCTTTCCACCACCAGCCGTTTAGAAGAACCCGCCCGCACCCAACTAACCAAACACAAACCTACCTACTCTTATCGGCTCCTCCCGCCCTTTGCTTGCTTAATATTTCCTTCTCCATGCGAAATACTCGTGTCAATATGTGCAACTGTATTTTCCCCTTTTCGGTCCCAGGCTTTTCATCCACACACGCGTGATTATTGCTTACCGGAACTTGATTAATTCGAATAAATGAAGCGAAAATGGTTTTTGGGCTTGAAGACTTACGTGGGACAACCTCCGCCACAGCAACCGCCTCCCATCGGTGGGGCACTCATGCCAGACGATTGTGGAAGGCGTCCAATGGGTCGACGAAGACCTCCACCACCACCGCCGCCACCGCCTCCGCGTCCGCCTCCGCCATTGCCTATGATTTGATAAAATATGTAAACTAGCGTAAGCCGCTTTTAAATTGATGATCTCGACCTACCATTCACACCACCACCGGAATTCCCCCTCAACTGCGCTCGATATTCATCGGCACCCACTGTGGCCTGCCGATTATTGCGGATCCCGAGCAAGGAGTAAATGCTAAAAACGTTCGTTATGGATTCCTCGTAAAATTTTCCGTTTCTTAAGCACGCCCTAGCCAAACCCACAATAACAAAATCGCGTTGAAAAATGCGAGAATCGCCTCGAATAGCGACCACTTCCGCTCGACGAGATTACCGCCTAAAAAGAAAATATTAATGAGACCGGGCTTGCGATCCGTTACTTGAGTCTACGTAAGCCATCGAAGTCTTGCGCCAGAATTGAACGCCGAAGTGAAGCTCCTAAATTTTCGTGGTTATCTGTCAATCCACGAATACACAAGTAGCTGGCTGATATAAATACGCTCTGTTAAAATTTCGAAAACAGATTCCATTGCTTTTCCACAACATATTTTGATTCAACCTCTCACTCCCATTGTAAAGTTTTATTTGCGAAAATAACAGCAAGGCAGAAATCACAGAATCCGAGGAACAGACTTGGCATGGCTTAGCGTTTCCTTGAAAGAAAAATTACAAATTCATACAATCGCAATAAAAAGGGGATGCTGTTTTCATATGTGCCGACTCAAGCGGAATCAGCAATGGCACTTCCTTTCGGATTTGGCACCATCGCGTCACCAGGCCGCCCTCGTCGAGCACATTTGGAGATGGGAATGGCAAAGTATTTGGGGGTGGCGAACAAGATAGTTAGTTAAAACTTCTCATCAGCCGGCCGCACACATCACCGCCACATCTCCGGGTTGTCCGGGCGCGACCCGGACATTTACCTGAAAATTTGGATGAGCAAAAACGCTAAGAAAACATACGCTCCTCATCCTCCTCCACCCATTGGTGGGCAACTCATTCCTGAAGCCTGTGGAAGGCGACCGATGGGCCGACGCATTCCGCCACCACCTCCTCCACCTGAAACAAAAAATAGATAGTTTTTGAGAAAATTAAACTTCGTCAGCTTTACAATGATACCTTCTCATAATTCAATCGAGTTTTTCCGGGTTAAGTTAAAATGCATAAATTTATTCTCCTATTGGTTTTGATGAAACACTATTCCGGGAATTTTTATTGACATCGAAACTTCGACCGATCTAAAATTCAGAGCGCTTTCCTAACTAATAATCTTTTCATTTTCTTCAAATGGCCATTTAGCAGATCCTGAAAACTAGGATTTTTTCATCGCTAGACACCAACGATACTTTCCCCAAGCACTAATAGCGGAACCGGAGCCCGTACTTACCAGTACCCCCACCGCCGCCAGGATTCCCTCTTAGCTGCGCTCGATAATCATCAGCGCTACGGTTGCCAGCGGTTTTCCCATTTGCGTTGATGCCGAATAACGAGTAGAAACTGAAAGCAACAAAACAATGGTTTCCACCAATAAACTCACAATAACACGAAAAAGTTGAAGAACCCGAGGATGGCGGCGAACACCGACGGCTTCCGCTCGACCAGATTGCCACCTAGAAGAGCAAGGTAAAATCATTAGTTTCAAAATAATTACTTGAGTCCACGTAGGGCATGGCTCAGGGTGGCGAAATGGTCGGGTCGGCCGCAGGGAGGTTTCCTGAAATTCTAGGTGTGGAAATTGTCAGCTGCCAACTGCAAACAATTCACATAAATAAGAATTCATAGATGAAGAATCTAAACCACTTTTCGGGCGATAAAACGAGAAGCTGGAATCGAAACGACCGGGGATCGATCAAAGATGATCCCGTGAGAAGTTCCAGTGGAACGTCAGCTTCCTGGTAGCTACGAAACGCTACTCACCACCCCTGTTCCACGTGCTCGTATCACATACCGTGAAAATACTTTATTCCGTCGAAAAATAAAAATTTTTTTAAACCAGCGCTGGTTTAAAAAAATTAAATAAAAGCGCTGCAGCGCTCCCTGGGGATTTCATCCCCTGGCGGGACGGTTTGGGTCCCATACACGTTCGAAACCCTCCTGAAGTTTCAATCCCCTCGCGCGGCGGTCCTGGTTCGATACAGCTGTCTGTACAGACCTGCAGGTTCGAACCCGTCATGCAGCTGAGATTAACGCAAAAATCTGAAATACCGCACGTCCGTTCCGCGCTACACGAAATGATACTGGTCCCGCAGCGAGCTGAACGGACGGCGGGCAGCGGGCGGGTCACTACTTGCTCTTTTTGCGGTGTTGGACTTTTTTTCTATTCATCACTTTTGCGAATTTAATTTAGTCTTTATTTCAGCAGCCCTGAACATGTCAGACTCCGACTCGGATCACAAGGCACACAAGAAAGAGAAGAAACAGGTACCCTCCCGGATCTTTTCGATTGAAATTATCCTTTAGAAACGAAAGGTCCAGTCTGACAGCTCTTCGGATGAGGGCGTCATCGATCCGACCCCAGTCAAGAAAGCCAAGCCCAGCTCGAGTGGTGGTGCGTCCCTGTCGAAGCTCAACGGGAAAGACGTAAGCCTTCTTGCAAGGGTTTTATTTTCGCTTAGGCCATCGACGTCGGCAAGAACAAGTTCGTGAGCATCAGCGAATTCAACGGCAAAAAATTCGTCGACATCCGAGAATACTACAGCGACAAGGTATGCGAATTTACTATTTCCTACAATGTTTTTAGGCCACCGGCGAAATGAAACCCGGCCGCAAGGGGATTGCGCTCTCGATCGACCAGTTCCATATCATCAAATCGAACATCGACCAGATCGAGAAGATGTACAACAAATAAGCCTCACCATTCCTGCTATCCTTTTGTACAATCATTTCCTTGTTAATTCTTTTCTGACCATTTCCCAACTCATCGGGTTGAATTGCATCTCGGTTCATTTTCTCATGTTGCCTGATTCGATAAATATTTCTCAGCAAGAACGTGCCTGTCTTAAAAGCTGTTGGTTAATGAGCCAAGTTATTTATCTTTTCTTTTATTTGAAGGAGGAGGCCCTTATCGTTACTAATACAGCTAATTGCAGCCATGATACCATCCGACGATGAGGAGGTCGACTACTCGGAGATGCATATGGCTTCCAACCGGAAGGGCAGAAAAGCGGGCGGATGGCAGATGATGGGTACGCCCTATTTAGTCCGACAATGCTGGGTTTTAGGCTTCGATCAAACTGTGTACAAGGGCATCGAGAAGAAGGGCTACATGCAGCCGACCCCCATCCAGCGCAAGACTATCCCGACCATTCTTGACGGCAGGGATGTGGTTGCGATGTCTAGGACCGGCTCTGGCAAGACAGCCGCCTTTGTGATCCCGATGTTGCAGGTTTTGCAACTACGAAATTCAATTTCCTTTTTGTAGAAGCTGAAGCGGCGCGACCCAGTCGGCGTCCGAGCGCTGTTGATAGCTCCCGCTCGAGAATTGGCGATGCAGACGTTTAAAGTCATCAAAGAAGTAAATTTCTAAGAAATGTTTGCAAAAACACTATTTTCTAGCTCGGCCGCTTCACTGGGCTGCGATGCGCGGTTCTGGTTGGCGGCGACAGTATCGAGGATCAATTTGCCGTCATCCACGAGAATCCAGACATGTAAGTCAATGTTCTCTGTTTTTTTTTGCGTGCCTAAGCTCAGTCAACAATAAATTTTAGCATCGTCGCCACGCCCGGCCGCTTGATGCATGTCATTGTGGAGATGAACTTGCGGCTTTCCCACATCGAATACGTGGTCTTCGACGAAGCCGATCGACTCTTTGAGATGGGATTCGAGCAGCAATTAATTGTAGGGGATTTTTGTCAACAAACCAAAATGTTTTTAGGAAACGATGAAGCGTATCCCCGAATCACGGCAAACTCTCCTTTTCTCGGCGACCCTCCCGAAGATGCTGGTCGATTTCGCAAAGGCTGGATTGAGTCATCCTGTGCTGAGTAAGGATTCAATCCAATCGAAAATCCAATCCTTTTAGTTCGCTTGGATGTCGACGAGAAGATCTCCGACAAGTTGTCGATGGTTTTCTGCACGTGCCGTGCTGACGAGAAGCTCGCTGCGCTTGTATGGCTGTGCCGGAAAGCGGAAGTTGAGGACAAGCAGACCGTTGTGTTTTGTGCGACGATGAAGCATGTCGAGTTGGTTCATGGGTATTTCTTAAATACTGTTGATGCTGCAGATATGTGGTCGGGATACTGAATCGCGCTGGTATCGATGTCGCCTTCCTTTACAGTCAGCTGGACGCTACGGCCAGGAAGATGAACATCGCTAGGTGAGCATGGTTTTTCCGGTTGAAGCTTTCAAATTCCCTGCTAGTGCATTGCATTTTTTTAGTTTCCGCGAAAAGAAGACAAAGATTCTCGTCGTTACGGACGTCGCAGCTCGTGGAGTTGACATCCCACTTTTGGATATGGTACATCGAAATGGTTTTGTGTAGCCACCTTTTAGGCGATTAATCTGCACTTCCCGGCCAAGGCCAAGCTCTTCGTGCATCGTGTTGGGCGTGTAGCTCGAGCTGGTCGTACAGGAACGGCAATATCCTTGGTGGTATGTTTTTTTGGGTTCTGCAGCAGCCTAATCTTCTTTACAGGCGCCCGACGAGATTCCGTACTTGTGCGATTTGTTCCTCTTCTTTGGAAAACCGATGAAGTTTGCGGGTGCTAACGATGCTTATGATGGTATCCCTTGGTTCTGCCAACTAACCTTTTTTAGAAAATGTCACTTTGATCGGCCGTGTCCCCCCATCAATCGTCAGCCTGGAGAGTGACTTTCTTACGGCAATTCACGATAATAACGAGGATATGGTATCTTTTTAGGCAATTTCACCAACTCTCGCATTTTTCCAGAAAGACCTCCGCCACAAGGCGACAAATGCAATGTGCAAATTTACGAAAACCAGACCACCACCTTCCGCAGAAAGTGCGCGGCGGACTAAAGACGAGCTACGGTAACATTCTTGCACTGCTTTAAAACTGGGATTTAGTGCCAAAATTCTGGAAAGCTCCGTGCACCCGTTTTTGAAGGTCAAAGGTGATGCCGAAAATCAGTCGATCCTGAATCAGCTCTCCAATTACAAGAGTCGCGCGGTATGCATTATTTGGTTCTGCTGATAACGTTTTTTAGACAATTTTCGAGCTGCAGCGTTCCGAAAAGAAGGAAGGCGCAAAAGTAATGCGAGACAAGAGGCTGGCCCATCAGGGACACATTGAGGTTGGGAGTGCCGAGAATTCATAACAATCTCTGACGTTAGGAAGTCAGCACTCTGAAGGCGCGCGAACAGGCGAAAATCACCGAGGCGCAGAGGCCCGTGTCCGACATAGCACCCGAGCTGGCAGACGATGATCTTTTGGTTTGTTTCTCGAGCCTTCCCATTTCATGGTATTTCATTTTAGACGGCAACGTTCGGGGCCGTCATCACCCCAGCTGGCCCTCAAGAAAAGCCCAAGCCGAAGAAAAACCGCGAAGAGGAGCGTCGCCGGGAAAAACAGGAGCATTTCATCTCGTATCTACCCTCCGATCACCACGCCGAGCAACAGCTCAGCGTTGACAAGTAGGTTCACAAAAAGCTTTTCGCCCAATGCTCGTTTAGGCGTGATTTCGCTCGCGAGGCTGCCAACGCGGTTGTCGAAATCTGTGGTGACGACGATCGGGCGCTCCGGCAGCCACAGGGCAACCAGAAACGATGGTAGCTCGCTGATTTAATTTCTACAGCTTTTGATCAGGGACCGCAAATTGAAGCGCTACGTGGGAGCGAGCGGAGAAGAGCCCGGGGCCAAGAAGGTCAGAACCGAGGACGGTACATGGGTGCCGGCCACCTTCAAGTCGGGCCGCTACGAGCGATGGAAGCAGAATAGCAAGATCGGCTATAAGAAGGTGCGTGGAAAACATTGCGAAGGACTCGCAATATCTTCATTTAGGACGACGAGGAAGGGGATGCAGAAATGGCCCGCGATGACGATAACCCGAATGACGTGCGAAAGTTCAACCCGAAGCCGAAACGCTATGGAAAACAAGCCACAGCCCCAGGCGGACCACCGTAAAAATCCTTGCCTCCAACAAAACCATCTTTTAGGTCCGAGCTGAAATCCAAAGATCAAATCCTGAAGGCCCGTGTGAAGAAGGAGCGCCTCGAGTCGTACCAGCAATACCGTCAAAAGGAAAACTTCAAGCGGAAAGTCACCAGCTTCAAGAAGAATGCCCAGAAGAAGCGAAAGTGATTTATAATTGTTTTTTTCAGTAGTTACTCTGTTATTGTTGTTGTTCACTTGTTCATTTTCTTTGTTATACCTTTTCATAAAGAATTTATTGTCACAAAAGGCTGAAAGATTAATAAGCCACTAAACATCCAAACAAACAAAGAACACAACCAGTCAAATGGGCAAAACAAGACACCCGCATCTCTGACGAAATCGAAGAAGGATCACATATCTAGTTCCCCCGGGAGTAGGCGGAAGAATTGAAAGCACACAATAAAAGTGACGTAGAAGATGGAACTGTTGACGTAGAAGGACTTCATTGTAGCGCCAAGGCGGGCTAAAAAAAGGAACGTCGCTTCAACGTATAAAATACCTAATCGCCGGATATTGTGCTGTTGACCTGAAGCAGCGGGCAGAAGCGAGATGATGTTCAGTAGTTGATCTTCGCCGATTTGTGCATTCTGAAAAAAGAAACTGGTTGGCAACTGATAAATTTACTACGGACAAAATGCAACGTTGAAGTCTTCAGGAAACTCACCTCGCTCCGAAGAAAGTATTCAAAACTCCCAAAAGCAACGAGCCAAAGCCAGATGATGTTGAATGGGCCCAAAATTGACATCGAGAAGGCGAGCACGACCGCTAAACGAACGTGAAATAAAAAAAGTAATAGCACCTAGCAGCATGTCCAGCTCGTATCTTCTTGTCGACGGGTCGAATGAAGCGAGTTGCGAATGTTTTTCCGTGTTGCCGGCTGGACCCTCGATCCTCTTTTAAAATTGCGCAATTTATGGACAGGAATTCAGTAACATCAGTAAAAAAGCCCTGACGTTCTGAACTAGGAAGGTTGAATAAATTTCCAACCTCCCCAGTGGATGGCCGACTTGTTGAGGCGAGCGGTGCAAACGTGTCGGCAAGCTCGTTGATGTTTTGGAAATCCGGGCAAGCCATTGGTTCGCCGCCCTCCATTGCCGGCGCTCGACGTTGCTCTTCTAAAAAAAACTTTACATAGAGTAAAAATATTGCACGGCACAGCCTAAATCCTTAGATCAATGTTAGGAAATTGATTTACGAAACAGAAACCCTCACCTCCGCCCGGTCCGCTCAAAATCCTTGCCATTCGCCCCTCGGAGTTGGCCAAAATCTTTGCCTTGCGCCGCTCGCGCAGTTCTGCCGCTGTTACGCCCTCGCCGGATGACATGACTTCAAGGTCGGAAGCCTAATTTGCGGCGTAAGAAACCTGCAGACAAAAACCCAAGAAGTTTGTTATGCAGTGGGGCCTACATGCCCATACTAACGACGTCGTGAAGCCCGCGATCCCAAGTAACCATCATTGCTGATCAACATGTGTTCGCCCACTCAACAGAGACATTGTCACTAACATAAGTTTATTAGCCATAGAATGCAAACACCTTTTTAACAGTCAAGTAATGACGGAACATGAGAGAAATCAAATTCAAAATTCCCTTCGCAAGCGCCGCACAAGCTGCATGTCTTTTGGGAAGACCGTCACGCGTCGCGCGTGGATTGCAAGCAGCATGGCATCTTCGAAGAGCCCAGTAATATACGATTCAACGGCCGTCTAAAAATTAAAGCATGAGCGTTACATAACTTGGATGCTGCAGCCAAAAAGAACGGAAAAACTCTGCTCACCCGTATCACATCCAACGCGCTGGATTGCAACCGCAGGTCATGATTGTGGTTGTGAATAATCTCCTTCACCACCTTGAACATCGCCGACTTCGGGATCAAGAAGTCAGTGGTTTTCTGCAGCCTTCGAATTTCTTGGAGAGCCCGAACTAAAACAAAAAAGTCGGATAAAAACACCATAGCCTACCGCCTGGCTTTGCGGGCTTCGCCCTCATAAACATCTTGATCGAAGCGGGGGCATTTTTCGCTAAATTAGAAGCGATTAGAACGGGAGAATGGACTAACTTGTAGTCTTTTTAGTAGCGAGATTTCTTGGGAGGCCGGCGATGGATTTTCGCGCAGTTTGCTTGAGTGTCGGCTGGTTCTGTTTCGCCTGCGGCTTTCCCTGTTTCACACGCGCCATCTCGAGTCGAAGCGCTGAAAAGATAAATAAAAATAGCAGTTCGAGCGTTTCGTAAATGTCGAGCGGTTCCCTGATGGATTTTGGTAGTTAGGCGAAAAGGCTGAAGATCCGTTTAAAAAGGGTTCGGTTTCGATAATTATATAGCGACAAGAAACGCTCGACATCTAAGAAAGCCTGGAAAAGCGGAGAATAATACAAAGACAATGAAAAAAGGTTCGCGTTAAAAGTCATAAAAAAGAATCTTCCAAGTTGGGCTTATGTTCATTTTCCTAAAAATTGTCATGGGATGGGGATGCGTAAAAATATCAACAAAACCTCGGATTTTTGGGTACCGAAACATTTATTGGATCAAACTTCTTTCTTAGTTTAATTTCAGTTTTTGCTTTCCAATATAGCTAAATACTACTAAACGCACTACAAAAATACTTCGTATGACATTTCTAGGCATATCTAAACGTTTAAAAAACGTTTTTCTATTTTCTCATGGATGATACTAGCGAACCTAGGTCATGCCGATATTCAGCGGAATTCAGAAAAATGAATTTTAGGACAAATGAATGACTTTTAGCAAAGAATTTAGGAAATGAGTTAGCAAAGTGACAGTAATCCTCCAAGTACAAACAAAACCAAATTACGAATTTAGTTTAGTGGAAGGTAGCGTACATTGAGTGTAGGTCTAAAATTTTAAAGAAAAAAGTTTCTCTTAACCTAAAATAAATTATCGAAGTGATTTTGGTGTAGTAAAGCGCAAAAATTAATATTATATGATATCGATATCAAGGAAGTGTTTTTCCGCGTACGCGATAATAATTAGGGTAAAGGGCTTCCCAAAACAGAAAACGAGAACGAGATAAAGAAACTTCAGAAAGGTAAGCGAATGCACATAGCCGGAAATTTGCCCGCGATCAACTAAATGGCATAATCAATATTCTTTATGGAAATCGAAGCGGAAGCGATGATTTGCATGCGTTTCCCAAGCAAAAACAAAAATTGGTGCTCTGGCCGCCATATTTCCCTACTCGTCGACCCGTCTGGATAAGCGCTTTTGCTGAAGATGGGCTGTTGTCCGAAGGTCAAGAAGAATCCGCCGGCACCCGGGCAGCGCAAGCTCGGTCGCCCCGCCGTCGCCCCCGTCGCCCAGCGGCCGGTAGGTGTTCAAGAGATACAAAAGTTGCTCGTACGTGCGGAAACGTTTTTATTTAGAACCAGCCAACCCCGGCCCGCAAGCCGGCCGCCGATGCGTCGAAGAGCCGTGGCGCGCAGCAGAAGCCGAAGGGCAAGGCTCCGGCGGCGTCCGTGAACAAGAGCGCGCCGAAGACGGCCCCGCGCGGCAAGAGCGGACCCTCGAAGAGCGGCAAGGAGAAGACCAAGGGCTCATCGAAGGGGTCATCCAAGGGATCGGCCAAGGGAAAGACCGACAAGAACCAGTCGCCCGCCCAGAAGGTAACGCTGTTTATTTTAAAGAGCTAATCTTACTGTTCTATATTTATTCTATATTTCTTTATAACTTTAAAAGCTGTATTTTAGACTGCAGCCGCTGCGGCCGCCACCAAGAAGAAATCGAGTGAGAAGTCAGCCCGCTCGGCCAAGTCAAAGTCGTCCAAGTCGAACAGCAAGCGCGAGGCGCCCAAGGAAGCCAGCAACAGCAAGGTGCCGATCTTTGCCTCATCGTTAAAATTGGTGTTTAGAAGCAGCAGAAGGGCTCGGACAGCTCGAAGAAGGTGGCGACGGCGCAGTCGCGGACGGAGAAGCTGAAGCGCAAGCGCAACCCGCAGAAGAGCCGCATCCCGCCGCCCGGAAGCACCACCGACTCGTCGCTGATTCCACCTGTGCGTGTGCGTAAACCAAAATTCACATATTTGTTAGAATAACTGGCTTCAATTAATGGGGACGTTTTTGAGGCAGAAATTTCTGGGTGTTTGCAGGAAGAGCCGGTGATCGAGCCGAGCAAGCCGGCAAAGGACGAGAAGGCCCCGCCGCCACCCCAGTTCCACTACGCGTCGTTGGCCGACCCGTCCCATCCGCAGCAACAGCTGGTAACTTATCAGTCGATAATTTTTGTTATAGATTTCTTTTCTCAGGTGGTCGCCTCCTTCGTGACGAACGGGCGTCGTGTCAAGCGCTGGACCTATGCGGACAGCTATCCGGCCGGCACGAAGGCGCCTTCGTTGGGGGCCATCCTGGCCGAGCGCCCGTCGTGGTAGGGGTGTACCAATTTGCATCTACAGTTTCTAGAATTTTATATTTTGGTAGTTTTTACTTGATAAAAAGCAATCTTTTTTAAATTGAGAAATTGTTAAAAAATTTTGTTCAATTTTTGACCAAAAATTCTTATTTTCTAGTTTTACAACAACAAGCCCAAAAAAAGATCACGAATCTAATATTTGAAAACTTTTCCTGGACTTTCTATACTTCAAAACCGCACAAAATGCGACATAAATGTTATTTCATTATTGAGAACTGTTCAGGCCTCAAATTTACAGCCCGAAGACCGAGTGCCCGATGGTGGTGATCGAGCCGGTGGGCAAGTCGGGCAACCAAGTCACCCGCGCCCTCTCGCTCACCTCCCTTCCCCCGCCCAGGTTTGCGCCTGAATTCTCCGTCGACTTCTAGCCGTTCAGCCCGAACGTCGCCCGCCCATCCGGCGATCTCAACAATTGCAAGTCGCTATCGTACTCGGCCAGCAAGTCCCAGGAACGCGTCGAAGTCCAGGATGTGAGGAATTCAAGACGCTTCCTGAGCTATCGCTCATTTCAGGGCCGTCGGGGCGCTGCCGCCAGCTCGAGCCGTCGCCAGAAGCAGCACTCCAGGGAGGACAAGCAGCCGACCATTGATGATGCCCTCGTCGAGGAGACCCTGCGCCGGCTCGACGATTTGGCCAAGCAAGTAAGAGCCATTGCTTTGTAAAGAATCTGCCTCTTGTCGCTTCTAGGTGGAGAGCATGACCCGTCAGCTGCGCACGGCCCACAAGAAGTGAAATGCCCTCCGCCGGCGCGCGGCCATTCAATTTCTTCTAATCATCAAATCTATTCCTGATACTCGGCGTTTTGTGAAATAAATGATACAATTGACTGGGATGCGTGCATTCTCGCGGGAATAAATAATTTATTGCATGCAGACACGCGGCGGGAGATCGTTTCTATTGGTGAGAATCGGCAAGAGTCACGGGGATCGGCACACTAATGGATGGTTACACGAGGGACTATAAACTACGTGCTACGCTATTGAACAACGGTCTGACGAAACGCAATGACAAGGCTGAAAACTAAATTACTTAAAATACATAAAAATATTGCTTTGGTCGGAAAGAAAGAAGGGCAAGAAAATGGCTGGAGAAAAGGATTGGCGGTCATCTTTGTCCGCCCTCCAGCAGGGTGGCCATATCGTGGAGCGAGCTGCGGATGGCCTCCTTGAATTTGGCGGCGCTCGTCTTGGCGCAGCTCCTGGAAAGTTCGTTGCGCTAGACTCTTTGTTGCCGAGCGACCCGATAGAGCAATAAATAATCTACAAAATGCTTTACAGCTCAAAATACTGTCTTCCAAACGAAGGCTACGATGAAAGATTCCAAACGCTTTTACAAATAGAAAAGCAAAAAGGGGCGGTCAAGTGATGACAGTGGGGCGTAAAGTTTACTTAACTTTCGGATAACCCACTGTCTTCGGACCAGCCCCATGATCACCGAACTGTGGAACCCCCTTATATACCCAACCCCGCCCACGCAGTGGGCCAGGTCCTGTGTGTTTCGGGGAGAGCCGGAGAGCGGTTGCTCCCGGCCTATTGTATCACGGCCTACCATTATTCGATAAGGGCGTAAAGTATACCAAAATGTTCGTCTTGGGCTGGCGAGTATTTTGGTATACTTTTCAACTCAGTTTAATAGCTGGGATTCGAGATACAGTCGGTGGAAGTAGGCCGGGGCAGGCAGCTGGTACCTTACGTACTTTTTTACTACTAGCGATCATTTTAGATAATAAATGACTAAATCCACTTATCAAGCATAAAAGAATTCAGAAAAGTGTTATTAAAGAGATTTAAAGTTTGAAACCATTTTTGCAGCTTTATAGCCAAATTAGAATAATTTGTGCACCCACTTGAAGGCCGTTGGAGCAAAAATGAGGTGATCCTCCTGGATGTTGTACGCACAGCCGTACCCATCGTTGACCACGGCCCCGTAGCACAGGTAGCAGTCAAAGCGGGGCAACGTCGGCGAGGTGGTCACCTGAGAAATTGGGTACTGGGCTGCGTTTTTCACAACTATGAACCCATCATAAAAATATCTAGCGGCCTTCTGCTAGATGCTGCATTTTCTACCGTACCTGGCTGGTGCTGAGGGGAAATCGCATCAATTCTGTCCACATTGGCTCGCGGAACAGTTCGGGCATCTCATCCGAATTGACGTCACGAGCCATCACCCACAACGCGCACAGGTGGTTGTCGATACCGTAGCCGCTAACGTTCTGGAATTGGGGTATACGGTAGGCTACGAGCTACAACCTCAACGGTGACCTTGGCCTGTTTGGCGGCGGCTTTTCGGAAGAGGGCACGACGGGTTTCCTAAAAAAATTTGAATAGAACACTGATTCTCTCGATTGCTCGCTATATCTCTGTCTCTCTCTCTCTCTCTCTCTCTCTCTCTCTCTCTCTCTCTACCTCATTAATGCTCGGACTCTCCATAGCAGTCACCCACGCAAGCGCTTCTGGCGTGTTTGCCCGGATGTTGTCGACGCGGCCCTGGGCTAGAAGTTTTGATTGAGTCCGACCTAGGCTACGCTTGGCGAAACTTCGAGTTAGGCTTGGCTTAGGCTTGGCTTAGGCTTAGCTTATGCCTAGCTTAGGCTTGGCTTAGGCTTGGCTTAGGCTTGGCTTAGGCTTGGCTTAGGCTTGGCTTAGACTTGGCTTAGGCTTGGTTTAGACTTGGCTTAGGCTTGGCTTAGACTTGGCTTAAGCTTGGCTTAGGCCTGACTTAGGCTTCGGTTGAGGCTTAGCTTCAGCCTGAGATTAAGCTCGAACTTTGACTTACCAAATCGTCGATGCGTACACGATTCGTATGTGCTTACTAGATGACCATGTAATCTGAATTTAATGGCTGTATAGCTTAAAGTGGTTTGTTTTAAGCTCATTTTCGTGGCATTTCAACGTGGTACTATATCTTTAAAGTCAAGCTCCAACGCAAGATCAGAGGGAATACCTATAGTGTGCCAGCTGCATGGCGAGCTGCGCGAATCCGTCAGGCGAGACCCCCATCGCTTTGATCGCCTTCTTGCCAAAGCCATCAAAGAGGAGCACGTCCAGGTCGATGTCGTCGGATAGTCTGGAGGATACGGTAATGGACTCCGTAATGTAGCCAGTAGATACCCTTGGAACTTTTGGATTTGTTTGTCAAGCAGCGCCCGCTCTTCTGGGCCGACGTGCCAGGTGAGGGTGGTCGGGGATATGGATGGGGATGACTCGGGAGCGATCTGGAATTTGGTCTATAGCTTTAAAAGCACTAGTAAGTTAGTATAAAATATACAAAAATATGATTTTTTGAGAACAATGACCGATTTTCGATTTAAACTTTTACTTAATTTAGAATTTTTGTAAGGGTTGATAAGTAGCTTTTCCATTTGAAATATAGCCAAATTTTCCGAATAAAAACTATTAAAATACGTATTTTAACGTTAACTTTCCGGAATTATAAAAAAACCCGTGTCCCCCTCCCTCGATAATGCAAAAGAAACCGAATTATACGAAAAAAGGAGAAAGTAAGTTTTTTTGGCCTCCAGCGATCGATTACGCCGTGAAATACGCGAAACCCACGCTCTTTCGCCGTTGATTCTGGTGTACAAAGTTGAGGGCGTACTCGGCCATACTGACAATGACGATACCCTCAGCGGTTGAGTGCTCGATGCAAAAGCCGCTCCACCCATCCGCATTCACCACCACCTAAATGTTACATTCATTTAATAAATCGATACGGTGAATTATTGCAGCTTTTAGGCCGAAAACAAACCTGTATCGTTGCGTCGTACCATCGGTTCAGCCCGGAGTTTTGGGCTCCATTTCCGTGCAACAGGTGGTGCCCGCGTTGGATCAACTCTTTCTCCTAGAAAAACGCTTTAATAAAAGGATAGTTATTAATATAAAAGTAAACTAATTAAAATAAGTTAGGAAAGGCAATTGTCATTTAATGATAAGGAAGGTAAGGCCATTTAAACAAGGCCATTTAACGATAAGGAAGGCTACGCGATGTTACGCGACGTTACGCAACGTTACGCAGCGCTACGCCACGCAACGTTTCGCAACGCTACGCAGCGCTACTCCCTACGCTAATCAACGCTACACAAATCCCTAGATACCTCGAAACTAGGCCAATTTTGGCTATTTTTCGGAAGTTTCGGTTTTCGGAAAGTACATCCGCCTACCTTTGTCTCGGCAGGCTTCTCGACACGGTCTAGGTCTAGGCAAACAACAAAGATGGCATCGTGGACGGCTTTTAGGGATGCTTCATTGTCTGAAATCTTTGGGTTGAACTGGGTTGAAAAGGTGAAAACCAATAAAATCCTCATAGGATATGTGTAAAAAATCGTACTGCTTTCCATTCTATTAAAACTAAGCCCTACTTGGCTTCATGGCTTCCCAGAATTCAGCGGCAACGTCTCGGTCGCCAGCCGAAGCAGCCCCAAGGGGGAGCACCATCGAGGAGGGGCGGAGGGAGGCACGGCTTACCACCTAAGAAAAGCAAAATATGAATTATCAGCCGCTCTACGATTGAATTTTATAGCCAGAACGTTACTTACCTGTGCCAAAAGCTTGCGCAAAACCGCCGTAGATAGTAGCTCTCCTCGAACTTTCACCGGGATGGTGAACGTCTGAAAATTTGAAGTCATTTACTACGCAGGACTACGTGACGATACGCATAGCAGCGCTCGACTACGTCTCAATGCGCTACAAAGCGCAATACTTGGAAACGGTAGCTAGCGCTACGCAAAGCTGCGTTACGGTAGGCCTCGAAGCGCTACGCAACGCTAGGGTAAGTAACGATACGAAACGCTACGTAACGCTCCAACGCTACACAACGCTACGCAGCTCCGGTTAAAGTTTATCACGCTAACGAACACTAAGCCAAACTACGTGACGCTACGCTATGCACCACTACGTAATGTTACGCTACGCAACGTTACACAAAGCTATGCAACTCTCTGCTACTCCACTTCTCCACACGCTGCGTCACACAGCGTTACACAACGCTACGATATGCTACGCACGCTCCTCACCTGATTGTGGCACATCACCAGCACGTGCTCATCGTTGCTCGGCTCTTTTCGTAGCTAAAAATCCAAATATTATTTGTGACGCTAAAATACATGAACATCCTCCTCCCGATTCGGCGCTCGATGTGTCGATAGGATGCGGTCGTACTGCTCCATGCACATCCGCGTCTTCTCCCTCCCCGTCGACAGCTCGCGTTCGATTTCTTTGCTAAAAATTGTTAAAATATCGTAATTAAGAAAAAATAGAGGCGTAAGGTCGCGTAGTCTCCTGATTTCAACGTTAAAACCTACCGATCGATCATTCCCTTGAAGTCCATCATGCCTCGGATCAATAGGGCAGTATATCTAAAGGTATCTACGATTAAAAATATTTCTTTTACCCGATTTTTATAACAATTTTTACAGGTTTAAAATTAAAAATTGAATTCAAATTTAGCTTTTAACGGTAGGCGTATCAAAACTTTCTTTATCTGATCCTCGACCCCTTCGAATTGCTGCTTGGGGAACACGTAGGCTGGGTTGGTGTTCACCGGAAGTGGGGCACGGATTTTTAGGTACATTTCCGAGAGCCAGATCGGGGTCACCTAAACGCAAAGCTCCACGTTTTTCCACACCTAAAAACGTACCCAATTCACGCTGTTCTGCGCAATTTCTATCAACGAATTTTGGAATTGACGCCCTTCTTCGCGAAATCTGGAAGGCAGTAGATGAACAAGGAATTTAGCCAGTTCAAATTCAATTGTAAGTTTATCAGAATTGCTTTAAAGCAATTAATCATTATCGAATATTTGTGCAAAAAGCATAAAATCAGGGCACATGGAGGAGCCGGGCGTAGTCGAGTACTTGGCTACGTAACACGCCTATAGACACGTTAACCCTGTGATTTCTACGCATTTACTTCGCAACTTCAGGGTGCCAAACCCACTTGAAATCTCAAAAATGACAATTACGATACCGACCTTTGGACAGCCGCATCAGTACGGGCCATACTTTGACCGGTGCCCGCCGCCACAACCGCCGCATATTCGAGGTAGCGGTCGAGGGAGTGGCTGAGCGGGGGAACTGGTGGCGAGGGGAGGGGAGCCTGAACTTTTTGGTTTCTAACAGACAACTGACGCCGGACTACAAGATACAGCTCTTTCCACGTAGATCATACTCATAAACTGGAACCTGAGGTTGCTGTAGTTCCTCCTAGCGCTAAATGGCTTAATGGGACTCCGAAAACAGTACCCTGGAAACCGTAAATCGGCTTTGAAACATTGCATTTTTCCTATACCATACCCTAGATACCGTATAACACTTCCTAAACGGTGCGCTGACTACCATAATAATAAGCGCTCTTATACTATGCCTGGGATAGGCAATGCTGCCGCTAAAAGATGCACCCGAATACCGTAACGCTGTGGCATAAATTGTGCCATACCGTAATGATACCGTACATAAATCCGCTCAGGAAAATTTGTTCCAGGTGCTTGATAGCCTTTTGATAAATCTTGCACTGGCTAGCGTAAACTGCATTTCAAAATTGCTCCGCGAACACCGTAGACCGACCGGGGAAAACCTTGCTCCAGATACCGTAACCATTAACACCATTCTCTAAAACATGCACCTGGTTTACCGTTACCTGCCTAAACTGTGCCCGAAGCTACCGTACCCGAAAGAGCGACTTATGGCGTAGATGTTGTTGGTGTAACACGCGCAGAGACCTTAGTATAGCCGGTAATATTGGTGGTGGACGTGGCGGGGCCACCGGCATCACCGCCGACGAGGGCCCCAAATACGATGAAAGGGCCCTGGTGGTGGTGGTGGCCGCCGGTTCGTGGTCCGTCGAAATTAGTGCCCGGGCCCTAAGGATGGGCCCTAAGGAAAAGGAGAAGCAGAAGGGACCAATGGGAGGACCCGCAAAAGGATTGCTTTGCTAAGGGGGGGAAGATCTTTTTGTTCGGCTTCTCCTGGAATGGAAAAGGGGGCGCATCTTGAATTGCAATCGGTGGTGGGGTTCTCTATCTATCTCTCACTGTCTTTCTTTCTCTCTCTCTCTCTCTCTCTCTCTCTCTCACTTGTCTCACTCTACCCGCTAATTGCTTTAAATTGATTTTTGAAATTGACGCTACTAAATGCGAAACGTTCGACTAGCATTAATGCGCGCATACCCCTTTTAAAGGGACTAGCAAGGCGAAATCCATAAACTAATAGTTTAGATTTTTGCTTTAAGATTTATAAAAACTCGATTTTATTTTTAAAGGAATACCAGGGTTGAAAAGCCGCTTCGCGGCTTTTTAACCTTGGCACCATCTGAGCCCATGATATCCTGCACACTGCATAATTCGGCCGAATTTCGATGCGAAATAATGAAAAATGCATCCGCTCCGCCGTTATATAGGCTGCCGCCACTTCCGGCTTATGCTAATTAATGCCTAACAAAGAGGCTGCCCGATTTTTTAACAAAAAAATGATTTTTAATGTCGAAAACCAGGGTTGAAAAACCGCTTCGCGGCTTTTCAACCCTGGCCCCGTCCGGGACCTGTGAAAGTCCTTAATTTGCATGTTTCTTCCTCATTCTAGCAAGAAAAAAGTGAAAAGCGACTCCTCTGTCCCTTTATATAGGCTTTTCCTACTTCCGGCGCATGGTAATTTCCCCTAACAAACAGGGTTTTACAAAAACCTATTTTTAATAGCGAAAACCACAATTTTTCAAAATTTTTATGTGTGTGCAATCGATTCCGGACCATTCTAAACCTATTGTCGTTTCTTCCCTATCCAAAAAACCCTTCCCCGAGGCTGTAGGAGCGGAACATCCTAACGGAAGTGCATGCAAATATACACACACACACACAAACACTATTTTTTTATATATAGTAGGATAGCACAATTTGCAAAATCTGATATGCGTGCAGTCATCTCGGCTTCATTACGCACCTAATGACGTAAGATATGTAGCCTAATACCCTTCCCCCCTTGATAATCCTCCGGACACCCTGACGGAAGTTGCATGCAAAGTGGCACACACATACACAAACACTATTTTTTTATATATAGTAGGATTGAATCCAGAAATGTAAGTAAATCCCTTTAATTACCGAATTCCCGAAAAGCTGAATACTGTACTTTACACAATTTTTTTAGTCATTTCATCTAGCCTTCCCGGCACCTTTAAAACTACGTAGCTACCGATTCTACCCCTCTACATCACCCAATGTCCCCTCTAGGGAATTCGGAGCGTCCCGGAATTCAATCTGGGGAGACCTGCAGGTCCGCCGTGCCCTCCAGGTCATTAAAAGGAGTAAGGGGACCTCGTTTTTCTCGCGACTACCCTATCTATCCTCAGGTGGGCCGATGGACAGAGATTCCAAGAAGCTACTACGTACACTACTGAGTTAAAGGGACATGGAAGTCATTAAAAGTTTTGCCGTAATTTTGTGGCTCTCTACGCACCCCGAAATTGTCGAAATCCGCGCTAAAAGCCACAACTTGCAGGGCGCGCACAGAACGAGGTGTACAGAGCAGTCGGGCGTAGTCTGGTAGTTAGCAACGTGACGCTCCTATGTACGGTGGCGGGTTTTGTTTGTGGGAAATCACGGAAAAATTCAAAATGTTGTGAAAAATTATAGAAAAATTTCCCAAGGATCGCGCTTCCTGAAAAACCGTAATCCAGAAACTAAAGGAACGTTTAAGCGGCCGAAATACCCGTGGAACCTGGAAAAAAGGAACTTTTCCATTTTTTCTAACTTTTCTGATGTCATGTTTAAATTTTAGGTAAAATTCTATGCTGTCACACACCCTTTAAAACTACCGTAATCTGGAAAGTAGCGGATTTCACCTCATACCACTCTTCCTTCCGCTTCACCTCCTCCACATCGCCCATCGCCACGATAGCTCGCTTCTAAAAAATTTATTCATTTCAAAAATACACATAACCACCAATTACACCAATTTACACCCCCGATTTTGTGCCGTATGTACCGTGTTGTAGTGTGGAAGGTATGTAATAATGTGCGTAGAATATTTATTCCCATCAAAAAAGCCAAACTGGCACGCGCAAAATAGAGAAAAAATGGCAAAATTGCACAATATAATGGTTAGAGAAATCAATAAATTACTAGCCTTCCAAGAGAAGAGGAAAAGAGAAAAATACGGAACCCAAAATTTGGAAAAATCCACACAACACGAAATCCAATTATATTCTTATTATTGCAAATTTTTCGGGGTTGAAAAAAATTCATTTTTAGGGGCTTGGGCTACACAGCAATACACGAGACGGCACCGGGGACGCGGAGGGGATACGGTAGGATACAATACGCGGGCGCAGAATAGAATCTACGGCTCTGGGAACGGGTAGCCAAGCTAAGCCGAAGCTAAGCCGAGCTAAGTCTAAGCTGAGCCTAAGCTGAGCCTAAGCTAAGCCTAAGCTAAGCCTAAGCTAAGCCTAAGCTAAGCCTAAGCTAAGCCTAAGCTAAGCCTAAGCTAAGCCTAAGCTAAGCCTAAGCTAAGCCTAAGCTAAGCCTAAGCTAAGCCTAAGCTAAGCCTAAGCTAAGCCTAAGCTAAGCCTAAGCTAAGCCTAAGCTAAGCCTAAGCTAAGCCTAAGCTAAGCCTAAGCTAAGCCTAAGCTAAGCCTAAGCTAAGCCTAAGCTAAGCCTAAGCTAAGACTAAGCCCCAGCTTAAGCTAAGCCCAAGACCAAGCCAGCCATTCCCCTAATAAAGTGACAATTCCAGGGACCAGAGATAATATAAATTTTGGTAGGGGTACGGTAGAATTTTCAGGCTACGGAACGCTCCACCATACGGGTAAGTAAGAGTCGTACGTACGCAAAAATCTAATGCAAGCAGCTGGACTACCACTGCGGGTTGAAGGGATCGTAGTTTGTGGCCGGCTCGGCGGGTACGGTATGGCCGTTCTGTACGCCACCATACTCTGGCTGGTATTGCTGATTGATGACGCGGGCCGTGTGACCCTCTTGCGGATGGTCGGCACCGTCAATCTTACCGTAATCACCCTCTTTGAGCATCGTCTCGTTCCGCGCGAGTACCTGAAAGGAATTATGGTTTTTTTAGAATTTTCTTTAGCTTTTGAACGTTTTGCTTTTGGCCGAAGAACGAAAGTTTACCTCCTGATAACCGTGCACCTTCCTCAACATGCCCAACACGGGCGCGTAGCCGACGTTCGTCACGAAGATGATGATGTTCAGGGCCAGGAAACTGATGTTGGAGACGATCCAACCGGCGATGATCGGCCCGAAGGCGTACGCCAACGAATACGAGATGTCGGCGATTGCGTACACCTGGAAAAGGTAGAAATGTGTGTTTAAATGGAATAGGAATCTATCATTCTCATCACTAAAACTTACCGATCCGTAGACGGAAACGTGTCGTGTATCCACCAAGTAACCAAGAAGTGGAAGGATCGAGGTATCGATTAGGGCAATTCCGAAGCACACCACTGACAGCGGGATCATCAGCTGAAATTGAGTCTGAGTCACCGCCATATCCTCAAAGAATCTCTGCTAGCCTGCCCTCTCCCAATTCCTCAAAGAATCTCTGCTAACCTGCCCTCTCCCAATTCCTCAAAGAATCTCTGCTAGCCTGCCCTCTCCCAATTCCTCAAAGAATCTCTGCTAGCCTGCCCTCTCCCAATTCCTCAAAGAATCTCTGCTAGCCTGCCCTCTCCCAATTCCTCAAAGAATCTCTGCTAGCCTGCCCTCTCCCAATTCCTCAAAGAATCTCTGCCAGTATGCCCGACCAACCTGCGTGACAGTGGTTGTGAAGGGAACAGCCAGACATGATATTCCCTCCATCGCTAGTCCAGCCATAGCAATGGCCCATGGATAAGCGGGATACTTTCCGAGCAGCTTCACAGTCACGTACACTCCGAGAACGTGGGGGATGAATGGCGGCAGCCAAATCATGCCCACAAGCCAATCCGGAGTGCCCTTCATCGTCTAGAAAATAGGAAGTTTGATCTCAATCGTAGCTTAAATTAGCGCGCAAGCTGATAGAGATAATGAATCAAAAGCACCCACCTCGGCCATCCAATTAGTAATGGTGGGCTCAAGGAATGCGAGTGAGACGTTCGCCATGATCAACGCCCCCGAGCAGACAGCAATCATCGGGTCCATGAATAGCTTCCACATCGGGGTACCTGTAAGGGATTGGGAGAGGGCAGGCTAGCAGCGATTCTTTGAGGAATTGGGAGTGGGCAGACTAGCAGAGATTCTTTGAGGAATTGGGAGAGGGTAGGCTGGCGGAATTTGACCCTCATAAAAATGACTCTTCTGCTCACCTTGCAATCGCTCCCCAGTACTCCTATCCACCGCCCTGGACTCGCGCGGCTGGATGACGAAGAACACTGCGAACGCGTCGGCCAGGCACACGAAAGCGAGCACGAGGAATGGAACAGGCTTCCCGGCAATCGAGTAGAGCACAGAACCGAACGGGGGAGCAACCTGAAAATGGGTTACGGTAGATGGGGCACGATTTACCAAGCATCCAAACGAGATGAAGGCCAGGGCAATGCCAAGGGCGGCTGATCGCTCATTTTCTTCGCAGAATCTGTCGGCGATCATGGCCAGACCGGAAGTGTCGGCGAAAGCAGAGCCGAAACCCTGGAAATTGAGGGTTTTTTCTCGATTCCTCCAAGAATATCTGCCAGCTGTCTTTCTTTTGTTTTTCAAAGCGTAATCGGTGGGTATCCGATTCCTGCCTTCCCAATCCCTTTGATTCTGACCCCGAAATTGTCCCCTGTTTCTCTACCCCCCAGAAAGCGTTTTGGTGCCCAATGGGGGAGTGCCTTTTTGCGTGCCATTCAATTAGAGGATGGTGGGAGAGGAAGAAAGAGAGAGAGAGAGAGGGAGAGGGAGAGAGACTCTTGAATAGCTTCCACCCATCGAAACGCTGCCCTCCTTCAATTAGACTCCCACCATCAATCTCGGCGCCCACCACAGATGCCGAGCAAATCCGAGGCGTGAAACTCGAGGCGTAAAATGGAGATTAAATCGGAATGGGGGCAGGCGGTGTAAGTAGTAAAATTGGGAGTTTTTGGCGGCGCTCTGTGAATCTCCGGGTCTTTCCTAGTTAGCCAGACGAAAGATAGAGAAAGAGACTGAGCGAGAGAGGGAGAGAGAGAGAGGGAGAGAGGGAGAGAGAGAGAGAGAGCGAGAGAGAGAGAGGGAGAGAGAAAGAAAGAAAACCCAAATTCCATACCCCTTAAGCGATCTCTTCTAGTCAGCCCACCATTTTTCCGGAATTTTTGTTTTTGGCTTTTCTTCTCCCAATCTCAGTTTGCAGATCTTTTTTTTGAGCTGCGTGTGCGTGTCCTGGTCCTCCTCCTTCCATCTACTAGACACAGCTTTCGACTACAACCATTGGCGTGCCCTCGGAAAATCCCCTTGGGAACTGCCTTCAGGCGGGAGAGGCAAAAGGAGAGAGAGAGACGGAGACAGAGAGAGAGAGAAAGCGAGAGAGCGAGAGAGAGTGAAGGCCAAGAAAAGCATGGCAACCCAATCATCCCCCAGCGGTCAACCCCCTTATTTTTCGAAAAACACCACGTTTTCTTCCTGGGGGAGGCACAAATTACGGATACGAAATTGATTAAAAGGGCTATAAGTACGTCCAAACACTAATTACATGCAACTTGTCGATGTTTACTTTGGCCTTTTAACGGAATCCTTCCCAAATTGTCACCGCCGGCCTGCTCCGCATTCAACCGTGCCCAATTTCTCGATTCCTCAAAGTTCCCTGCTAGCCTGCCTATCCCAATGATCTCTGCTAGTTTGTCTGACTCCCCAGCAATCACTGCCAGCTGACCTGTATCGATCGGGCGAAGAACAGCACGGGATACGATTGGCCGAGGGCGAAAATGGCGGTTGAGAAGAACATCGTCGTCAGGCCGATGATCATTGGGATCTGGAAAAACTCTAGGAGTTTCGACGCATTAATAGATACCCTTAAAAAAGACATCTTCGTAATTTTGATGGCTTCAAACTTTCAGACGATTGTATTTTCAATGGTTCGACGTTTGGGAAAAACATATCTCAGAGAAAAACCTCGCAATTCACAGTCCAGTGTCGGCATTCTGACTTTCGAAATGGCAAATTCAACATTCAGAAAGTCGGCATCTTGCAAATTTCGAATTTAGGAATATCGATTGTATGAAATTTCGACAAAAAAGACTAAAAACGAACCTCATATCCAATCCTGTCGATGACGGCCCCCGAGATGGGGTTGATAAAGATTTGAAGCAGAGCTTTCGAGGCGAACAGCCAACCCAACTGCCATTCCTCATCCACATAGTCCCATGTGCCACCCTGAAATTCGTTTTGGCGTTCTAACGGGGCCTTGAGGGCAATCGAAAGGTATGGCGCAGTCGGGTGAGCCGTTGGTTTTCAGGCTGAGGGTCCAGGTTCGATTCCCTACCCTGTTTCCTCTGTTTCTCGCTTCAAACCTCGAGTATAGTTTGACAGTTGTGCTTCATAGAGCAAAGCGTTAGGTACATACCTCTCTCCTTACAACCGTCGTCCCGTCTTTCAGCGTCTGCGTCACGTTTTGGCCCCCGATCATCTTGGCCTCATACGCGTGGATGTCGCGCAGATATTTGGGGATGATCGGCACGATGACCATGTAGAGCATGTTGTCCAACAACAGCGCGATGGAGACGATCACCAGCACCATGCGCTTTTGGTTCTCGGGTACCTGGAAGGAGGGTTTGGATTCAAATCCTCAAAGAATCTCTGCTAGCTTGCCCCCTCCCAATTCCTCAAAGAATCTCTGCTACCTGCCCCTCCCAATTCCTCAAAGAATCTCTGCTAGCCTGCCCTCTCCCAATTCCTCAAAGAATCCCTGCTAGCCTGCCCTCTCGAATCCATCAAAGAATCTCTGCTAGCTTTCCCTCACCCACCTTGGTCCATGCCTGCGCCTGCTGGTAGACCAGCGTGGAGTCGCGGTTCAGCAACGGCACGTTGAAGCCCATCGCGGCTGGAAAAGGGGCGGGATTAGGGAGTTTTGAAAGGGAAAACGTTTTAAAGGTCCGTTGAAGGCTCAGGAATCCATAGATTTTGCGCGAGCTTGTGGACCGGGCCATTTAAAGGGTTGGGGAAGCCAACAAAGAAAATCTCCTTGCCAACCCCTTGAATCCCGAAAGCCCATTTCAACTGTCACGCTCCCTTTAAAGCCACAACCCCCGATGTCTCACCTGCCAATCAGATCAGCTCAGCCCCACCAGCTATTAGTGCGTTGACGTGAGCGTGATGGATGAATCGATGGTGGTGGTGGATGAAGACGTCTTCCACCCTCTTCCTCCTCTTTTTTTGAGGTCTTCAGAAGAAGCGGCCGAAGCAGAAAGGGGCGGGGCAAGGCGGATGGGCCCGAAGCAGCGGACGTCGAAGGATGGAAGGAGGACGAGGAGAAGCCTGCAATCCCACCACGAGTCCCTGGGGCGCCTCCCGTTCTTTTTCTTCTAGCGGGGGAGCGGCCGCCGGCACCCTGATTTTTGTGAGGAGGCAGGGATAGGGAATGGTCTCGGATGGGTCCTCAATGGTTTCGGCTAGCCTGCCCTCTAGTGGATTGAGGCTTAAAGAGAACGGGACACGCAAGCATTTTCCGTCGGTTAGATCAGATAAAAATCCTAACTGATCTCTGCTAGCATGCCCTTTAGTAGGGAGTTTTAAAGGCAGCGCGACACTAAAAATCAGCTTATTAGTGAGCCAGTTTCATCCGGAAAAGAATCCTAAGGAGTTTCCGCTAGCTCGCCCGTTTACTTTAAATGCTCTCTGCTAGCCTGCATGCAAAGGAATTGACGTTTAAAGGGAGCATGACATCAAAAATAAGCTCCTTGGCGAGTTAATTTCAACCGTAAAAATTCCGAAACGGTCGCTGCAAGCTGGCCTGTCACTTTAAATGATCTCTGCTAGCCTGCCCGCGAAGGTGTTGGTGGGTTTAAAGGGAGCATGACATCAAAAATAAGCTCCTTGGCGAGTTAATTTCAACCGTAAAAATTCCGAAACGGTCGCTGCAAGCTGGCCTGTCACTTTAAATGATCTCTGCTAGCCTGCCCGCGAAGGTGTTGGTGGGTTTAAAGGGAGCATGACATCAAAAATAAGCTCCTTGGCGAGCTAATCTCAACCGTACAAATACCTAAAGAATCTCTGCTTTCCTGCCTAAAACGTTAAATGTTCTCTGCTAGTCTCCGAGCCTTCCCGTTCCCTTTAGAATCAGCGAATAAAGCCAAAATGCAATCGCAGCGCGCCGCTCCCCGCCAGCCGGGTGAGCCTCAGGGGCCGCTGGGCCGCTCCACACACAAAAGAAGAAGAAAGACACCGGAGCAGCCACAGAAATTTGGTAGTTTATAGTCTAATTTTTGTCGAAATCTGTAGCACAAAATCCAGTAATGAAAACTGTCCGTCTGTATACTCTGTACGGTCGGTACATACGGCACAATTAGGTCCAAAATCTAATTTTGAAAAATTCCAACCTTGTCGAAGATGTCGGGGAGTTTCGTGTAAGAGTTACAGGCTTGTGGCCGAGCGCTTGGTGCACATTTTAGAGCAGATGAAGCCTGAAATAGAGCTTAAACTTTGAGCTATAGGTTAAATGACACGAAAATTATGTAAAAAAGTGGCAATTCCAAGATGATCTCTGCTAGCTACCGGTAGATTAACGGCAAGCTAGCAGAGATCATTTGGGGAACAGGGGATTTGTAAGCACCAAATAGTTCGAGCCGAGAAATGAACAGAAAAACTTCAATTCAAAACTCCCAAATGATGTTTGCTAGCTCGCCAGCGCCGTCTCGGGGCTAGCTGGCAGAAGTTTTTGAGGAAGGGCAGGCAAGCAAAGATCATTTAGAAACAAACAGAACGAAAACATAGCTGTTGGTGGAAATTAAATTTCCTAACTATCTCCGCTCGTTGGTCTGGTCCCACGACTTCGAGGAGTTCGCCTTAGACTCTTTTAGTAATTTTTTTCGAGGAGCGATCCAGCGAGGAAGCATCCAAAAATGGGCACTGCTAATTAGCCAATCTATCCGTTTAGTGATTGTGGCATAGAGAGAGCGAGCGAGAGAGAGAGAGAGAGCGAGAGAGAGCGAGAGCGAGAGAGAGAGCGAGAGACAATGACAAATTCCATCCCATAAGCCGTGAAACTCCAAAATAACGTCAGCGGCTATTTCCGGGGGATTGCAGTTATGCCCATGCGGGCCAAAACCCAAATTTTGACGCGTCCGCGGAAGGGAGGGAGGGAGGTGTGTATCGGATGTCGGTCACTTTTTAGGTTTGGGTGCTTCCCCCACTCGCCAACTGATGGTTCAACTGAGGGATGTGGGCATAGTATGGAGGCGCCGAACGTACTTTTAAGTGGTTTTGATTTTCAGAAAAATCTAATAGCCTGCCCTCTCCCAACTCCTCAAAGAATCTCTGCTAGCCTGCCCTCTCCCAATTCCTCAAAGAATCTCTGCTAGCCTGCCCTCTCCCAATTCCTCAAAGAATCTCTGCTAGCCTGCCCTCTCCCAACTCCTCAAAGAATCTCTGCTAGCCTGTCCTCTCCCAATTCCTCAAAGAATCTCTGCTAGCCTGCCCTCTCCCAATTCCTCAAAGAATCTCTGCTAGCCTGCCCTCTCCTAATTCCTCAAAGAATCTCTGCTAGCCTGCCCTCTCCCAATTCCTCAAAAAATCTCTGCTAGCCTGCCCTCTCCCAATTCCTCAAAGAATCTCTGCTAGCCTGCCCTCTCCTAATTCCTCAAAGAATCTCTGCTAGCCTGTCCTCTCCCAATTCCTCAAAGAATCTCTGCTAGCCTGCCCTCTCCCAATTCCTCAAAGAATCTCTGCTAGCCTGCCCTCTCCCAATTCCTCAAAGAATCTCTGCTAGCCTGCCCTCTCCTAATTCCTCAAAGAATCTCTGCTAGCCTGTCCTCTCCCAATTCCTCAAAGAATCTCTGCTAGCCTGCCCTCTCCTAATTCCTCAAAGAATCTCTGCTAGCCTGCCCTCTCCCAATTCCTCAAAGAATCTCTGCTAGCCTGCCCTCTCCCAATTCCTCAAAGAATCTCTGCTAGCCTGCCCTCTCCCAATTCCTCAAAGAATCTCTGCTAGCCTGCCCTCTCCCAATTCCTCAAAGAATCTCTGCTAGCCTGCCCTCTCCTAATTCCTCAAAGAATCTCTGCTAGCCTGCCCTCTCCCAATTCCTCAAAGAATCTCTGCTAGCCTGCCCTCTCCTAATTCCTCAAAGAATCTCTGCTAGCCTGCCCTCTCCCAATTCCTCAAAGAATCTCTGCTAGCCTGCCCCTCAATTTTCCACCATTCACACCTTTCTTCTTGGGCTTCTCCCCTTCCCCTGGTTGGAGGAGTTGGGCCAATAAACAGCCCCTGACACGCCCCCACAAATGGCCAGCGGCTCAAAAAAAATCCCCTTTTGTTTGCCCTTTCCCACACCTGGGGCTACGCGGCATAACGCTATGACGTTTCGGGCGGTGTCGATCGGAAATCATGGGCAAAATGCGGAAGTTCTCAACGGTGGGAATATTACCAGACTTCAGGCTCACATTGAAAATTTTTGAGCGCAGAAAATGGCAAGGGGAATATTTTAATCGGGCTGGAAGGGAAAAAAATGCAAAAAATGCGGAAAGTAAAAAGCAAAATTGATCCCCCCGGCCAGAATCGAACTAGGATGCCATGCCTGTTAACCGATAGCACAACCAATAGACCTCAAATAAACGTCCATGGCCTAGTGGCTAGCATCTTTGTCTATCAAGTCAAGGGTCGTGGGTTCGAATCCGGGGCGCGGGGAACTTTTTGCTTTTTGCTAGGTTAAATGGTTAACGTGGATGGAATCTTATAAAAATGTTAAAAAGTATGTAATTGGTAAGTAAAAATAAAGCATTAAAAAACTTAAGGGCTAAACAAGACAACAATCGGCCAAAATTCTAAAAAATACGACGATGGCCTAGTGGCTAGCACCATTTTCTCTCCAGCTATGGGTCGCAGGTTCGAGTCCCCACCGAAGCAGATTTTTGCTTTTTGCTCCCAAAAACAGCCCGAATCAAATATAAATAAAATAACGCAAAAATCAAGCCCGATAAAACGTGCATAGGAACGCTGCGTAGCGGTGTGGTGCTGCTGGCTGCCGGGCGAGGCCTAGGTGCTCATTAGGGGGATTCTCGAAATTGCGCTGCCCACCCTCCTCCCCCCTGCTGCCTTATTTTATTTCAGCCCCTCCACCCCTTATGGACATTGATTTCTTTAAGGAGGGGAAGAAGGTTGGAGGGCTTTGTCCGGAAATTGAGGCTGTAATTTGGGCTTAACTGGTAGTTTGGAAGTGACAGATACGCGTCGCTACAGATGACAGCAATATACGGGTAAAAATACTACGGATTTTCTACGAATTTTGCTGAGACCGCGACACGCAACGCAACGTAAAGGCGGTGATGCGGTCGCGTTGCGTGTCGCGGCGCCCAGAAAACCATAAGTAAAACCTAGGTTTTTTCATTACCGCCCATTTAAGGTGTCGGTAAGGTGTTTTTCTTGGCTATGCATGTCCTAAAGAAGTCGCAAGTCGGAACGCTATTACACAATGGTTCAACGCTTTGCGCGTTGCGTGTCGCGGCTTCGACAGCATCCATAGCCTGAAAATCGGCTGCCTTGCCTTACCGGCCCCTTTAAAATGGCAGAGCCGCGAAACGGTCGGTCTTTCCATCCCGTAATGCATTACGACGCCTTAAAGCTCGATAAAGAAACAATGCGCTGCGTGTCGCGGTCGCGGTCGCGGAAAAATTCGCTAAAACCTATCGCCAAAAAAATCAGCCAACTGATGCCTTGCCAAACCCTTTAAAATCGATACTTCGCAACTTTCGCGGCGAGTTCAAATTCCAATGGGAGCCGCTGAAAACTTGGCGGGTTGATAGGTGCAGTTTAGGCCCCAAGGGGGGAAAGGGAGTGTGCATTGGAAAGTAAGTAGTCCGGCACGCAATTCCACCCACAAAAACG